TAATATTAATTTGCACGTTGTTTTTGAAAGAAAAATGCATTCATATATATACTATATATATATATACTAATATATATACTTTGTATGTCTACAGATAATGTAGACATGTTGACTATACATGTACAAAAAGATTGATTATGTAGAATGAACTACAATTGTATTTATCCAATATTAAAAGATAAAATTTATAAATTTCCTGTATATGAATGGATTAAATTTTATGAATGACTATCTCTGAAAACTTAAGTAATTGACTTGTATGTTATGTTAATATTGTGAATAGATTTCTATAAATTAACTAAAAATATCCTGATTAGGAGGAAGCATGTAAAATATGAGTCTTATTCTTAACTGACACACCTCATTTTTCTTTGTGTTTTTTTCAGTCACAATTATGAAGTTGACTCTAATAGTGACACTTATGGTCATTACAATAGCCACTGCTTATGGTTTACAATTTAAAGAACGTAGGGGTTTCCGTCTTGGAGCTTCTGATAGATTTTCTCATGGATTCGGAAAGCGAGCAGACCTTTTCGAACAAGAGTAAGAATTTTCTTTTTTTCCAGATATGAAGGTGAACTTATCACTCTCTAGACGTGATTTTGTATATAAGTACACAATTGCTATAAAGATATTTGACAACTTCAAAATATTTTATACACCTTTCCTCCTGAGAATTTACTTTATTTCATTCATTCTATTCTTGCCTAGTGTTGAATAGCTTGTTTAGATTTATTCGCATATTTTCATTAAATATTTTGTAAATAGTTTTCCTTCTTACAGAATAGTGCTATCGGTTAACAAACTATCAGAAAAACTGGCGAACAATCCTCAATTTGCCCGCTTATTTTTGGACAGAGTAATCGACCGAAACGGTAAAATCATTTACAAACTTGAGTAGTTGTTGAGTAAATTCTATATATTTTCTAGAGCAGCTGCCAATCAAGCTAATTTGACAGCTTGTATATATTCTATTGTAAATAAAAATTTGTCGATCTTATACAATTTCAACATTTTCCTTTGTATTCAATAATTTTATTGGATTTATTTATGTAACATATATATTTCATTCTCCTTCGAATTTTTTTAATGAATATTCAAATTAGTTGAATATACATGTCTAAAATAATATTTAATTGAACAGGCGATGGACTCATTACGAAAAGTGAATTGCTTAGGGATGATTCCGAGAAAAAGTAAACAATTGGATAAGAAAAGTTTATTTTTTTGTGTATTAAAAGAAGAGAAAGATATATGTATATATCTATATCTATGTATGTATTTATATATATATTTATATATATATAAATATATAAGTTATAGTTGTCGCACTTTTCAGTTTTTATATGTGTTGTAAAAAGAAAGATTAAAAAAATATTTATTTATGTTTTTCCCTTTTGATTGAAAGAAAAACTCTGACAGATTATATGACACAAAAATACTTGCATTGAATAAACGGAACCGCAAATTACACTTTTTAACTAATATTTAATATAATTCAAAAGAGAGAGAGAGAGAAAGAAAGAGAAGTAAGAAAAAACAATATATAGTTAATATACTTAATATACTAAGAGTGACTTATATTAGGTACTTATATCATGCTTCCATTTACGAATGTAAGGACAATAAGATAACTGAATTAATAACACACCCACATAAATCAACATGCATATATTGTAATTAGAATTGAGAAAATCTTTGAGTGGTTTTTTTTTTCTTCATCCCTCTGTTTTGTAGAGGAATAACTGACTAAATCTAAATCCTCGGCTAAAAGGATAAGCTGCCTGGAATTCATATGAGGGATGGTTGGATAGTATCATGACTGTCTTATTTACCTTAAGTACCCTTATACACCCTTTCCTTTATTATAACTTGACAATAAATCAACAGGATCACGAAAAATATTTGGCTGCAGAATTCTGAGAATCTTGCTCAATTTCCATACAAGGCGTTGCCTTAAAAGATACAAAAGTACACAAGGAGAAGTCTAGATAAAAGTAGACCTATAGTAAAAATATCATAAAAATACTTATATAGTTGTGTTAACAAGTGATTTAAATGAACAACTCGTGTTACATCCATAATAATATTCATAATATTTATTCATTCTATTTTATTATAAACTAGATGGCGTAACCTATACCGCCCCTTTATTGTTTGTTATCTGTTTATTCGTATTGCATATTTGAAAAGCGACCCCTTCCGAGTAGGTTAATAATTGGTTCAAATTAGTAATAAGAAGTTGTGAGATTCGTTAGATACAAAATAATATTGATTTAAAGTAAGACCGATCGTTTCAGCGAAATATTAAATATTTTGTATTATTTCTTCTTTTTACATTTGCATTTCAACATTCTAATTAGCTCTCTTCTGTAGATTTTGTTGCATGAAACATAAATTATCGGATTAATTAGCGGTAGCAGGACAATTAAGATTGTGGTTATGACATGTTCGAGTCCAATAATATCCGGGTTATTCTTTATCATGTCGACCACTAGCCTAACCTATGGAATAAATAAGAAATGATAGGAAGACATTTAAAATTAATAGTTTTTTAAAACGCTATAATTATTTTACTTACGAAAAAAGGAACAGTTAATAAAGTGTTAACCGTTGCAATAACTTTTGTAACAAGACTAAACATTTCAAATTTCTCTTTCCCATACTTTTTTATGTTAATTTTTCTTTTTAATGTATCCAAAGCGTATTCTATTCTACTCTTACGCTTTTCTTCTATAGTTTTATTATATTCAGTTTCACTGTCCATCGATATGAACTCTTTCATTTCGAATGTATTTTTATTATTGTTTGGTGTAGTTTTCCCTCTTTTTTCAGCCAACCTTGCTGCTATTAAACTAGTAATACAAACCATAAATGCATTACCTAAGCCATAAATGACCAGATAGGATAAGATGAGAGTGTGAACTACATTGTTCTTTCCAGCTGTTACGTCCAAACCACATATTCTATTATCTTGATAATAATTGTATGGCACAGTTAATCCATATAAAGGTAGAGAAGTTATGACCATATTCAATATTCCTATAATTATGATAAATATAAAAACATTTCTAATACTCATAAACTCAAGTAATTTAAAGTGTGTTGTTAATAGGATATATCGATGAGTACTTAGAAGCGTCACAACAAGTATAGACGTCATAAAACAGACAAACGATACTAATCCCATTATGTTGCAAGTAACATTGTGTCTAAATTCATCGCAAGTTAATGTGTTAATTAAATGTTGAGTGACTAAAATTGAAGCGTATAATAAATTAGAGATCGACATAAGTTTAATAAGAAAATGAGTAAGAGTTTCCTTCTTTAATCTTAAACGGCATAATAGAATCATAACAACAAGATTTTCCAATATACCAATAAACAGTGTTACCGGAATTTCAGCCTTCCAGACTATTTCTCTCGAGCAACTTGTATTGTTCATAATTTCATTAAATAGAATATCTTAATTAAGTTATATAGGTAAATATACAAAGAATTGAAGATATTAATGAAATATCTTCTATCCTGAGTAAACATATATCCGTGTACAGTTTGTCTGATACGAAATGGCCAACACTGCTATTCGAATAGCGATTATCTCGTCTAATATGAAACCTATAACATATTGTGTATTTATTCGTTTTTGGCCTGTCAATCGTCGGACGACTTAATTGTTTTTATCAGTTAAGAGAATAATTTTGTCACTCCTCAATGTAATATAATATTGATATAAGCGATACCATTGTCAATAGTTTTTCCTTTGTACAATTAAAAACGAAATTAAATCAAATGACTCTAAACAAGAGAAATTGTTCATCAATTTTCATATTTGTCAATCTATTTTTAAATGCGAAATTGCTTTGCAAAACATATTTTGATCGTACGAAGAGTTTTTTATTACGAATATTTCTGTCCAAATTCAAAGATATGATGTTTTAATGAAATTTTTAACTGAACTGTATTATTCACCCTATTCCTATTGTAGTAAACAGAATACAATTTTTTATATATGCATATTGTATTCAACAACGAGAAGGCTGGGTTATTCAACCTAAGAATTCTATTTCTATAAAACTTGGTTACACTCAACATGCGAAACGAATAAATATAAAATATTTAAAAAATTTAAAGATAATTTTTAATTTTCTAGGAACAAAATTCAAAATTGTTATAAGAGCTATTAATCCTATGTAAATACTATGTAAATAAAGGTATTAATAAACATTTTGTTAAAAACGGGTTAGATAAATAATACTAGTCTTAAAAAAAACATTAGACCTGTGAAATATTTAAAATTATTTTTAATATTTTATGCTAAAAGATAAAATCTTATTTATTCTATTTGATCTACAGAGATGAGTGAAGTAAAAGATAGATATTATATTATAGAATAATGTCAATTCTCAGGTAACATTCCTACGAATGTATTGAATGTTCTACCTATGAAAGCCACTTGAACATTTACCCAGCATGTAAAAAACAAAATCTAAGTTTTTTTTATCATACAATTAAATATATGATCGTACAAAAACAAAAATAAAGTTTTCATAGGCCATTAGAAAGAAAATGCAAAATTTTTAAATAGTACGGAAATTAAAAACTACACGAAAGCGTTTCTTTCATCTTCATTATAAATTTTCTTTTCGTTTTTCTTGAATTGAACAATAAAAAGTAGATACTCTATAAAAAATACTAAACTTATTCTTGTAATATTGTATACTATATAAATATATGTTTAATCTATTACACTGCATTAAAATATAGGTTGAACGATAATATAATAACTTCTTAACAATAAAATGGAAATGCGTGATCGTTGTTTCGCTAATAATGAAGAAAGAAATTTCAAAAATTACATTATATAGCTTTCCAAAAATATATATCTTTAGCTCCGCCTACTTGATGAGAAAACTTCTTATGATTCCGAAAATTCCTAACCAATAAAAGTTGTCCTATTTGAATATAATAATATAAAAAGGCGGTTTCAATATTACAGCAAGCTCTTGAACTTATAGGGAGGGGACAAATTCGTATTGAATGTCATGAATGACGGAGCTTTTCAGGCCGGCTGGTTGAACAACGCCTAAGAAATTTCGTTTTTAGTACTGAAACTCATCAAACGATTTGTTAATTTAGAAAAAAAACTGATTTAATTCGGATTAAATGCAATAAATATTATTTTTATCAAGAGTTTTAACCAAAATGTTCAATATGCTGAGATCCTTAAAGACAAACATCTATTTAACAATTCTTCTATTTTGTATATTTAAGGGTAAGTAGATAAAAGCCACATTAAAGGTGTTCTGTAAGACTCTGTAAAATAAGAGTCACTGCATATCTGCAAATTTCAAGAAATATGGATAATAGCGTTATTTAGAGAATACTATGAAATTTCACAAAACCAATTTATATCTTTCAGGAAATAGCGAAGCTAACCTTACTACGTCAAATTCATCACTGGAAACATCCTCAATGCAAAGTACTATGTCAGCATCCAATACTCAATACAGTACAACAGAGACAATAAATTCTACCACAGAAACAAGTAGTACTCAATATAGCGAAACAGCCTCAGTATCATACAGTCCAACTGCAACACCAGATATGGAAGCCAGTAGTACTCAATCAGTGACACCAGAAATGGGAATCAGTACTACTCCATCTGATGCAGCAGAAACTTATGAAACAGAAAGCCCTGAGGTGTATTCTACAACTACGCAAGATATGTCGATGGGAACAATGGATAGTAGTAAAACGCCAATGGACGAAGAAGTGACAGATATGACATATAGTAGTACTTCATCAGATGCATCAGCAACTCCTGAGGTTTATTCTACTAATACGCAAGATATGTCGATGGGAACAATGGATAGTAGTAAAACGCCAATGGACGAAGAAGTGACAGATATGCCATATAGTAGTACTTCATCAGATGCATCAGCAACTCCTGAGGTTTATTCTACTAATACGCAAGATATGTCGATGGGAACAATGGATAGTAGTAAAACACCAATGGACGAAGAAGTGACAGATATGCCATATAGTAGTATTTCATCAGATGCATCAGCAACTCCTGAGGTTTATTCTACTAATACGCAAGATATGTCGATGGGAACAATGGGTAGTAGTAAAACGCCAATGGATGAAGAAGTGACAGATATGCCATATAGTAGTACTCCATCAGATGCATCAGCAACTCCTGAGGTTTATTCTACTAATACGCAAGATATGTCGATGGGAACAATGGGTAGTAGTAAAACGCCAATGGATGAAGAAGTGACAGATATGCCATATAGTAGTACTCCATCAGATGCATCAGCAACTCCTGAGGTTTATTCTACTAATACGCAAGATATGTCGATGGGAACAATGGATAGTAGTAAAACGCCAATGGACGAAGAAGTGACAGATATGCCATATAGTAGTACTTCATCAGATGCATCGGCAACTCCTGAGGTTTATTCTACTAATACGCAAGATATGTCGATGGGAACAATGGGTAGTAGTAAAACGCCAATGGATGAAGAAGTGACAGATATGCCATATAGTAGTACTCCATCAGATGCATCAGCAACTCCTGAGGTTTATTCTACTAATACGCAAGATATGTCGATGGGAACAATGGATAGTAGTAAAACGCCAATGGACGAAGAAGTGACAGATATGCCATATAGTAGTACTTCATCAGATGCATCGGCAACTCCTGAGGTTTATTCTACTAATACGCAAGATATGTCGATGGGAACAATGGGTAGTAGTAAAACGCCAATGGATGAAGAAGTGACAGATATGCCATATAGTAGTACTCCATCAGATGCATCAGCAACTCCTGAGGTTTATTCTACTAATACGCAAGATATGTCGATGGGAACAATGGATAGTAGTAAAACGCCAATGGACGAAGAAGTGACAGATATGCCATATAGTAGTACTCCATCAGATGCATCAGCAACTCCTGGTATTAATTCTACTAATACACAAGAAATGCCGACAGGAACAATGGATGGTAGTGAAACACCAATGGGTGAAACAGCAACAGATATGCCACATAGTAGTACTCCATCAGATGCATCAGCAACTCCTGATATTGATTCTACTAATACGCAAGATATGTCGATGGGAACAATGGATAGTAGTAAAACACCAATGGACGAAGAAGTGACAGATATGCCATATAGTAGTACTCCATCAGATGCATCAGCAACTCCTGGTATTAATTCTACTAATACACAAGAAATGCCGACAGGAACAATGGATGGTAGTAAAACACCAATGGGTGAAACAGCAACAGATATGCCACATAGTAGTACTCCATCAGATGCATCAGCAACTCCTGATATTGATTCTACTAATACGCAGGAAATGCGGACAGAAACAACGGAAGGTAGTAAAACACCAATGGGTGAAACAGTCACAACAGCTAAACAAGAAGCAACTAAAGATTTAACAACAAAAACCGTTGATGCTACTACAGCTGGTCCAAATTGTGCCAATGGAGGCGTAACTTGCCTCAATGAAGGTTTTTGCATAGATGAAAAGTGTGTTTGTAGTAACGGATGGAAAGGAGAAACTTGTTCAGATGATGTAGATGAATGCGAAGATGCAAATTTTTGTAATGGTGGAATTTGTAATGGCTCTTTTCCCACTGGAAGCTTTACCTGTACGTGTGGTAATGATAAGACCGGTCGTCGTTGTGAAAATAGTTAAGTATAAAAAATTCTCTGTAAAGTCATTAATTTTAAATGTTATTTAGATAAGCCATGCCCCAGTTTATGTAAATGTACTGACGCTGCTCCTTCAACCTGTGATAGTTGCATAGATGGTTATGAGTTGAATAATGATAATATTTGCGAACGTAATATGTCACTTGTATTTAAATTATAAGGTATATGTAATCATGTATGCTTTTACAGCCAAAAAGTGTACTGACAGTGGCTGCACTGAATGTTTGCTAGGAGTTTGTAAGAAATGCGGACATGAATATTATCTTCGTGTTGACAAATGTCAACCCTGCCACGCATCATGTGATGGGTGTCATGACGATGGTCCGTCAAATTGTATTGAATGTTCAGTGGGATATAATCTTATAGCAGACAGCTGTGAGAGTAAGTTCTAGTTTATCAGGAATTATTCTCGCTATTTTAACATTTATTTTAAGAAACATGTGGTAATTCTGGAGATGGATGTGAAAAGTGTACTGGAGATGTTTGTGATAAATGTAAACCCGGTTATGAAATGCATAATACCGGATGTCGAGGTAAGTGAAGTAATTTTTTTAAACTATAACCTATTTATCATAAACTTGATTAAACAGAGAGAGATTATGAGAATCAATGTCAAAGCAATCCATGTGAAAATAATGGAGACTGTGAAGATGGATACTTCGAATTTATCTGCACTTGTAAGGGACCATTTACGGGAAAGACTTGCCAAATTTGTACGTGAAATCATAGTAGAATGTGTAATATTCCTAATTCTTGTAATTCCAGTGCCAGAGAGAGTTGGAAGACTTTTCGATTACAGTGATGCTATACAAAAAACAAAGAATAGAGATTCATTCATTGAAAGAGTAAAATTCAGAGAGAAAGTACCATTTATTTATGGGAGTTTTAAGAAGTGCTATGTGAGGATTTTTGTGCTATAATTTGATTGAAATCTCTAAACTCTATTTATCCTCTCTAGATATCAAGCAATGGCTATATAACACTTCAAAGGAGATACGGAAGTAAACCTCCTTCTGGTCTAGATGACATAAACCTGCCTAAAAGTTTAAATAGAAAGGCTAAAAAATCTGGTTTTGCAATAATAGCTCCTCTTTGGGTGGATGGTAGTATCAGAGAAGGAACAGTGTACTATAAAGAATATCAAAATAGGGGGGGCATAAATATCAAAGACTTCGCTCAACTTCAGTATATAAACCAATATATTAGAGCTAAAACAGAACAGGAAACATTTGAAACATCTTGGGCTTTCATTGTTACTTGGGAGGATTTGGGCCCATATGGTGGTAGATCAAGTGAAGTAAACATCTAGTTTTTGTAAGCATTTGATTTTTTCTTATTAAATTGTAAAATATTTCAGAGAGCAACATTTCAATTACTTTTGGTTAAAGGAAGTCAAGAAGGTGTTGATTCAACAGAAGTGTATGCCGTCTTCTTATATGAAGAAATAAAATTTGCTAAATTATCCAATTATCAAAATGCGGTTGGATATTTCGCTATGAAAGGAGAACAATCCACAAGTGACAGTATTGGTATCAGTGGAACTGATACTGTATTTGATTTGGATGTTGAATCTTATGAAGGTATTTAATGGTATTATTTAATAGAATTTATATTATCTTAAATTTACTTTCCTTAGACGAAGTTGGTGAAATATTTTGGCCAATTAGTACCGAAGACATTATAGATTACGACAGACAATGTAATGCATGGATTAATATGCAATCTGCTATTCAATTTTGGATTAATGTGGCTCGCTTTTTAGCTTTGGTATGTCAAATATAATAGCAAGATAGCTTGGAAATTTTACAACTTTTTTTATAGCCATGTCCATGTTCAATTTTCCAAGCGTCAATTGATCGTTCCATGCGATTTGCATACAGTGCAGGTGGTGCAACATGCTTTGCTAGAGTATTCAGATATTCCTATGTCAGTCATTTTATACATTTTTATCGTAATAATTATTGACATAATACTTATTTTCTCAGACGTGTTGCTACAGAGATTCCTCTTTGGTTACTGATCCAGCTTCAAGTGGACATTTAAATGTCTTCAATCCTTATTTTCACCGTACAAATTTCTTAATTGACTTAAGAGCTAAACAAGACTGCTGTATTAATTCCGATAATTGCAATGACTACATCTCTTACCGGCCAATAGATAACTGTTTTCGTTATAGACCACCTTTCTTCTCATGGGGCTTTGGTGACCCACATGTTCAGACTCTGGATGCATTTACATATACTTTCAACGGTCTCGGAGAGTATTCTTTGATTGAAGCTGATGAATTTGACATTCAAGTATAAATTTTCCTTTCTTATATTTTATCTACCTATTTAATTACTTATCAGTGATTTTTAATTACAGGCCAGAACTTATAGAGTTACAAACGAAAACACAGGAGAGTTAGCTTTTGCCACAAGTTATGCAGCCTACGTTGCTAGAGACAAAGGGGCTTCACATGGATTCCAAATTCAATTAAACAAAACTAATAACGGTGATATTATATATTTTAAATAAATTAAACTCATAAGCTTTATTTGCTTGTTCTAGGTTTAACTTTGTTTAAACTGGATAGTTCAAAACTAGCTACAGATATTACAAAAACATTTATGGATACAAAAGATGGAGAGCTTGTTAAAGATATAAGTGATGACTTCAGTCTTACCAAAAATAGCGCTACAGAGGTTGAGGTGACTCTCAGTACTTCTGGTAAGCTACTAAATTATTTAAAAATTATCTTTATAAAATAAAAGTGTGTTTTCTATTATGACAAATTAAATAGGTGTAACATTAACTTTTACTTACAACAATGGACAAGTTGACTATTCTGCTGGTATACCACAAATCTTTAGGGGTAAAACAAGGTATTTATTACTCAATTCTATACTTTTTTGGTTAATCATAAGCTATCATTTAAATAAAGAGGTCTCATGGGAAACTTTGACGGAGATAAGACAAATGATTTAGTTCCTAAAAATGGAAGCATTCATATATCAGTTAATGCAAGTCAGGAGGAAATCTTTAAGCAGTTTGGAGAAACATGGAGACTATCAGCAGAAGAATCTCTTTTCTCCTATATAGACGGTGGCGCTTGGATCGATTATAATGATGTGAATTTTATTCCTAAATTTCTTCCAAAAATTATCCCTCAAGAAGTAAAAGACAAATGTACATCCAATAATGTGCTAAACGAAAATTGTGCTTTTGATTTGATAAATACTGGAAATGATAAACTAGCTGAAGCTTCAAAAGAGACCCAAGAAAAGGGAGATGAACTAGCTAACCAACTATCTAACACTGCTCCGACACTTTCAGCTTTCATGAAAGACGGAGTTACTAACCTTACAGCTCTACAATGCTCAATTGGAACAAACTGTACTTTCATTCTTGAAGCTGAGGATCCAGATGGAGATCCAATGGAATTTAGTGTTTTATCACTTCCAACAGGCAGTATATATTTTATAAACGAGCAAGACCAAGTAAACAATAAACGAAGAGCCACTGTTAATTGGCTTGGTAAACAATTATCACCAAATGCCACTGATACACTTGCGTAAGGCTCTTTTTTACTTTGCATTATTCTAAAATAACCTCCTGCTTACTCGTGTAGATTTAAGGCTTTCGATGGAAAACAAAATTCTTCATCAGTGTTAATTCGCTTACTAGTATGCGACACTTGTACAAATGGGGAATGCAACTTCGACGAAGCACGTGAGGATTATCCCTCAGATAGTAGTTATGTTGCAGTTGTGTGTCAATGTGACATTGGTTATGAAGGAGATAATTGCGAAGATGACAAGAATGGCTGTGAAGAAAATACTTGCTTTACTAATTGTACCGATAATACCGCAGCAATTGAGAAGTCCACTGGACAACCCTACACTTGCGACCCATGCCCAGAAGGCTATGTAGCAAGTTCGGACAAAACTAGGTGTAATGGTGAGTTTATCGTGAAAAATAATTTATTACCTGTATATCAATCTTTCTCTTTACTGTACAACAGACGTAGACGAATGTGCAGAAAATAAAGACAATTGCGATAAATCGTCGACAAAATGTGTTGATATTGATGGAAGTTACAGATGCGAATGCTTGGAAGGACTTAAGAATTTTAATAAAACTTCCTGCATTGGTATTAATTTATATATTCACAAATACTATGTTATTAAATATTTATATTTCTTAGATATTGATGAATGTATTGGAAATAATGATTGTGCTCATATTTGCAAAAATTCTTTCGGCAATTATAACTGCGAATGTAGAGACGGTTTTACAACTGATAATAACGGGAAAACTTGCAACCCGACTGGAAGTGACACTGACTGTAATCTGAATCCGGTTGTAAATGGTTGTCCTGACACATCGTTAGGATGCTATAAACCAAGTGGTGGCGTTAAAAGATGCGTTTGCCCAAAAGGTACCGAAGATGGAACAGGAGTAACAGACTGCAATGGTATAACTTTGTATTTTATTTTAATAATAGTTACTAAATTTCATCCAAAAAAATAAGATATTAACGAATGTTCGGACTCATCGAAGAATTTGTGTGATGAAACAAATGGTGGTTGTATTGATATAAACGGAGGATACAACTGCACTTGTAAAGATGGTTTTCAATTGGATAATGACAAGATTAGCTGTAATGCTTGTCCTTCCGGACGTTGGGGAAAAGATTGTGCAAATATTTGTAATTGTAAATCTTCTTCAACTGAATGCAACACGAGTACAGGTAAATATTATCAACCATTTAGATTGACTGCAAAATTATAAAACTTTTATTATTACTTAGGTTGCAAAGAATGTAAAGATGGTTTTGAAGGCGGACACTGTAATAATATAAATGAATGTAACAAGACAGCAAACGGTGGATGTGATTCAAATTCAGAATGTAAAGATACAATTGGATCTTTCAATTGTCTTTGTAAAAAGGGCTATAAGAGAGGAAGCACTGCTTTGGTTTGTGTAGAAATAAATGAATGTGACTCCAGTCCTTGCCAAAACGATGGTGAATGCATTGATAAATTGAATGAATTTGAATGTAAATGCAAACCAGGATTCCAGGGTTTAACCTGTGGAGGAAGTAAGAAATAATATACTGTATATAATTTAAAAAATAAATTATTTCAATTTTCGTAAATTTTAGATATTGATGAATGTGAATCGAAGCCCTGTATGAATAACGGCGAATGTGTAGATAAAGTAAATGACTACTTTTGCAATTGCACAAGTGAGTATACCGGAAAAAACTGCGAGGTAACAAAAGGATTATGCGAACAAGCAAATCCTACCCTAGCTGGAAAATGTGAAAGTGGTTCTTGTGAAGTTGGTAAAGATGGTGTTATACGTTGTAAATGTCCTGCTGGTAAGCAACCCGGCAGTGACAGAGCAAGTTGCATTGACTTTAATGAATGCGATAGCAGTCCTTGTAAAAATGATGGAGAGTGCATAAATGGCGACAATAAATTTGAATGTAACTGCAAACCTGGATGGACGTCTCCAAATTGTGAAAAGGGTTAGCTTGTCTTCAAAAATTTTAATGCAATATAAATTTCAACTGAATTATTAAAATATTTTAGATGTTGATGAGTGCAAAGAAAATAAATGTACAGCTGGTAACTTTGATTCTTGTACAAATTCACTAGGAGACTATGAATGCAAATGTAAATCGGGTTTCTATGGAAAGAACTGTGAATTTGGTTAGCATAAAAAAATATAGATAGATTTTATACTGTATATTCATTGCTTTCCTTTCATTTATTTAATTTTACATGTTTATTTTTAGATAATTCTGCTTGTGGTGATGCTACACTGCAACAGACATGCTTGAATGACTACAAGGTTGGATGCTATGAGAAAGTTAGTGGCACGAAACGTTGTAACTGTTCAAGCGTTCCTGGTTTAACAGATGATACTGCTAATGACAAGTGCATGGGTAATTCAATAAAATATAATCATCTGTCTATTCAATTAATTATCACAATAACGTTCCTCTAGATATCAATGATTGCAACCCTAATCCTTGTACAAATAGTGGAGTTTGCATAGATAAGTTAAATGACTTCAAATGTAATTGCACTGAAGGTTGGACTGGTAATACTTGCTCTGAATCGGTTGATGATTGTGCATCGGGACCGTGTAAGAATAGAGCTGTCTGTAAGGATGGAGCCAATAATTATACATGTGAATGCCAGACGGGCTATACAGGCAGACATTGTGAGAAAGGTAATGATAAGCTTTTATTTTTGTGAAAGAATTTTCAAATTCCGTGGTGATTCTTTATAGACATTGATGGATGCGAGGGCAACCCGTGCAAAAATGGAGGAAAATGTACATCGGGTGATGCTGGAAAATTTACGTGCGAATGTCCCAAAGAGTGGAAAGGTACTATCTGCAATGACGATGTAGACGAATGTGAAGATGCCAGTATATGTAAAAATGGTGGAAAATGTAATAATACGATGGGCGCTTTCGAGTGTAATTGTACTTCAGAATTTATTGGTAAAACATGTGAAAATTCAGCAAGTGAATGTGGCTCAGTCGAACTACAACAAAAGTATCTCTTTTTTTTAAATAAATGAACAATAAGATGTTTATACTTTGATATTTTTTAGATGTGATCAACTGGGTACAGGATGTAAAAATATCGGTAATGTACTAAGATGCTCTTGTCCACCTGGTAAGGAACCAGGAAACAATGGACCAGATGATTGTACAGGTTAGTTTTTTTGCCTTTAAAAACTGTACATCTCCAACACTGAAATTGATTTTTTTTGATAGATATTGATGAATGTGCTAATAATCCTTGTGTTTCCGATAAATCAACTGATTGTAAAAATTTGGATAATGACTATGAATGTGTCTGTAAACCTCAGTGGACTGGAAAAAATTGTTCGGAAGGTAGCATTATATGTTTTGAGTTCGTAGCAATCATCACTAATAATATCTATTATTTAAGATTTTGACGAATGCACACTGAAAGGTGATAAGTATCCTTGTAAAAATGGAGGATCCTGTAATAACACGATGGGAGGATTTAAATGTGGTTGTATTGGTGCTTACTCTGGTGATACTTGTGAAAATAGTATGTAAATGATTAAAATTTTAAATAAACGTAGCCTAATTAACTGTAATTATTCACCAGTTACCAAGTTATGCGATTCAAGCCCTTGTAAGAATGGTGGCGAATGTCAGGACAAACCGGGTAATTTTTGAAGTAGAACTAATCTATTGATAATGAAAATAATTATATGAATGAAATAACAGGCTTCTTTGAATGTAAATGTCCAAAAGCATGGAAAGGTAAAGTTTGTCTGGACGATGTTGACGAATGTTCTCTTGAAGCTTCATATTGTAATGGGGGGAATTGTACAAATTTTCCTGGAAACTTTTCATGCGAATGCCCTAAGACTAGAACAGGAAAAAGATGTGAATTAGATCTTAATGAATGTAATGATAATCCTTGTGAAAATGGAGCGCCTTGCAAAAATTTGATAAATACTGGATACACATGCGAGTGTAATGAGTTCTGGGAAGGTCAAAATTGTGACGTTGATAAAAACGAATGCGGAAATATCAAAATATGCAATGGAGGATACTGCAATAATACAATAAATGGATATTCTTGTTGGAATTGTCCAGAGTTTTTTGGGGGTAAAAATTGTGCTGATGATCTCAATGAGTGTGAAGTAGATAATCCTTGTAAAAATGGAGCAACTTGCAAAAACAAAGTTAAAACAGGTTATACTTGCGAATGTAATAAGTATTGGGAAGGAAAAGATTGTGATATTGATATTAATGAATGCGATAAAACACCGAATTTATGTCAAAATGAAGGAAATTGCACTAATACTAATGGTTCCTTCGAATGTGCTTGTCCAAAGGGATGGGCAGGTAAGGTATGTGAAGAAAGCACTGACATTTGTAGCAAAGGAGGTCTCTCAGAAAAGGAATGTACTTTGGGATGCTTAAAGGATGATCTGGGCGAAATAAAATGTATTTGCCCATCTGGTAAACGAAATAAGAAAGACTCCCGGACTGAGTGCATTGAAATTGATGATTGTCAAGTTCTTTATCCCTGTCAAAATGATGCAAAATGCGTAGATAAGTCAAACGATTATGAGTGTATGTGTAAAGCTGGATGGGAAGGAAAGAATTGTAGTAGTGCGTGCACAGGATCCAAATATGGCGTAAATTGTGCTTTCACTTGCCCTACCAATTGCACCACCTGTGACAAAATTAAAGGTTGTATTGAATGTGACAGCAAAGGTCACGAAGGCCCAAGTTGTAGCGAGGATAAAAATGAATGTTTACAACCTCAGGACAACATCTGTACCGACAGGTGCATTAATACTGTAGGAAGTTATCAATGTTCATGCTTCGATGGTAAAGTTCTTGTTGATGGAAAGTGCAAAAGTAAGTTCAAATTGTTTTATCATATATAAAATATTAACGTAATCATTTCTATTTTTTTTAGAAATTAAGCGAAAAATTCTGAGGAATAAGTATAAGCTGGCCAGAACTTTCAATAATCTCCTACAAGACCCTACATCTACCCAATTTAAAAATCTAGTGTCAGAACTCTTAAATGCGGTAATTAATTATGCATAATTATACACTAATCGTATAGTTTAAACAAATCAATTTTTTCTTTCAGTTATTGACATCGTTCAGAGAGCGTTTAGATGGTAGTGGTTTCTTTGTTAGAGCAATCTATGGCTGGTCTTTTTCACAAGGCAGTATAGTTGTTGATAATCAGATAAACTTACAACAAAATGCCTCTGCTACAAATACATCAGATGACAGCAGTTTAGAATCTGTTAGTAAGACTGCCGTCGGAAATAGTTCTAATGATGTAGAAGGGCAGCCGGAACTAGCCGTATCAGATCCCGTTCCTATAACTTATAATTTTGAATTGCCAAGAGAGAATTGGAATGCAAACTTATCTGATTCCAATTCGACACTTTTTAAAGTAACAACAAGTAAAATCCAAGCTGATATTGAATCTGCGTTAAAGAGTAAATTCGGTGATAGTTTCATTTTAACAAAGGATTTTAAATATACGTAAGAATAATAAAATTAGTGCAGGAGTAATTATATATTAAGAAACTTTTATTTATCTTTCAGGAATCCAAATTCAAAGGTCAATGCAGAATTTATAATAGAGTTTTCCAAGAGTTATACAGAAGCCGAGATTACACCAGCCTGGAATGAATCAGGGCTTGCTTACTTTAAAAATGAATGCGAGCCAATATCGCCGTGCTTAAATAGCGGAGCTTGCAAATTAAACAGCAACATGGGCTATACATGTGAATGTACTAAATTCTGGGAAGGAGATAACTGTGAAACTGATAAAGATGAATGTCAGCAGCAGGGTCTTTGTCAAGGAGCAGGAAGTTTCTGCAACAATACCAACAACGGTTATGAATGTGACTGTAATTCAATGAGATCTGGAGATCATTGTGAATTAGGTAATTGAAATGCTTACATAAAAATTACATTATAATTTGAATATTTATAAAATAACATGCCCTTACAGATTTTAATGAATGTAACAATAATCCATGCAAAAATGATGGAAAATGTGAGAACAAAAATATGACAGGTTTCGAATGTAAATGTGCATCTGGATGGAACGGAACATTTTGTGAGGATGATGTTAATGAATGTGACGCTGGTATATGCCAGAACAATGGAGTGTGCAATAATACCATGGGTAGTTTTGAGTGCAACTGCACTTCTGAATATAAAGGATCCATGTGTGAAATACATATTGGAATCTGCAATACTGAAAAATTAAGAAACGACTGTTCTTTGGGTTGTGAGAACGTTACAATTTCTGGAACAGCAGTTGTAAGATGTAAGTGCAAAGATGGCGAAAAAGGCAAAGAAAATGATATCTACGAATGTGAAGACATCGATGAATGCCAATCTAATCCTTGTCTAAATGGTGCAACATGTAAAAATCAAGATGCTAATTATACATGCGAATGTACAGATGGATATATTGGCAGAAATTGCAGTCAAAAATGTTCAGCTGGATATTGGGGTAAGGAATGTGCAAATTCATGTGCTGGTTACTGCAACAATACCCTTCCTGAATATTGTCATAATGTAGAAGGCTGTAAAGTCTGTAAAAATGTGCATGCGACAGGATCAAAATGTGACAAAGATGTGGAAGGATGCGTTAACAATTTTTGTAATGGTAATAGATGCGTAGAAAGACTATTCGAAGCCTCAACTTGTGAATGCTACGATGGACAAACATATAATAACATCACAAATACCTGCAAATCTCTCAAAAATCATATTGTAGGACTCCAAGTTACATTTACTAAAAAGATTTTTACGAGTGATCTTTTGGATTTTAATTCTACTGGTTATAAGACATTGGTCGAAACTATTATAAATTCCATTAAAGATTCATTAACAGCTTTTGCCAACGATCTTAATGGGAGATTTAAAACACTACAAAATTTCCGTTTCTCAAATGGAAGTATTGTCGCCGACTTCGATGCAATATTATCAGACTCAACTGAAAATGCTGCTCTTAAAATTCCACAATCTAAGTTGGCAGATTTAGCAACAAATATTAAAAATGATCTTGGAAACGACTCTGTTACTGTAACTGCCCCGGAAGGTTTGTCATTTTATATTTTTTATTTGAAAAAGTTGTATTGTAACATATGTTAAACTTTTACAGTTAGAGAACCTACACATGTTAGAGTTCTTTTCAAATTGAGTGAAATATTCATTCAGGAGTATTCCGTTAAATTCAGTAAAGAATACAATAAATTAACTGACAGAATTCAAGGCAAGATAAACGTAGCAATAGCTGGGAACGCAAGTTTGTCACAGGGTTTCCTACATACCAAAGATTTTGTTTACTCAAAAGGCTCTATCATCGTTCATTTTTATGCTACTTTTTCGAGCAAAAAAGAGGACGCTCCGTCAGCAAAGGACATTTTTGATACTATTCGACAAAACACTGATTTAAATGTGTTAGAACATTCAGAACAGTCTCCAACAGATGACGAAACTTGGAAAATAGTTGTTATTGTTGTCTCTGTTGTCTTTTTCGTCCTCCTTCTTACTCTTGGCCTTATCTATTTCTTGCATAAATCTGGAAAACTCGGAGATTCAGTAAGTGAATACTCATCTGACACAGCATCAGAGAGTAAAGATTATAGTTATGATCATGACATGAAAAATAAATTGTTTCCCCGGCCGCAAATGAGAACTTGGCAGACTCAGGAGGGTATGACAAGAGATCAAGGAGGGCTGGAAGCAGACAACCGTATAGATCCTAAGGAAGGTCCTGTGGATGAAAACGTCGTAAGTAAAACTATTATGAGAAATCTTTACGAACACATTTAAAAACATAAACTGATTTTTAGGATTGGCGAATACTCAAGAATTTTAGTAAAAAAGCTGGAGAAGGTATGGCAAATCGAAGATACGCCGAGCAACCTTTCCAGGTAACATTAAAATAAAATTCGGGTTATTTGGTGAAGATACATTATTTCTTTTATTTTCTTTTTAGGGAAATAATAACTCACATCCCACTGGATATAATAGCTACGAAAGTAATGGACAATCAGTTCCAACAAGCAACTGGGTATGTAGAAATATTTTAAAAAATGAAAACTGTATAAATTTAATATTTTAAATAAAAATGTTTCAGGACTGGTCAATATCTCAAGCGCCATAAACTTTTGGGATAATTTAGCATATCCTTGAGAACAATTCTATAAATATTTTAATAAATTTAGACAAAACAAAACTGTGTGCTTTTAACAAAATGAATTATTTTCTTTTTCATAAAAACTTTAATGTATGGTATAACTAATTATTTTATTGTTAGTTTTTAATGGGGGGTTATTTTGTTGGATATTTCTTATTCAAATATAAAGTACAAAGTGCCAAAAAAGTAAATGTTTATAAAAGAATATTTATTTGATTTTCTTCAAAATCAATGTGCATATCACAGAAAGTACTTATCGCACCAGATAATACTGATAATTTAGGAGATAAGAAAAAAATCATCATCATATTATTATTATTATTAAAGATATATGTATAGAGTGCAAATTTTTTTGCTCTTCAAGCCAACAAAATCAAATCTAGTGACAAGGCGATCTGGAAGCCGTTCCAAATGGAGATGGCTCTTTTCTTAACCATGGAGTATTTCGTCTAAATCCAAAATTACCGTTGAAACCAATGACAGGCTTTACCCCTTGCATAAATTGTCCATGTCCATCGATTGTTTCTCTCGAATGTCCCATACCACTTTGATTTCTTAGTAAGAGATAATGCGAACCTGGACCCTCTCTAGCAAATCTGTCCATAGTTTTTCCTTCTATGGACGTGTCTTCCGGCTTTTTCTGATTTTTACAAAAAATAGTATTACATTAATTTTATAAGGAAATTAAAAGAATACTTAAACACGGAAATAACTACTTCTAACGTCATTAGACAAGCCTATATTTTATCTAAGATTACTTAGTATCGCACGATGTACTTATAATCTTTATAAACTTTTGAATATATTAGTGAAAACGTCTAATTTTATTGGTATAATGATAAAATATCAGGCTAATTTCATATTTTATGGCTTTTTTCTACTGAACTCGGCCCCTTCACAAATAATAAAGGCCTAATAAACGTCAGCAGTCTACTGATTAACTGCTACAGATCTTATGATCTAGTATCAAACTATGAGAAAATATCATTTAGCTACATGCATTTTATACAGTCTTGAACGGTGGTTGATATATAGTAGTCATGGTCCTATTTTAGGACATTAGATAAAAAGCAAGATTTACGAGATAGCTAAATTTTCTTTATATCTACCTGTCTAGTTTTGTCCAAAGTCTCTTCAACCCCGAAAAAACGGAAATAAGTATCGCAATGCTTATCTCTCTGAGAATTATAAGGGGGTATAACTGGTCCTAGCTTTGGATTAGTTTTTGAATAATCAATCGAAATGGAGCTTGAAGCAACAGAGTCCAGAACAAAGTTCTTTTCTTTGGTTTGTAGCGCTTGAGGAGGGGGTGTTGGAGGGGTTTTATAAATTTTATTTACGCTCCTTCTTGGTGACCCAGAAGCTCGTCTCGGTGATTGGTTTCGTTGGCTTGGTGCTTTATCTGATTTAGTAGGCTGGTTTTCCGTCATCTTTGTCCAGACGTAGATCCTAAAAATGAAAAATATTAGTTGATTACTCTACCTCTTCAGTTAATATGACTTCAGTAGAATCTACTTTACTATCTACTGAAGAAATTAAAAATTTACTATCAAGATTAACCAAGAAACAAGTCGACTTGAGTAGTTGCTAAGGACGAATTCGATCAATAGATGAATAATAGAATCGGATATTATCCTACTATTGAACGCTTATAGGCCATGTGACAATCTTTAGTTTTTTACCCCACCTAGTGGTATCTGTTTACTTTGACACTAAGCAATCTTTCTTTCAAGTATATGACTTTTTTGTTCAAGAAAATTTAAAGAAATAGGAATATTCACCGGTCTCGTAACTTTCAGATGATCCTTAACTTTTTGATTACTAAAATACCATCGTGTATGTTGGTCAAAGAAAGCATCGTATTTCGGCAACAAGTCGCGATACCTTATAAGAAAAAATTAGATTATAAGCTAATATTTTATCATATATTTTTTATGTTAAAAAAATTGTTTATTTTAATTCAAATTGGAGATATAACCTTTGCTTAGAATGGCTTGCTAGTATTGCGTCATTCACAAATGATTCTTCCCTCTTTCGATGTAGGACTGTATCCTCTTTGCTGATACTTCTAAGCATAGATGATCTTATTAAAGGTTCTTCCAAAGGTATTAGCGGCAATTTCTTTTCGCTTGATGTTGGAGATAAAGAAGACTTTGAATCTTGCCTGCCAAATCCTTCTTGAGAATTTCCAAATGTCATTTCGTCCTAAAATAAAGACTATTACGTCAGAAATGCAAAAAAAAGGAGTTAAAACAAAACTTTTTCTATTTTTTTTTTATTACTTTTTTTTAATATACCATTTTTTTATCTTATTAAACACTTGAGATATTAGTATAAAAAACATAGCTTACGAGAACAAATTTAAAGAGTTTATGGATTGTTTGTAAATGAAATATTAAATGTTTCGTTTAGTTCGAGTTATTAAGTGCTAAATAAGATTAATATTAAAAATATTATATATTCAAGTTTTTAGAACTTGAATATATTACAGTTTAAATAAAAAGATAAATTGTCTATTTACCTGAAATTCCTTAGGTTTCTTCCAATTAGTTGTATAGCAAACTGGATAGAGAGGTTTCCAAAATTTCTTTTGTTTTTGTACCATATTACTAACTCCTCGTTTGTTGAAATATGTTTTGCAAGCAGGATCCTTTGTAGCATCGTATGGTGGTAATAGATTCCTAGTTGTTTTGGCTTATTAAAGAAATAGGTGATAAGTCAAGTTTTTAATAACGTTCAATAACTCTGATAATATTAGATACAAACTTGCTGAAATTGCATCATTGATGAAACCATCTTTGAAGTCTTCGCTTTTAGTTGTACTTTTTCTTGATTTTGCCTCTTCCGCAGCTCTTTTATCTTTTAAATCTTCTACAAATTTTTTGTCTTTTCCCTCATCTTCCATAGCTTTCTTTTTTTTCTCCTCCTCCGCATATTTTCTATCTTCTTCCTGAACAATTATTTACATGAAAAAAATAAGGAAAATGCTTTCCTTTGTAATCCACACCTGAAAGAGAACTTACCAGAGTTATTTTTAACAACTTTTGTACTCTAGGACTGCCAAAGTAAGATTGGCATGCTCTATCTGCTGTTGCTGAATATTCCGGTATGATAGGCTTCTTCCTTGGTTTATTATATATTGAAACACTCACGCCATCATTAACAAAAGGACTCTCATGCACAGCTCGTTTAGTTTTTATTGGTTTTGGAATAACTGCAGGAGGAATAATCATGGGCTTCCATGTAACCTTTATAGGTGAAACTTCTGCTGCCTTCGACATTATCAAAGTTTGGAGGAATAGTGCCTAAATTATTCTAAAGCGGTTGACTCAAGTCTCTAAATATTGATAATGATTTAGATAAGTTTTAAATGTAAACTTATCAGATTTTTAGCTTGATATATTGTGCATTGGACTAAGCTTAAAAAAGATAAGAATTTAGTGACTTTATTTATGATTATAGATATGTAGGTCGACCGATGACCTTCGCAGTTTTAGATTTTTGATAGCGTAAATAAAAATATAAACATAAGATTCAATTATTAATGATCGTTTAATTGAAAATTAGTATACTTATTTGAAAAAAAATTGATAAAAAGAATTTATCTCTATCATTTTCATTCATTAAATTTATTCGTTTTTTATTAAAGTTTATCTATAAGAAAAGTAAGAAAAAACCTTATTTCCTCAAATCACATTCTATGCAGGAAAACGTATTTGGAAAAGTTGTAATAAATTACGGGAAACTTTTTTAATCATTTTTCTGTAAATAATTTATTCAGAAAGCACTAAGCCTTAATCTCCTTAAGATTAGTTTGTCTATAAACTGATATCCCTTACAGATAATCATTTGGAAGTGCTAATAAAGGTATAAAAATGTGAAAAAGGTAATTTATAACAATTTAATAAACTTATTAAAGATTATATATCTTTCAGATATTGTATCTAAAGAGACGATAATTAATCAATTTACGTCATTACGATATATATGCCATTCCAATTGGGTATATAGTATAATTTCCGTAGGCCTAATTAGAGACTTATTGTTACACATACTTCAAAAGGAAATGATGAAATCGATCCTAGTAAACTTAAAAATCATAGTTAAAAGCAATATTATAAGATTTAAGGTGAACAAAGAAAAAAAAAGAAAATGTCGGTCAAAAACTTTTGTAGATTAATAAAAAAAATAAATTCGAAGAAACTCCATTAAAGAAATTCTGTGATAATTGTCAGTTGCGACCTTGTAGCTTTTTAATTACTTTTTTTTTTGCTTGGTGATGTCAATGCCCTATTAGACACGTATCGTCTGTTAATTTGTAAAATTTACTCTTATATTATTACAACTAATGACTCTTTAATCCTTTAAACATATATAAAATTTATTAAATAAAATAAGAAAGCAATTTTTGCTTATTTGTTTTGCTTTTATTTCTTTTTTTCTTATGATAAAATAGTCTTTTCAAGATAATTATTTTCTAGCATAAATGCCATTTTGAGTAAATTTATCAACAAATATTTTATACGTGGTGGGGGGGAGCTAATACTTTTTAAAATAACTTTAAAGCTCGTTAAGTATAAGTAAACTTTAATTAAAACATGTTTTTATAGATTATATTCTCTTCGAGTCTTCTTGATTCAATATTTAGAATAAATTGAATTAACTTTCTATTAAGTATTATAAATAAACTATCTACGTGACTAGAAAGAGACAAATTACTAATATATATTTTGTAGACTTGACGAGTCAGCCAGCTCCATCTACAATCTATTTTGAACGTTTTTTCAAAGCTATATTACAAAAGTAAAGAATGAACATTTAAGAAATATTTTTAGGTAAATAAGGCGGATCGTTTACAATTTCTCATTGACACAAAGCCAATTAGCAAATCGTAAAAGTCTTATAGACCTATTATTATATACAAAAATGACTCTCATCTAAAAAGAGAGGAGAAAGTTAACAAGAATACTAAATAATCGATCACTAGTCTATTCCTTAAAGACTATAATGGTAGAACAATAGAGATAATGGTCGTAGTATGCCATTAGCTTTGAACGACCTTTTCCTAATCGGCATCTAGAATTACCTTAACGACCAACCAATGTTTATGGTAACAAGGAGCGTCGATATTTTACATAAATATTAGTTGACAGTCATTTTACTCTTGAAAGTTTCATTGAATGAAGGAAATATACCATTTCAATGAAGAAAACAATCATTTTCCTGAAGGATTGTTAAAACGGATTTATCTACAAACTTTCTACTTAACATTATGCAGCCAAGGATTTATTTTATATACTTTGTGTTTAATTTTTTAAACATATTAAGTAAGCAGAAAATTTTCTATTTATGAATAAACAAAAGTATATTTGTATTAATATATGTATAAATATATATTAATATATCTTTAGGTTATGAATAGATACTATATATAAATTAATTGAGCTTCATATATACTCGTATATTGATAGACAAAAAAAATTTATTTACATATGTGTTAATAAAGCTTTAGGAATAAGTCAAGTCAACTATATATATATACTAGAGGCCAAACTTGAGAATTGGCAAAATGCGAATGAGACTTGCTTCTCCAAAAATGGTACTTTAGCTTCGGCAGTATCTTTTGAAGAGGATGAAGCCCTAAAAACGGCCATGTTCAATGATGGAATGGTCGATATATGGCTTGGGGCAAGGAAAACTGAAAGTGACTGGTTATGGATTACTGGTAATATATTCTATTTGTAGTATTATTCGCTATAAAATATCGATTATTTTCCAATAACCAAACACTCTATTGTCAAAACTACATTTACAGACAAAGTAAGAGTGTCAGGACAAGGGTGCTATTCGGATTTTGTCTTTCAAAGAGATTTAAATATAAGAAAGACTTTACTGCATCTAACACCTACAAAATGTATAAATGAATGCGAAAGAAGTGGATATTTATACGCTGGTTTGCAATCAAAAACTGAATGCTATTGTGGGAATGAATACGGGAAGTATGGAAGATCAACAGGATGTACTATACCATGTGATGGTGACTCAACAAGACATTGTGGGGGATGGGGAAAGAATTTTATTTACCGAGTGGACGGTTAGTTTTTTTCTTTTAATATTTATTAATGTTATTAATATATATATATATTATTACATATACTGTATACGATATATGCTTTATATATAGAATATAGAGTATTAATATTCTCTAAGGCTCTTTTGCACATATTTCAAAAATTCAGTTTGATAATATAATAATAACATTTTGCAAGTGCATACGAAAAAAACTTCTGTTCTTTTTCCTTCTATCTTTTTATATAAATTATTGATTTCTCATTATTTTATATATTTTGTCAGCTCCAACAGCAAAACATGTAAAACTATACTATTCATTTTCTAAAATGTTTCTAAAATTAACTTTTCTATGGCTAGAATTTCTATTTCCTTAGTTTATTTTTAAACAATACAATGTCATAATACATATTATTACGGCGAGTAACATGAAAAGATCCTCTTTGTACTTTTATTATTTATCAAAGTTCCACAGATAATAACTCTTATACTTGTTTGTTTTCTCTGTCTAGGATCTTTCATTGAATGGTCCTATAATGAACCTAATGATAAAAATCAATACGAAGCATGTGCTACTCTTAGTGTTCTTGCCGATGAAAACAAAATATCTGATGAAAATTGCGATATGAATACATTTAGATATATTTGCGATATTCGTCTGTATAATTTATTTTTTTCATGTTAGAATTAAAATATTGTTAATAAAACTTTTGAATTGTTTTAATAGCTCGGGAAAATTGTACAAATTCTAATTCCTTATTCATAAATACGGAAAAGGGATGTTTTTATTATTCTTCCAATACCGCAACATTTTACGATGCAAGAGAAACCTGCAGAAATCTCGGAGGAGATATAGTAAAAATAAAAGATAGGAGAACTTTTGATATTTTAAAAGCATTTTTAGGAGATAAAAGAAAATTTTATAAGCATTGGATAGGTTTAGTTAGCAGCTATTGGACTTGGATAACTGGTGATAAAACACTAACACAATTAATCAATTTTTAATGTGATAATATCTATTTTCTTAATAAGGTGAAGAACTTTTATACTACAATTGGCATTCATCAAATCCGAAGAACAGAAATGAACATTGTTTAATAAAATCTGCGGAAAACAACTATCAATGGTTGGATGAGAACTGTAATTCGAAGAAGCGTTTTTATTGTCAATATGATAAAGGTTTATTCTATATCCATGTTATGAAGATATTTTATAGATATTACGTGAACAGATATCACTACAACTTCTGATGGAGTAACAACATCAGTAACAACAACTGTAGAATTTTCTTCTACTATGAATATAACAAATGCAACCCAAACAGTAGAAACTACTGAATTTACAACAGTAGAATCTACAAAAATTAGTTCAACTAAAAAAGTTTCAACACTAAAATCGACGAAGAACAAGCCAACAACCACACAATCTACTACAAGAACTTCAACTCAAGAAACTAATTTTTCTTCTGCTGAACTCTCTTACAGTACTACGGTTGCAGTAGGAGAGTCAACGAAAAATGAACTCACACTTGGATTATTTCATTACAGTAAGTAATAAACAAGATAAATTCAGAGCATGATAATGAGATGTATATAATTCACAGTAATCATCACAGTAATTATATTAATATGTCTGGTTGCTATTCCAATTTCTATAATAGCATGTTATTCTTATAAAAAATTGAAAACGTAAGATTTTGAAACATTTCTCAATGCTTAAATTCTAAAAAACATATCTTAAAATCTGCTTCTTCAGAAACAAAGTTGAACCAAAGACGAAAAATAATACTCCAACATCACTGTCTATTATTGACGATATTGGTATAAACAGCCATTTTGATATATAGCATTAATATTAAAATTAAACTATTGCTACAGGGCATTGTACGTTATCTGCATCAGGCGTTGAAGCTGGACTGTTACACAATCAAGTTAAAGTATCCCCGAAATTAGCAACTTTTAAAGAAGAGGATGAAACATCAGATAATATTGACTATCGCCACGAAAGAACTTCATCACCAGGTGTAAATGATAACAGAATGATTGTGCACTTACCTCAAGAGCGTAAAATAGTTGAAAGTGATATAGAGAATGATAATGCCGTATTTAACCATGTACAACAAACAAGTACTCCAAAATTATTGACAGATACCTACACAACTAATTTGGTAGTGGAGAATGAGCAGCCAATCCCTCAGGAGAGTTTAAAAGTCGCCTTGGATAAGATTCAGAAACAACAGCAAGAAAGAGAGCAAAGTCTTATGCTACAGCGAGCAGTAATGATGACAGATAATACAGGTACTTCTTTTAGATAATACAAAAATTAAAAAAATGTATTAAGATAATATTCTAATAGCACTATTGCATCAAGAAAATACCTTTGAAAATGACAAAATTAAAAGTAAAGATAAAAAGACGAGGAAGAATAAGAAAGAAAAACAAGCATTTGAAGACAGTGACGAAGAACAAGAGAATGAAAGGGTAAAAAAAAAGAAAAAGAAAAAGAAAAGGAAAAAAGAAGCTGATGAGGACACTGATAATGTAGATGATAGACAGGAGGAAAAGAAAAAGAAAAAGAAGAAGAAGAAGAGTAAAGAAAAAGAAAGCAGTGATGAAGAGAGAGAAGAACAGGAAGATAAGAAAAAAAAAAAGAAAAAGAAGAAAAAACATAAGGAGGAAAGAGACGAAGAGGATAAACAAGAGAGAGAAAAGGAGAAAAACAAAGTAAAAAAGAAAGAGAAAGAAAAAGAGAAAAAGAAATCGAAAAGAAAAGTCGCAGCAGAAGATGAAGATAAGGATAAATAAAACAATAAAACTTTAAATTTTGCTACTTTTCTAAATTTTCATTAAGCTGTCTATCACGTTAACTGATTATAAAATGTCACAAGAGTTGCATGTTAATAATCAACTAATTATCTTCAAAAAAAGGATGGTTATTTTACAAAGAATTTATATATTAAGTATAGGCAAGTAAACAATGAAATATTTGTTCTATTATGTAGTATTTTCTAGTTGAATTAGAAAAGAAAAATATCAGGCAAAAACAAGAATAGATTGAGGAAAATGCTAAATATAACTTTTAGAATCAGTAGAACAATAAACTTTCAGTTATATTTTATAAAAAATTAATAGTACATTAATGATTAATTACTTACTTGTACAGTAAGAAAATTTTGATGACTTTGCTAAAAGAAATTGTAATTTTTAAGCCTTTTCTAGTCTTTTAAGAGAATAAATAAATATTTTTGGAAAGAAACATGTGCATAGTTATATGTGATAATTTATTATCTTTTTATAAGTAAGTTTTGTGTTACCTAACCTAGATAAAAGTATAAAAAAGACAAAATATATATAAGAGTATTGTATTACAACCAGTTACTGACCAACTAAGATTTTTATACCTCACAAAAAAAGAAAAGCATATTATAAAGAGTTTATCATCTTCCGTACTTTTGAACAGTTTCCCTAAACAATATATTATTAGGTGAATGGATGAGTATATTATTTGCAGTATTTCTTTTCTCCAACTTGCAAAAAATAGACTTCCATTGCTATATTTTGCTTTATAAAAATTACCGCAAGTAAACAATTGAGTAATTACATGACAACAGCAACTCTTCTTTTTTCTTACGATCTGAGACTCTTCAGAAACTTCCAATCATGTATAAAACCGAACACTAACCAAATCTAACACCATTTAACACTTTTCTATACCATTTATCTATTAACTTCCCTCTATCCTGCTTTTCCTCTTGAAGTTTTCTCTCCTTAAAAGAAATAAAAATAGGTTACCACAATTAAAAGTGAAGAAACGAGGTTCTCAATAAAAACTTTGCGTTTTATCAATAAAAAGATTAAAACTTTTATCTAAATATAGCTACTCTTAAGTTCTAAAAGTCCAGAAAGCGAACTCTAATTTAGAAAGTGTAAGCCAAGGAGGGAACACTTATCAAAGATAAAAGTAACCAAAAGGAGCATCGTATAATAATAATAGATAATATAAATTTTTTCCAAAATGATTTTTATATTAAAAAAAAATTGGGATTAACGTTAAATTTTCCCGATAGATGGCGAAATTTAATCAGACTATGTAAATAATTTTTACAAGATTAACTTGCGTAAATAATAAATAAGCTAATGACAACGGTCGAAGAAATGTTGGACTCTTAAATACGTTGATATATAAAAACCATATAATCATTTTCTCTTCTGTGTAAATTACAAATACAAAATAAGTCAAGTAACTAAAATACTGTTTTCAGTAGAATTAATATATTTTAACTATTTAGTTTACTTTTTAACATTATCACTTACTTTTATAAGCAAATACAAAAATGTTTGGAATAACATGTATATAGTGATAAGGCATATTTCATACAAAAAAGTATTGCCTCATAACTTTTTATTCTAATGATTAGATATCATATTGATTACATTCCTTTAATAAAAATCTTGTAAAATAAACGATTAATTCTATTCAAGTAATTTTAAATGAAAGAAAAATGAAAGATATAAAGATTTTTTTTAAAAGATTATTTAGTTTATAAAATATATTTATATTTACTGTTTCTATTGTCTTTTGCGATTTTTCACACCAAATCATCTTAAATGTATTTTTTGCCCAAATCTCTTCTAAACCTGCGCAGCATTTGTACTTGCATAGTTGAATGTTTTGAAATGATTTTAAACCCAATTTGCAGCAGATCTGTAAAGAAATGAAAAATATGGTTATATGGGGGAAATATGTAAAATATAATACGAAATCTAAGCTTTATTTATATATTTATAAAATTTTATATATAGCTTGTTTAAATATAGAGTTATTTGTAAAGATTATATACATATATACATTTTCTAAGTGTTATACATGTTGTTGACATATCTCATATGTATACGTATATGCCAAGCTTTTCTTTAAAATATAAAGAAGTATACCTGATCTTCTGAATATGAGAAAGAGATGAGAAGAAAGAGTAAAAATAGCGTATCCGATTTTGGCGACATTCTCCAGAGACTTTAAATTAATATTTATAACGAGGCAAGTATACTACTAAATATAAGAAAGAGCTACGCCTGCGCAGACTCTGATTGGTCGAGAAGATATCTTTATCTACTGTCGGTTGATTACGCAATTTTCATTTTTTTTGCGCTAAAAGCTAAAACTTGTTTAAGTGGTCTGCGTTCAATGTAAAAAGTAAAAGCTATTATTAACGTATTATATATGTATTATATGAACATGTATTCAATGTATATGTATAGTATACAAATGCTATTTGTATAAGAATGTATTTAGATTATAAGCACGAATTAATCAAAAATTATCTGTACGTAAATTTTTATTATTACTCTTAACGGAAGTTTCCAAACTATTTCACTTTATTCTGGGATACTGACGAATATTAACTTTATTCAACAAAGAATAAACTAAATAAACCTTTACTTCTTTCGTACATTCAATTTCTGTTGAAGTCAAATTAATTATACTTTATTAATAAGATGAATATAGAAATTAGCTTTGTAGATTGTAGATTTGTTGATATTTCTACTTTTATTTTATTAAATTAACTTTTGAGGTCAGAATGACATATTTTTTCTCTTTATTACGAACATTGATCATTCCTTTTCCATAAAAAGAACAATAAGTTTATTGGTACTATCACGTCGTTTCTCAAAAAAATTCTCTGGTAATATCAACGAAAATATATTTTCATCGAACTATCTAATGTAGAACGGGAATGTAAATCTTTCACATAATAATATCGTATCATTCGTCAATTAACCAAATCTAACACCGCTTATTAGCATTCTATACCAATGTTGAATGGACTCGGCCCGAGCTTTCTTTTCCTGCTTCAATTTTGCTTCCTGCAAGGAAAAATAATTATTAATAAAAGTATTAGAATAATTCAAATATTCCACATTTTTGTTTATCTATTAAAAGAGAAAAATACATTGAGTATCTATTACCTTTAATAGTGTTTCTGCAGACTTATCGCACCACGTTATTTCAATATTAAAATTAGCCCAGTGTTCGGTCAGACCATCGCAGCATTTATTTCGGCAAAGTTCAATCTTGTATATATATTTTATTCCCAAAGAACAGCATTTCTGAATGAAATAAACAATGGAAAGGATAACCGCAAGAAAATAGAAAAGTCTTGAATTACGACAACTATAGGTTGAATAGTTTGTTTATAATGAAGAAAAAATAAGCAATAATGATATCTAAGAATAAACAGATTGCCATAAAAATTTATTAGAGACTATTTTTTAAGATTAGTGTCTATTTTTTTCTTGATGCTTGTTGAATAATGTAATTTAAAATATCCATTGACGAAACATATAAAGACAATATATTGATTGGCATTAAATAATTTACGTAATTATGGAACCACTAGTAACTTCAAGAAGTTGCTTAGATTTAGATAAGCTACACGTGTAAAGAGATTATAGTTGATACCAAAAATTAGTGCAAATTTGTAATACTTTTTTTATGTCTATAAGTGTATATGTGAGTGTGTGTGTGTGTGTGTGTATCTCTAAATGTATGATTACATTGAATAATATTAAAAAGTACACTATTGCACAAAAGGCTGCTATATTTTTTGTTACACATCCCTCTTTTTCATCAAAGTTGAAAAGGTAATGTTAACAATCTTTAAATGCATTTTCTCAATTAGGAAACTAGCCTTTTTAATTCACCAAAAGGAACTCTTTTCATTATTATTAGTTATTTATTATAAACTGATTAAATGTTATACTTTTAATATTTTGTTAAATAATCAAATACTATGTAGTAGTTATAAAGATTTTATAGTAACACACTCTCTTACGTTTGCTTTTCTATATATAAAATAATAGGTAGGTGGCCATGATGACTAGATGTTAAAAAGGAAGTTGTAAAAAAAAAGGTTAAGAAAGAAGTAATAGACATTGAAATACAGACAAAAGGTTTTAGATAACAAAAATTGATTATAAAAGTAGTATATATAAGATAAACTTTGCTCAGATTTGTATTAAAAAAGTTAAAAGTTTGAGACCATCATACGATAGATTTATCTTTAAACATTAAGCTCACCTCTGACGAAACATAAGTGTAGCTAGAAAACAGACAAAAAAAAAAGACTGCTGACCAGGTTTGAGAGAACATTACCATCTTTGAGAGATTACTGGGAGAAACTTATTTATATGTGTATGAATATGTTAATAAATACAAGCCCTATGCTTATTGGTTTGAGGACTGTAGCAAAAATATAGACGCCTAATAATCATAATGTTTTAGACTGTGTTTAACTAGTCAAATATAGTGAGAATACATTAGCAATGTCCATAAATTCAAAGTAAAATCTAAAAATAAACTTATATCACTATTAATACCTTAAATTACGGTAGTTACAATAGTTTTCTTAGTTTCACTTCAGAATGTAAAAGTGAATGTCGTTTAAAATAATTTTATCTTCCTTTTCTCTTTGTAATATTTCTACTTTTAATAGAATAATATGAAAATACGGTAAATTTGGAACTAGGTAAAACATTTGCTAATCAAGTTTCCAAGAATATCCTATTTGTGACTTTCCTCTATAGGAGAATATAAAGCTCAAAAATAATTAGTAAAGGAACATGACAATCAAGAACAAAAAAATTATAATGAAACTTTGTTACTTCTCATTATCGACATTAATTCGCAATGCTGAAAACAAGATATTTTTCACCTGCAGCAACTAATTTAGAAATGAATTCACCTCTAAATTAAGAACTGGATTATGAATTAGACAAAAATATTTAAATGACATAATTACAATATTTATTCATAACCAGTCTATCTTAAAATTAGATATTAGACATAATCATTTCAATAAATAGATTTTATTCGCGTTCATAATATTTGTTAACAGCTTATAATTTATAGTTCTGAAGTTCTCTATTAATATTATTGAGTTCATTTAACCTTTATTTTGAATAAGAAGTGAAAATAGCTATTCAGCAGTTTATGATGTAATTTTTTCTTTGATCTTCGTTTTATTTAACAAAAATACTACTTTTGCATGTTTTATATACTGTATATATATATGATATATATAAATATGGTATTTTCAGATGTGTAGTCTGTACTATGTAACGTAAAGGACAGTAAATATTTCATCTTTAGCAGATGATTTCCTTGTTGTTATATATTAGATAAAGAGCAAATCATAAGTTTTCATACTACTTTAAAAATTTTAAACCTATCCCACACGTATCTATATATAATAGATGGCGCCTGTATCTCAACTATGTTTATTCTAGGAAAGATACTGGTGCTATAGACCACATACCAAAAGTAATTTAAAAAATGAATATACCATTGTTATTATCATAGTCTTATCATATATAGCTCATTGTAGGTATTTAAATTTTTGAACCTGGATATTGTTAACTGTTTTATCTATATAATTTTAATAAAATACTGTATAAGATTTTGAATATTGTAATTCGTTTCCAAATGTTAGTTATTATAGTTAAATATGTCCTAATTGCACATATATAGTATACTATAAATAAAGAAAAAACACTAACAATTAGAGCACGGAATATATACTTTATGATGCAATTGATTATTATACTTGTAGATATTCTATAATACAAACATTCTCTTTAGTATTATTTAGAAAAATATTAAAATATATACTATCGTCTAAAAGTGGGTGGATAGTCGTTAATTCTTCGTTAGTCTTCAATCACTTTTAGCCTAAAACTTTATTGATAGTTTAATTACTCAATTTGTTTATTCATCAATAACGCCCACTTGTATTTATATACTTTGAAGTTAATTAGTAAACTTCATTTGAAATTGATTACTATTCAAGAAATCAATGCGATTTGCTGCTGTCGTTTTTTTTTTCGGTAAATGATCATTTCTGAAACAATATAAAGCAATTATAGTTGGATAACTTTTTCCTTTTTGCAGTAAGCTTCCTTTTGGATAGTTGCGTCTCTCACGACGTCTTTTGTCCTATAGGATACGAGAGATTTTACGAATCGTGTTATAAATATGTTCAGTCCAATCAGCCCCTAGATTGGGGGGATGCAAGGGCAAGATGCCAGGCTCAGGGTGCAGATCTAACTTTTATACAGAACGACAGTGAAAAAGTTGTTTACTTTTCCTTAACAATTAAATTTGAGTTTAATAACTTTTTTATATAATTACAAAATTATATAGAAATGGATAGTTCGAAATCTAGAAAAATTGAATACAACATCAAACGGAGAATATATTGAATGGTGGATAGGTTTAAAAAAGGAGGGAAACGATTGGAAGTGGACGAATGGAAACACCTATTCCGAAGGGGAATTTTTGTAACTATACTCTTTTAAGAACAATAATTAGCACTAACAATTGTTTCTTTTCTCCTTTCAATTATGCGGTATTTGATTCCATAAAGAAAGTGGAAAAATGGCAGACCTCGCGACGAGCAAGGTGCTGATTTCGTCTTAATAGAATTTCGAGGAGAAATAACTAATTATAAAGCCAATAGACCTAATGTAGGCTATATATGTAGAATACATGGAGGTAATTATTTGTATCTATATTTTATTTAAACTCTATATCATTAAGACAATTGGAACAGATAAACCGCAGCCTTGTCCAAGGACATGGGAACACTTCCAGGATGATTGCTATAAACTAAATGAAGGCAATTTGAAATGGGATGATAGTCAAAAAAACTGTGATAATAATGGGGCAGATTTAGGAAAGATAACAGAAGATTTACAGTCAGGAATTAGTCTCAGTTACGCTAAAGTAGCAAAAAAAGATATTTGGATTGGCCTTAGATCAAGAATTCGAGGAAATGTGAGTAATAGATAATTTATGTTTCTCCTAATAGAGTATACAATGAAAAAGCCACTTGTTGTTATAAAATATTAATCATTATCAATTAATTATCTAAGCGAATCGTTTAGTAAAGACAAACGATTATTTTATTATTCTACTCCCACTAATTGATAAATAGCTTAACTATCATACAAAGAAATTTTTTCTTATTTATATGTCTTCATCTTTTTATCATATTAATAATCTAATTAATTATCGGTAAGGTCATTCTTAGCATTTTTTTATTAGATCTATAAACTGTTACTACTCTTACAATAGATTCGATACAAAATAATATTGATAAGGGATAATTATTTTCTGCCACCACGTTTATGCAATCTGAATGACATGTAGTCTATGAAATTAAAGAAGAAAAAATCGATTATTTCAAGCAGGCTTAATATAGTTGATCCCAATATCAATCCAAAAGCTCCTCCCACATCGGATAAAAATGCTAGTCCAGTATAGCCTTTCTTGTCAATTATTTCAGACACGGTCAAAGTTGAAAAGTAGACTTTAAGTATACAATATTGATTTAAAATGAATTTTCTCGTTTGTCCTAATGCTTCACTGTTAAGTTTATCCATAAAAAAATTTCCAGCTGAATTATGCGATATTGTTTTTAAATATTCTGTTGTTTTACACATTGGTAAACAATTACATTTTTCTACCATTTGATTGTTAACGTAGTCAAAAGTTTTCTTATTTGCGCATTGCTGTTCTAGTACGCTACATATTTTGGAATTCCCAATCATATATATGTCCTTGCAATGACATTTACCAATTACATAATCTGATAGACATTTTAATTTACAATTTTTAACTGTGTAGTTACTGTCAGGATTACAATTGCCATAGGGTTTAGGAAGGTTAGATTTCCTAATGACAGAAAGAGCAATATTAGTTTGAGTTCCAGGACTTAAAAAAACTGATTCGTCATCTCTTAATGGTAAATCACTCTTGTCATGTACGAATACCTAAAAAAGAATTAGTATACACAATTGGCAAAGGTGTCTTTGTATATATATACTGTACATACTGTATATACTGTATATACAGTATATATCAGATTGTATTGCAAGATCAGAAACAAAAGCACTGATAACCAAATAATTTAACCATCTTAATGAAACAGTTTGACATTTTAACTTAAATTTTGCATTTAATGAGATCAAATTCTAGTTTTAAGGATTTTGAAATATCAATATTTAAATACACGGATTTTTGTTATCGAAATAGCAATACAATGAGTAAGATTAGCATTTAAAATTTTACTCTGTATCCAGCTGCAGGTGAATTTAGAGTAAAATAATCTTGTTGTCCAACAAATAAGAGCATATCAAGTGCGAAAATAGAACCTTCTTGGCTTATTTTCCTTGATATATTATCATTATTAAACTGATAGCATAAACCCAAATCAGTTATAACAGAAGTTATGTTTTCTCTGCTGCATGCAGTTTTCTTGAAAGTGCACTGAAAGTTTATAACAATCTGCAATAAAGATTGTTTCTATATATCCAAGTTTCTATTACCTGTTGTAATTCAATTGCTGATCTAAATGGATAAAGTTTTTCGTAAACTTCCTTAAACGTCGTGTTCCCTAATGTGTTAAATTTTCTTTTTTCTGCTTCAGTTAATTCAGGAGCCAAAGGATTATTTATAGTCTCAAAAATTTCTGTTAAATCTTTAAAGAAAAATGAAGTATTTTCAATAATATATTAAATCTGCTTAAGAACTCACTGAGAATCTCTGCTACCTTTAGTAGATAACGATTTTCCGAACATATAGTAATTGTTGGAAAAATAAGCGATTTTTCATATCTATATTTAATATCCGTTTTAGACTTAAAAGAATAGTACGCTTTTGTTCTATTAGTTAGTTGAAAAATCATGAAACATAATCCAAAAAGAACAAGTATAGACCATGTTATTCTTCTCTTTGTAGAATTATGAGATGAAAGAAATCTTACACCCTTAAAACTTGATACTGCAAAATAGAAATCTAATTTTTTTGACCAGAATATTTTAAAAGTATCGCTTTCCAATTCTTCTTCCATATTAACTAAAAGGAGAAGCTTTTTCTGCTGAAGTGAATCAGAGAGTAGCTACACTTGCACTGAGTGAAAATTTGTATTTGAACAACAAAGTATGTTTGTACTTAATGTCTTATAAAATAATAATGCGAAAGCAACCTTACTGTTTCCATGACGCACCTATTCATTATTAAAATGTTTCCAAGTTCCACTTTTTTATATTAATTAATAAGCATAGTATATTTTTAAAATAGTCAAATGATCAATATGATTGGTTTTGGGCTGATGGCTCTAAACTTGGGTCCAGAAGTTATTGGAAAGATAAAGCACCAACGTTAAAACCGTTTGTATTTTTTGCAAAATTGTTTAAATGATTCACTAATCAATTAATTGTGGTAAATTAGTAATGAGAGAAACTCTACTTGTGTAGTTGTTGCTAGAGACGGACAAAGTAAAAAAAATTGGATGCATAAATCGTGTGATGAATCGTTTGGTAGTCTTTGTATGCATAAATCCGGTAAATTTAGAATATTAATTGAGTTTTTAAATAATAAAACAATAAAATTTGTATTAAAGGAACCTGCGCAGCTAATTGGGATATTCATCATAACTATTGTTATAGATTTTTCACTACAGAAAATATGAGAACTTCGTTCAACAATGCAAATAAGTATTGCACTGATAGAAAGAGTACAATGTTACATATAAAGACGTAAATTTTCAATAAGAGAAATATCTAGTTTATAGTTTAATAAATGTATATGAAATTTTAGGGAAAACGATCAGAATTTTGTTAATAGACGTCTTGCTGGATATTTTAGTTCTGGGGCAAGATATTTATGGTTAGGAATTAATGATGCAGGTTCAAATGATCGAGATCGATGCAAATTTAAATGGACTGATGGAACTTCTATTACAAGCACTTATAAAGTAAATTTTATTTTATAGCTTGAAATAACATAAAAGTGTTCATTTTATATTTATTTTGCAGAATTGGCTGTCAGATACCCCTCTCTGCTTTCCCAATACGAAAATTATCTCTTATGGATATATTTTCACGGGTAATACGCATTTACAAAACTGATGGATTTTAAAAAACAAAACAATTGTCTTAAACTTTATCCTTCTATTTTAATAGGTGATCGAGCTGGTAGATGGAGAACGAGTGAAAATCCGGCTCAATTGAACGCATTTGGTTGTAAGATTAGAGTAGGTCAAGAACCTACTGAACCAACTCAACCTCCCGGTAACTATTTATTTATCAATTGAAAAGCATGACTTAATCATAAAAAATTGTGTTTCCAATAGTTCAATATTCTTGCCCAAGTGGATGGAAGTTGAATGATAAAAAGTGCTATGCATTCTTCGATTTAAAAATGAATTTCTTAGAAGCCCGTGATCAATGTTTAAAAAATGATTCACAATTAGTACAAGTGTATTCTCCTGATGAAAACGCCTTTGTCACTGGTCTTAGTAACAACGTTATCTATATGGGGTTGGCCAGTCTTACTCCAAAAGGCAATTACACCTGGATAGGTGTGCCAAGTGGAATAGTACATATTTAGCCTACATATATATAAGCCGTTAGATTTTGATTATTATTTTTTTTATCAAATTCTAGCCTAGTTATACGAATTGGGCTCCAGGAGAACCTAGTCATACACATGGTAATATAGAAGAAGATTGTGGAACAATGAAATTTTCACCTGAGACTGATAAAGGAAAATGGAATGATGTACCTTGTGATTATAAGTATAGTTTCGTTTGTGAAAAGCCTGCGAGTAAGTTGTTTCTTGTTTAAATCTTCCTTAGGTAGCAAAATATATTGTTTACGTTAACCAGGTGTGGTTGGTAATCCTACTACTCCTCCAGTGACAGTTCCAACTCGTAAGCTGTTTCAATTTATATTCATTTTATAGCTTTAAAAACTTATTCTTTTTCACAAAGCGAGCTGGACAAATAAATGTGGTATCAATTGGTCTGATCGCCTTAGATCTCCCTATTGTTATATGGTTATATCCACAACTATTTCGTGGCTTTTCGCGAAAAGAACTTGTAATCACTATGGTGGGGAGTTAGCTTCCATACACGATGCTGCAGAAGAAGCGTACATAAGAGAACTTGCTGTTCAAGGTTCACAGTCAGCTTATTGGATAGGGATGAATGACAGATCTCAGAAAAAGTTTTGGAAATGGTCAGATGCTAGTCCCGTGAATTTTATAAACTGGGGCCCGTCTTTCCCTAATCCTTCTGCAGGTAAACGAGATTGCGGTGTGTATGTGCCAGACAAAAGAGAATGGCAAACTCGCGACTGCCGAGGAGGAAGAAACGGTATTGTCTGTAAAAAGAGAGGAAAACTACCTGATGGTCCTGCGACATCTCCAGCAACTCCCCCTGTAACAAAACCGGGTATGAAATATGGATGTCTAGCTGGATGGAAGGAATGGTCTCAAGGAAAACACTGTTACAAATTTATTAACGAAACAAAGACTTTTGACGAAGCCCGTAGAGGATGTCAAGATTCCGCGATAGGTGCCGATTTAGTATCAATTCAATCAACGGAAGAAAATGACTATATCTTTGGAAATTTAAATCAAAGTAAGAAATATTTTAAGCCAACTCTAATTTATATAAGAAAATTGAATATCTGATTAGTCGGAAGTTCTAACGGCGTTCCAAGAGCATGGATAGGAATGAGAAACATTTTTGGCTATGGTCATTTTGCCTGGTTAGATTTAAGTGAATTTAGCTTTTCAAACTGGGGTGATAGTCAACCGGAAAGCTCTAATACAATTGGTTCGAAATGTACTAGTATGAATCTACAAGTAAGAAAGTTATAAAATATTTGTTTTCCAAATATGTAATTGACCTATGACTTTACTGTTAGAATAATCGTTGGAGAACAAACGATTGTACAAACAATTTACAAGGTTTTGTTTGCAAAACGAAAAAAATTTTGGTTCCTGCAGTTACGCCAACGATAGCTAATTGTCCAATGGTCAGAGAAGCATTTAATATTCATTGAATTTAAAGTTGAGATGAAAAGCATATCTATATATTACAGGGCACTGACTTCGAATACAGACACTCGTGTTATAAACTAGTTAGGAATCAAATGAGCTTTGACAACTCAAGAAATAATTGTAATAGTACATTCGATGGCGATTTAGTCGATATGGCTGATAAGTAATTTTTAAATTTTAACAATAATTTATCATTTTATTTTCATCTTTTTTATTACTAATAATGTAATATAGGCAAGAATTGGCTAGAATAGTTGGTGAACTGCCTAGACACGAAGTAGCTCATTTCTGGATTGCTTTTTCAAATAGAGGTTCAAGTGGAGGAAAGGAGTGGAAATGGGTTACAGGTATGCCAAATGCTGTAACTAATTGGGACGAAGGGGAGCCCGAACAAAAGGAAGGTTTATGTGCTGTCATTGAGTCAGGAAGACATATGGGCTTATGGAAGACTCGGAGATGTGGAATAGAAATTTGGCATATATGCAAGAGAACGAAAATCGGTTGGACAACTCCACCATTACCTACTACAACTGCCATTCCTGTTTGTCATGAGGGCTGGGAACCCCCAAGCTTTGTAACCGATTCTAATGCTTGCTACAAGGTTTTCACTTTTACTCAATTGTTATCAAAATATAGTTTAAATGGTTTATAGATATTTCGAGAGAGTAAAACTTGGCAAAGCGCAAGAGAATACTGTAGCAGTATCGGATCTAAATTAGCCACAATTCATAGCGATAAAGAAAATATGCACATAGGACGTCTAACGCCCTTGTAAGTATGGATATTAGAAAAACAGAGTCTAATTATTATAACGCCAATATTCTTCATGTTAGTGACCAGTATTGGATCGGTCTATATAACAATTCCGGAAGTGAGCATTGTCTAAATTTCACTATATATTTTATTTTTATAATACACTTAATTTACATCATTACACCATAAATTCCAACCAATAGAGCATACTTGGGTAGATGAATCTCAAGTTGATTATGAAAATTGGGAGCCAAATCAACCAGATAGTCATAACGGAATGGAAAATTGTGTTCAAATAAATACTCAAGGAACTGCTGGAGATAAATGGAGATATAAAAGTTGTTTCGTTAGTCAGCCATTTGTTTGTAGATTGGAGAAAGGACAAAAACCAAAAGATCCTCCGACATTACCCCCACCACCCACTGCGATATGCGGCAACGATGATAGTTGGAGAAAAATAGGAGACTATTGTTATTACGTATCTAAGGTTAATGAAGATAAGAATTGGTTTAGAGCTAGAGAGTTTTGTAAGAGAAATGGTGGAGAACTAACAAGTATCCATGATGCTGATGTTAATAATAAACTGACATCTTGGGTAAAAACAATTGCACAAATACAATGATATAGTATAAAGTGTTTTTTTAAATAGTCTAGTAGCTTAACTCATGTAAGGAAAACATTCTGGATTGGTTTGAATGAACTTGAGAGAACTGGATATAAGTAATAAATAAAAAGTCTTTGACTTGTGTAACTCAGTTTTTTTCCTTAATTAGGTGGAGTGACGGAAGTCCTAGAGACTTTTTCAATTGGGCCCCAGGAGAGCCTAATGACCATCATTTTGGCCAGCTATGTGTTAATTTATATAGTTTTAGCAGTGAGTTTAAAATTATACAAAGATATTTGAATATTTTGCCTAATTCATTAACTTTTAAAAGGTTTCTGGAACGACGATAATTGCGGTGACGTTCTACCCTATATATGTAGAAGGTGGAATGGAACAGGTACCCGACCAACAATTCCTCCCGATCCTCCAATGCCTGGCTTTTGCCCAGAGGGATTCTTTTCAATAGGTTAAGTCTAATTACAGATTAGAAGTTTAGTAGTATTTATAAAAAAATATTTCTTTTAGATAATCGCTGTTATAAAGCATTCAATGACTTAAAAACGTGGGAAGATGCAGTCGTTGCCTGTAGAAATTTAAGCTCAGATTCATTAGTTCCTTACGATTTGGCGAGTGTAATAAACAGTAGAGAGCAAAAATTAATTAATGTTGTTGTTGGAGATGCCGCTTACAGGTTTTAGATTAACTAGTTTTGTCCAATAGCTCAACTTATTTATTGTTCATATGTAATATTTAGATTTTACAAAGATAATCCTGGTACATCAAAAACTATTACATATTGGATTGGACTTTCGAGTAGAGTTAGAGTAAGTTTGGAGTAGGATAATTCTGATAGACTTTTTATGACTCGAACAATTACAGGATAGACCTCAAAAGTTCCAATGGGTCGATAACGCACCTTTTGACTATAGCAACTGGGCTGATGGTGAACCAAATGGTCAACCTTATGAAGTGAGAAATTCCTAAATGAAAATAATTTACTAATTATTTAATTACAACATGTGTAATTTCGTTAGGTTCAATGTACTGAGGCATATTCAAATAATGACCGTAACTATGGAAAATGGAATGATCATGACTGCAATTCGGACATTGGATATATATGCCAATATAGAAAAAGTTATTTCGTCCAAGCTATACAGCAAGCTTTATTCATTTTATTTCTTTTGTTTTTCTAGATGCTCAAAACGAGATTACCTCTGCTCCTCCACCTCCTCCCAGATGTGATAATGGATGGGATGCATACAATCATAATTGCTATAAATTCTATTCCAATAAATCAACGTGGGAGGAAGCAAACAATAAATGTAAAGAAGGGAGAGGTTAGTTAATGATATCCTATACGGCTATACTAATCTTAACTAAATTTAATTTGAACAAACGTTTAGGAACATTGGCTTCAATACATGGACTGGCTGAGAATTCTTACTTAGAGCTATATAACGAAATGAATTCTAATGTTGATGAACTTTGGATTGGTTTAAAAGCTATAGATTCGAATGTAATTGGCTTTTTCTTATTTATTATTTACACTTGAGTACTTCGATTGCCATTTGTTATCTTTTTTGTGTTTTTGGCTAGGCATCCTCCATAACTTACGAATGGATAGATAAGTGGCCAGTTACCTATACTAATTGGGGGACACAGCAATCATGTGGAGCAGAATGCGGTTGTGTTTCAATGTCTAAAAATGGCACATGGTCGGATATAAAATGTTCCACGAAACAGGCATTTTTGTGTAGGCAGACTAATGGTAATTAAAACACGTTTTTAAATTAAAAATTTAATATATTTTAAAAATCATATATAGTAATATACAGTATATATAATTTATATATTTCCGTATATAGAAGAGTTAAGAGAATTGCTTACATGCCCTCTTTTTTTTCTATTATCACATTAATTTGCTTTAGTAAGGCTGAGAACGATAAGAGAGCTTTTCATCCTTTAACAAGTAAAAAATTCATTTTAGTTCATGGCGATGAAAGATTATACAGTATTGCTATTTTAAAATGTATCAATCTTCGAGGACTAAAATCATTATAGTTCTCAACTGGTCGGCATATAGTCTAGTTTTTACTATAATTATTTTATTGCTGGTTAGTCACAGAAAGTCTACTTACAAGAAAGAATTAATTTTAGTATCAAATGTACAATATCTTGAAAAAGTTGTATTTTATAATGTCAACTAAAGAGTAACGAAAAAATCTTAGATAATTACTTTTGGGATGAACTTGCAATCGTGTGTATGCAATTTTACGATTAGTTTTATGCAAGGAAATAGCTTAAAGTTAAATATGCATAGGTATAAGTATAATTATAAATAAATTGAGTATGTATGCATTTTAGAACAACCTCCAACGACTCCTCCCCCTCCTCCTCCTTCTCCTTGTATAAACGACGATTGGAAATATTTTAATGGATATTGCTACAAACTAGGCGATATGGGAAGTTGGGCTGATGGTAGAATGTCCTGCGAGTAGGTTATCATCTATTAGTTTGAAACGTTATTTCTATTACTTTTTTTTCAAAGAATGGCTGGAGCTACTTTAGCATCTATTCATGGCGAAGATGAAAACAAGTTCATATATGAGTTAGGAAAGGGAAAAATAGGAGATATTTGGATTGGAGCAGTCAAAATTGGTGGTATTAATGGAAGTGAGTGGAAAAACATTCCATATTTAGCTTCTAATCTATTTTTAACTATTTTTCTCAGCATTTAAATGGATAGATGATACGGCATTTGGTAATTATAAAAACTGGGCCAAAGATGAACCCAATGATGATGATGGTAGGTCAATTTGTGTGGAAATGTATACGGGAACTTACGAAACAGGCAAATGGAACGACCACTTGTGTGATAAGAGATGCAATCATATTTGTAAAATGCCAGTTCGTTAGTATTCATCAAAAACACTAGCATGAATTAATACGACTATTTATAGCTAATAATGCTTCAACGGCAACACCCTCTACAACTGTACCACCAGTTCCAACTCGGATGACAAAAACTACACAGGTCAAACCAACTGATCCCGGAAAACCGCCAGTTCGTTCAAGTGAGATATCTATTAATATAATTTAGAATAAAATTTAACAAAAACTTTTTTTCAAAAGCAATATCGCTAAGACCTTCACACTTTACGGATCCAATTAGAAGGACTAGAGGTCCTGGAGAAAAACAAACTTCAGGTCTATCTGGAGGAGCTAAAGGAGGAATAGCCTTCGCTGTAGTATGCTTACTCTTAGCAGTAATTTGTATTGGTCTTTTCGTCGCCAGAAGAAAAAATAAAATTCCTCAAAGTATTTTAACAGTTGCTGAAGGAAGAGGCTCTGGTATTACTAATCCAGGCTATGGACAGTTAAATTAATGGATTTTTGATTCAATCTTATAAGATTTCTTCAATTATTATTACTGTAAAGCTTTAATTCATAAAAACATTTTTACTATTCACATATTATATTCTAGTTATAAAATTACAGGTGTTAAATCAATACGCAAGTATTATTAGTAACGCAAAGAACTAGTTTTTGGCCTACAAAAGTCAATCAATAATAACTTTCTTGTATCTGTAATAAATATATCAAATTGAAAGTTATTGATTTATTTATATTAAATATATATATATATATATATATATATATATATATATATATATACTGTATATCCATATACAAATAGTTATTTTATTTTAAATGAAGAGGTTGTTCGTAGAGAGAAATAAAAAGGACAGAAGTAAATTTGCATTACATAGAGTATGCATGAAAAACAACGGAAATTTTCTATAATGATAGTTCGGATAGAAGAAGAAATAAGAGAGAGAAAGAGAGAGAGAATGCGTAAATAATTATGTCTTATTATAAAACGTCCAGTAAACAATATTAAATAATGCAAACAATGCTGGAAAAAAAGCTCTGCAAAATATGTCAATAATTTTTGCTGTACTCTTCTTGTCTTTATTATTTTTCGATGGAGCTAGATGTCTACTTCTTTGGTGATCATCATCATTTGGTATGACTCTTACTATTCTCTTCCTAATTCTTTTGTCTTTTGATGGTAGCAGTTGACTAACCTTCAAATTAATATATGAAGCAAGTTAATAGCTGCTAATAAGGCTACTTGATAAGATAATACGCACTTTTGCATTAGAAAACATTTCCTTCAAGAACTGGTTAGAGTTTCTTTGACGTCTATCTAAAAGATTTACTAGGGGATATTCAAGAAATGCTCCAACAACCATTAAGAGACAAACCGCCATCCATATGTCAATAGCTTTGACATAAGATAATTTAGGCATTTGGGCAGCAAAATTGGAATTTTGGGTACTAACAGTTAACACTGTTAATAAGCCTAACGATATTCTAGGCGCTACAGCTTCAATTTCTATCCAAAATGTTAGCCAAGAAAGTATTACTATTAACAATGAAGGCACATAAACATTAATTAAGTAATATTCAAAATGTCTCTGGAAAAACAGGTCTGCTTTTAAGCATGAAAAATTCCCTGTCATTGTTTTGGAGTAACAGTAGGAATTTAAAATATCCACTAATTGAAATTCTGGCACTTTAAGATTTCTTGCAACCGTTGTTGGCCACTTGCTATAATCCCAAATTAACAAAAGGTCACTTGCCGTATAGCCATCTGTTTAAAGTAATCAACAAATTACTTTTATACAAGAGAAAACAACAAAAGACATTCTTATGGTGATGAAAAACTAGAGATATTTAGATAGTTTTAAGGTAGATATCTAGCACATAAAATTTCCATATAGCTTAAATTAGTAAAACTTTTAAATAGGCTTAAATTTATGTTGTTTTTAGTTTGAGTATATAGTTTCACTATCATCCTACTTTAAGACCAATCGTTTATAAATACATCCTCTTATATAGGAAGCTGAGATCTGACTTTCTCTTGTAAGTTAAGTGCTTGGGTAGGTAAAAGGTTCTGAATTGATGATTTGACTTGGTAAATGATAACTGGGATAATTAATCCTTTAAATTTTTTTTAAACTATCGCGAAATCAAGTTACTTTAGACGAAAATAGTATGGTAATATTATACTTAAATGCTTGCAAGTCATCGTCTCAACGTTCGTGACATCTGTACTAAATAGGCTGAAATTCTTTCCTCACTTTCTTAATATATGGTACTAGTTGAATTTTTTTCTCTTTCCTTTACTAAACAACAAACATTTACATGTAATGCATATAATCTACTTTAAAACATATATAACATTTTGTTGCTTGCTTTGTTTAAACATTCAATTAAAATAAAATAAATTAGCAAAAGAGAAGCATTAAAAAGAGAAATTCTTACAGCTCCCAATTACTACTCGGCAGGTTTGATTGTCCAGGGGAAATTTCTTTAGTTGTAATTCACAATGTAAAGTTAAACTTAATCTTTGACTGTAAGTGATATTTCCATTTGGATACAAATGTAAAAGTCGATTAGGAACAACGATATCGTGGGTTCTTCCTGTTTTCTCATTCTTTATGAATACATCAGGGATCCATACTTTTTCGATCTGTTTATGTGAAAGAGTATACTTCCGTGTCTTATTTAAGTGAGAAAATCTTAATCTTGGATCATTCCATTTGAGTCTTAAATAAATATTCATATCGTACTCCTGTTGGTTATTTACAAATACATATTATTATTAAGAATGTGCTTGGTTTGTATAAACACAAACCATTCCAGCCTCTCTTAATGCTGACAAGGAATTGATGCGAAAGTTTATTGAACAGACAACAGGTTCGTTAATGCCAATGTTAGGAGGAACTTCTCCATCGTACTGGGATGGAGATAATAATCCACTAACTATTTGATGCATTTCTGTTCGCTGATTGGGAGAAGAATTTCTGTTTCACATCATAAGAATCAATTTAGAACTCACAAATAATATATATACCTTATTAAAATTAGTAAATATAGATAAATAATCATTGTTAAAAAAACTGTTATCTTTTTTCCACTCTCATAGTAAACTTTAAGCAATCCGTATTATTTTCGAGTTGGATGTTATACTCTCTTATATTTCGTTATTAAGAGTGTTGGTTATTAATAAAGCTTTTATATTATGATAATTAAAAAAAAAACATATGTTCGTCTGAGCCAATTAAAATAGCAGACAACTAAGTGACATATGGTAATCAAAGCATTAATTCATTTGTTTTATCCTTTTATTGTAAAAAATTCACGCTCAATATATAAAAAGCATGAATACTATTAAGCAGTAAACTCTTACTCATATTGTACAATGATTTGTTTTTCAGTTTTATAATAATGGTATAAAGCTTTTTTTATTATTCAATGTCAGAGACCTTTTGTAAATTTTTAACATTTTTAACAAATCGTTCAGCTTTTTTTGTTGGTAAGTTACAACAAAAAGTTTGTATGCTTTTTGCTTTTCAATTTTATCTTTTTACCAGTTAAAAATAGTTATTAGGTAACTATTCAAGGTTATCATCCATTGTATATCCCTTTACATATTATCGAATTTTTACTTACAGATGCCATTTATTTTTTGTATTTATTCGATGAAAGAACGTTGTTGATGCTTTTCGGAGTATTATTTTATTATTAATTGACTTAAAAGTATTTTTTCATTCCCTCTCTCTCTCTCTCTGTTTATCTACTTGTGTTACATTTTTTAATCAGCTAGACAATTTTTGATTTAGAAATAGAAAATATATAAAAAAAATAGACGATTAAAAAAATTAATTGGGTACGAAAGAAAAGAAAATTATTCCTTTGTAAAGTAATTCCGAATAAGGAGGTTTTCTTTTATAATTTCTCTTTTTTTCAATAGTAAAGAAAAAGTATGGTATATTTAATATTTTGTACGTAGAATTATAAGTTTTTGTAAAAAAAATCATCATATTAGAGGTACACAGAGAGGGATTCACTTTAAATTTGTAGTTGCCCGATTATGTTTATGTGTTGGCGTGGTATAAAGTGAACAAATTTTTAGGATATACAATAAAATATGTAAAGTTATTAAATACCAAAGCTTTTGAAAGTTTAATAAGGATAAAGATATATTTAGTATTTTACATCAACAGAAACTAAGTGGATTATCAGAGTAAATTCAAATACTTAAATATCAAAAGTTTATTTTGCTCATTTTATGAATATCTCTATTTTCTGTCTACTCAATCTCTTTGCGATATCATATATCGTGTAACCAATGAAATACTCTATTAAATTAAAAATATTTTAATGAAAGCTACCTTTAAAAGTGTTTCTAAATATTCTTCTATATTAATTAAAAGTGCAATAAATTAACATCTAAATATTTTTTATTTCTAAGCACGAACGCTATTTGTATAAAACACTTAGCCATCAATATAAACACATATTATATTTTTAAACTTAATATAAAGATCATTTTTTAAATATAGTCATACTTTTAATTAGATACTGATACGTTCAAATGTTTTACCTTTAACAAAAAATATAGAGCTAAAAGCCTTCTTTGTGTCACAGTAGGAAAGGTAAAGTCACGTGACATTAGACTACAGCAGTAATATCTCGAGCACTGTACTGTGTAGATAAAATGTTTAACAATATCTCTCGTTTGTTAAACGAAAGTAATACAAATATAATGGAAATTTGTAAGAATTGTAAGTACAATGAACTCATTTTTCTATAAGTCTATTTTCAAGCGAATCTATTTAAAATTTAATTATTCTGTTTTTTATACTGGCTTATCTTTCATTTTTCTAGAAGTTGAACATTCTATATATTTTATATTCTCATTTAAACAAAACTATAGTTACTTTAAATATATTTTATATAAAACTATATTTCTTGCATCTTCAATAATACAAACTTTATGTTTCAATTTCATTTCATTCCTTAATTTTAGATGTACGGATTTCCGGAAGCAGAGGAGTAAACAATGCACAAACTATTATTCAGAATATTTTAATACCACTCTTTGCAACTTTTGCTCTTATTGGAAATTTAATAAACGCCTCCAAGTTTTTAAAACGATTTATGGTCATAAGAAAATGTTCAAAAAATTTGAAAACGTCTTATTCTTTGTTAAAATTTCGTTATGTTATTGAAAAAGCAACTTTATTTGAATTGAGTGCCTGGTCTATAAGTAATTGTTTATCATGTTTAGTAATTTTACCTCGATTCCTTGTTCCCAAACGACAAGGTATATTTTGTACCAAATCCTTCGGCTTGTATTTTGAGTTGTATGAACCTGCAGTTAAGCAAATATTTAGATGTGAGGGGACTTGGTTAGCTGTTTTAGCAGTATGTACAAATTTTTTATGCATTAAAAAAATTCACGAAGCACACTTATACGTATCTCTCAAAAACTTGACAACTATGATACTCTTGAGCGTCGGTCTCATCGCAGTGGGTCACATTCCCATGTTGTTCAAGTATCAGTTAGACGCCATAGAAAACGACAAAATTACTTTTTACACCATTATTCCAGGTTGGTTAAGCGGTAAGCAGGAGCACTTTTTTTCTTGCCTATGGTTAATTATAGGATATCTAATGCCACTTTTGCTATCAAGTTTTTGCATGGCCAAGATAATACGGACGCTTCTTACTTATCAAATAAGAAGTACACAAACGAAGAAGGCTATTAAAAAAGCAGCTGTATTAGTTTCTGTAAATGTTATATTTTTATTGCTATTTCAAACACCGTATCAAATTTTTACTTTTTTTTTATTGTTAAAAACCATGAAAAGCGTCTCTACAAATATTGTAGTATTCAGTAATATTGTAGAACTGTTAAACGTTTTGCATTACAGTTTAAACTGTTTTGTTTGTTGTTTTTTAGAAACTTCTCCAAAAAAATGTCTTTGTATTTTAATATATAAATTTGGTCACAAAAGTGATATAAATAAATCAGTTAAATGGTCAAGAGACAGTGCAAATTTAGAAATAGATGACCACGAATAAACTGATAATTGTTTCCTATTTCTTGAATATTTATTTCGGCAGTATGAATGAAAACAAAGTATTCATTCATAACTGCTTTATTAATACATTTAAAAATAATGTATGTTCTTTTATTGATTTCAATTGAAAACAACAATAAAATAAACAAAATAATATTTACAATATAGTGCTTCCATCTGGCGTGTCTTTGTTAAGTATACCTTATAAGGAATACATCTTAAATTAAGTTACATCACGTGTATTTTGATATATAAAAAGGTATAATGGGAAATGTATATTATAAGGTATCTGCAGACAGAAAGATAGATATAGAGGGGACGAAATGTTATGTTATACAGATATGAGTATAAATATTTGAACATTTGTATAAGAAGTTGTAAAGAAATTAAAGAAACCTATCTTTACAAGGAAAGTAATAAAAGACACAAAAACACGATAGAGGTAATTTAATTAAATTGTTAAATTCTATTATTCAACTATGTCAACTATTAACCAATAACTATTTATACTGCATTTTGTTTTCAATGTAGAGGAAACAAGCGTAATTTAATAAAATAGTAAAAATAGAAAAAAACGATGAAGAAGAAGGGGGAGGAGGAGGAGGAAGAAAAGATAAAGCAAAAGCTCTTCAAGTTCAGGCTAAGAGATATTGTTAATCAAATTTAGAATATCAAGAGTTTTGATGTATACTTTTCTTTAGAAAATTCTAATTTAATAAACAAGTATCAATACATAAACGTAAGCGTGTAGGCTTCTCTCATTTTTTTAATTAGTTCTCTACTTTTAAAATATTGAAGAAAAAACAATAGATTAAAATATCATACGTGACTGATTTATTCAAAAGGAATGAACTATATAAAAAGGATATTTATGATCTTATGCCCTCTATAAAAATTAAGAAAGGCTGCTATACTATTGATAAACTAACTGTTCTGTTGTTAAAAAATTTATTATATAATTAAGAATATTTAACAATCTCTTCATTTATTATTCGTATTATGTATTTAGTTTAAAAATGAATAGCTAGAAAAAAATACTCACGTTAAATACAGATATAATAAGAAGTATGAAGCTACAAGTAGCGTATGACATACACTATATATATATATATATATATATATATATATATATATATTTCATAAAGTATATACGGTATATTGATCTAATGTGACATTCTAACATATACTTTAAATCATGCTTTTTCTCCATTTGAAAAACTTATTTATGAATGGTATTTAATCAATTCAAAAAAAGTATCTACTTTATAACAATGACGCTATAAAATTACAACAATCAATAGTCAGTTTTGATTTTATGGAAGAAGCCATAGCATATAATAACGCCTGTTCTTCTCTTGAGAAGCCTTATCAAAAAAAGTTGGTGATTTGAAGCGAAATTAAATGATTAGGGTGAAAAATGGATGACTTTATGTTAAAAGTAGATGAGATATTTCTCTATTTGTTTTTTGTTACTAGACTATATAAATGTCATTTTTTTATTTTGTTTTTTAAGCGGTTTTTCAAGTACAAGCTATAATATTTTCTAACAAATATTTTGATATAATGCATGTTATGTCATGTATAAACTTCGAAATAGTATTATTTATATAATTATTGACTGTTAATGTTGTTCATCAAGAGTCAAGGAAGATATAGAGAGATTAATTCTGCATTATTATATGAATAAGATATGAACGTCTATCAGCGTTAGAAACTTCGTTCATCTGCACTAGAAAATGGATTTTAACAGGGCCAAATTTTCTCTTTAATTGATTATGTATTCTTTAAGTTATTGTCTTTTTCAATGACTATATGAGTTATCATTAATAACATTAATATATTGAATAATTACTTTTCATAATCGTCTTTTCATATATTAAACAATTCTGTTTAAGAAAATACAATTCATGAATAAACAATATTGATATTTCTCTACGAATAGCACCACCTATCGACATAATACAAATAATTTTCATATTCATGTCAATACGAGAAGCGAAAACTCTTACCGTAGAAAATATATAACAATATTAGCCTTAGCAATATAATTCCCAAGTGTACGTAAGTAATTTTTATTGTTTTCTAATAATTCAATCGAAACATTAAAGAAATATCAGCGAAATACGAGAAAATTGATATTTTTCAATACAATATTTTAGATGATCATCTTTCTCTTTTTTATGTTTCAGTTCATAAATCTTCTTTATAGTTTTTTTTCCATCATAGGGTCAAAGAGATTCTTTTATATATCAGGTGTATAGTTTACCTCAAGCAAGACCTCTAATTTTCAGTAACATTAAAAGGTGAAATATATGAAAAGATTACGGCATGTGTAATATTTTTTTTAAAAAATTATTTCTACCATATTCATTTATTCTATTATATTTATTCTAAAATGAACAAATATGTCTTCATTAAAGAAAATATATAATAAATCATTTGTTAATTAAAGTTTATAAATATTCATTAGTTTCAAGAGTGAGAATGAAAGAGTTTGAGAGAGCGAGAGAGAGAGAGAGAGAGAGAGAGAAAGAGTGAGATAGCCAGAGAAAAAGAATAAAAGGTAAAATTTAAATAACAGTATATTAAAATAATCTTGTGTTTCTTTCCTCCTCCTTATATCTCTCTTTCTTATTTTAACAATATATTACACAACAATACTAAGAATTTGTAGCCACCAAGGTTTTTAACCTGTAAATATCCAGCAGAGCAGAGTCTTTTTACTAAGTGTCTTACTGTTTCATAAATTCTTTTACCTTCAATTTTATAGCTTCTAATAATAAAGAAAAAGAGAGGGAAATGTATAATTATTCTCTATCTCTTTTTCATCTAAAATTCCTTTTTTTTATTGTTATTAGTTGAATTACATCAGAGAAAAGGAATGGATAATACAACTTCTTCTATAAATCTTTATGCAGAACTTTTGAAAAAATACGAATTAGTTAAAAGTACGTTTTTTTTTTTCAATTATTTCAAACAATAAAAGTGCACTGAATTATCAATTACAACTATTTTATGTTAAATATACAGATGATAAGCCGACGACAATTGATGACAAAATTATTCTTCTATTTAGTCAAATTGTAATACCAACAATATCGAGTATTGGTACTGTTTTGAATATGGCCAATATTGTAATTTGTATACACAAGTTCAAAAATCGAATTAACTTAGAAGAAAAAACGAAATATATTGGTTTATTGTTTTGGTTCAGCTTCTGCTTTTTGGCATGTATATGCCTAATTCCACAAGCTTCATCGCCTTATCCAAGAATTATTTTTGTCAATAAATCTTTTAGTTTTTACTATCAAATGTACGGATCTACTCTGCAATTTCTATTCAGTCAACAATGCATCTGGGCAGCAATTTTAAATATAGTTATGCAATGTATTTGTACCTATCGAAGAAGAACAAATTATGCATCAAAGATATCTCCCAGATACTTTGTAACAATTATTTCTGTAACTTCCCTTGTAATTTTTTTCGGACACATTCCAATGATTTGGAAATTTCATTGTGAGACGATAAAGGATGAAACAGGAAAAAAAATTATTTATTTCGTTCACCCAGGCAGATTCTCCTTCAAAATTGAATTGATCGTTTCGTGGCTATGGTTAATTTTTGGATATCTTGTTCCACTAACAGTCTCAGTAGCTTGTTTTTTGATTATCAAAATTCGTTTGATGGCTGATGATGAGCACATGGATCTAAGATATAGAAGAAATGTTAGGAAGAGTTTGCATCTGGTTGTTATTAATATCTCTTTGCTAGTAATTTCTCAAACTCCAACTCAAATTTGTCGTTTTACCTTGTTATTGGAAAATACTCAGAAATCTCTACTTCTTTTCGCCGCTTTTGCAAATCTGCTATCATCTTTACATTATGCATTTAGCTGTTTTATTTACTGCGTAATCGACAAATCTCTTTGGAAATCATGTCGTGAAAATAGGGGGGATGAAGAGGAAAATAGTGCGATAGCACTATAAAATACAGAACGTTAATGATTATTTAAGCATAAAATATACACTTTGTTTACAGTATATATACATTGTAAAATTGAATTGTATATATACTGTATATTTGTCTTTGATACTCAAACTAATATTTTTCAGCCAGTATATCTAAAAAGCTTGGAAAAAGAGTATATCTATAAAAAAACTGCGTGAACAGTTTTATATAATATATAGAATATACAATATATTCATTTGGAAAGATGAAGAATAGAAAGATGTACGATTGCTTTCCAAATCTATAAGAAATTTATAAGAAAAATTACAAGGATAAAATAACTAAAACAGTTACTTTTGTTTTTAAAGAAAAACAGTAAGAAAGATAGATCGAGAACATTTTAAATAAGCCTCTAAAAGATAGATTTTTTCATTACAAAAGATCAACAAAAGAATAACACCCAAAGATTTTTTTATGTAAAAAAATTGTACTCTCCAATGCTTGTACTTTCAAAGTGTATCTTCTTTATAAATAACGAAAAATAGTAATTAGGCTTTTTTCTAAGTTTCTTTTATTATTTTCTTTTTGTTATATAAAACAATGAAAAAAAAACCATTACAGAAATAACATAAATGAAAAAATGAGAAATTTTGAAATCATGAAAAGGAGGAGAGGTCTTGAGAAGGAAATATATTATTTAAAATAAGTAATGCATTTACATCTTGTTAAAGATTTCAACTTAAAGATAGGAAAAGAATGAAACAAAAATAGAATACACAATGGCCACAAAAAGTAACTGTAACAGTAATGAAAATGACTAAAAATGTAGATTTCTTGAATTAAAAAGTATGTTTTAAATATTAAATCTTTGTTTCTATAAGATAAATGTCTTGTATAATATCCAAGTGTTGATCAATTTAGTTAGATATAAAGTAACTGTAAAATTTTGAAATTCATCTTTTATTATTTTTATACAATTTTACAGAATCATTTAACTTTAGATATTCACATTTCTTCTCAGCCTTTAATCTCCTTTCAATGGATACATAGGGGGTTTGGATTTCTAAATTGGAAATTTTTCAAAATTTCCCTCTAAACACCTCTCGTAGCTCTTCATTGTCTCTTGGCTGCCTTAGCTTCATTTTCTCAATGCAAAGCCCCCAAAGAAGCTCAATATTATTAAGATCAGGGCTGCTTTGCAGACCATTTTTTTGCAGTAGCTTGGCCTTTCTTATTAAAAATTGACTGTTTCTTTTTGCTATATGACAGCTGGTTTCATCTTGTTAGAATATTTTATTCCTCTGTAAGTTTGGTATACAACTATTTTTAAAAATCTAGATAATACATCAAAATTTTACGAAATCATTTATCTTATGGAAACAAACATTTAATTTAAGAAATTTACCTGTTTAGTCATTTTCACTACTGTTACAGTTATATTTCGTCATCATTGTATACTTTTTAAAATATCTTGAGTTATCTCTTAAATTTTATAGATAATCTTGAATACAATTAAATATCTTGAAATGTATTTAGTGTCACTTCTCTCTTACATTTCATTTGTATTATTTGAACTACTTAAGAAATAAAAAGATTTGCATTTATTCAAGTAAACATTTATTTATTTAATTAAATTATACAATACACTAAAATCTTAAAATATTATCAAAGTCATGTATAATTAGGAAGTAACCAAATGTTCTGTAAAAAACTATTATACTGTCTATACTTTTCCTTAATTAACATGTCATGTAACTACCATGAGTTATTTTTTTCTCCGATAGATGGCTGTCCTCGTTTCCTAGTTTTTTATTATGAATTCCTGTGTTTGTATTTTATATATAAACATATATATATTAATATATATTATATATATAAGATTTCAGGAGAAAATGAGGGTGTACAATTGTTTAGTTTTTGTTGATATTTTTCCATTAGAGACGAGATTTATCGTCGAAGTTTTTTCTTATATAACGTTCTGCTTTAAAGCTATATCTTTATATTTATCAGTTAGCTTGAAGGTCAATTAGGTATCCATTACATAAATCCAAATAGATTAGATAAAATTGAATATTATATTTTCGTGTAGAGAATTCTATAATTACGCTAATTATAAATATTCCTGATGATGATATCTTATCCATCTGTATATTTTTAATTACCATAGAGCATAATATTTTCTTTTATATATCAGTAATGCGAATGATTAATTTTCAGCTGGTGTATATAGAAGAGGCGAGGGGGAAAGGGGACTTAGAGTGAGGGATATTATACTGTACCTTTATTATTCTTCACTACTGTATATTAGTACTTATCTTAGTTGAAAAAATATTATATACCTTATCTTTATGATTGGAATAAATAGAATAAATAGACTAGAAACTTTTGCAAATCGTCATAGCTTGGGTCTTTAACAAAAGATGATATATTTTTCCTTTTTTCTTAAAAAAGGGTTTGAGTGAAAATTTCCTTCTAGGGGCAAATGTCAGCCGAATATTGATAGATCAATAAAAGACCTATTGAAAATGACAAACAGGTTATAATTAAAGAGTTGAAATTTCTCAGCGTTGAATATTCTACACGAAAATATATATTTTCTATTTAATTCCCTCAAGAAATTTTCTCATAGATAGAAATAAAATTATATTTACTCATAAAACATGTCTATTAAGAAATGGTCCTATACTCTCATCGATTTTTTTTTCAGGTGATTTTAATACGTACACTCAAGCATGACGATTTGTATAAAATTCACTCGAAACCTCTCGTCCTCAAACTATATTTTCGCTCATAATGTATTAAAGTTTATTGTTGTTTATATAGCATGTAAAATTTTTTTTATATTAATTATTATATTAAATAATATCGATATTTATCGCGTCTGGCAAATAAACTCTTTTGGTTTTAACAGAAAGCCAAAATTCGTGACGCTGTAAATACTCGTAGGCCAAAAAAATCTATAATACTTGGTCATTGTTCAATTCAGTTAGTACTTGCTATTTGAAACATATCGGATTGCTTCTTACTTTATATTTTGCAGTTGAGCCTGAAATCAGTACGAAAGTGTTCTTGTTTGCGATTATATCTTATTTACGTTAAATTATTAAAGGTTAGTTTAATTTTCTAAATTTTCACAGCTTATTCAGCTTATATTTTCTTGCTAAAGTTAACAACAACAAAAATAGTTCAGTCGCATTTAAAAACACTAAATACACAAGGTTATTATATGGATAAGCGATTATACTCAAATATACTATATTTAAAATTATATATAAAGTATATATGTACAACCGTTCAATTTATTATCCATCTATATTTAAAAAAAATCCCTTCTTCAAAATGCTATATAGGAGAAATGAAGCATAAACAGTTTCTTTTTAATAATTTCAGCAATTTTAACGATTTTACCATAAAGATAAACTCTTCTTCGATACGATTTATTGGTACCATTCTATCCTTGTTCTTCGTATTATTATCATTGGTATTACTGTAAAAAGAAAATTGAAACATATCGCAAGTAGATAGAATAGCTTTTTTTTAACGAGCCATTTAAAGATTAATAAATGACACATTTTCACTTGAAATATCACTCTACCTCTCATGATAGATTTTTCTTCTACCTTTCATATATTTCTACCTGTCTTTTTGAAGGCATTTTCGTTTCATATTAACAAAATAATAGTGTATTTTTGTTTTGAGATACTAAACGTTTATTTTAGACTTTAGTATGTCTCTATTTGAAACCATAAGAGTGTAGTAATCGGAGAACAGATTAAAATTATAAAAGGTAGTAGGAAAGGGAAGGGGGTGGATGAGAGACATAGCACGTTTTAAGTAGCTATTTTGAAGTAATTTAATCAATCATTTCCATAAAAAATCTATTGAAATTTAACTGTCTATAATCATTTTTTTAAAAAATTGATCTACATTTTTCCTTTTTATCAATTATCTTTGTCTGCGTTTGATAAAACTTCATAAGAACATTATCATAAGAGATTCTTTTTTTTTGTTTTATTATCCTTAAAAGATTTTTTTTTAAAGAAAATCTTTTTTAATCGTAAAAGGGAAAAGGGAATAAAGACTATTTCTTATATTTCATTTTTAAAATAAGCATACTAGTAAAAATCATTGAATTTGTATCATTAGACATGTTAATAATGTAATATTACTTAATTAGGATTTAAAATCATTTAGTTTAATAGAGAGCAAAGAGTCTTTATTGATAGTATTTTATTATTTATAAGAGAAATGTATCTTAAATATTATCATTATATACATTAGTATATACTGTATATACCGTAGACTTTTACTTATTTATTTACTTTTTCACTTATTCAGCTCACATAACATATAAAATAGAATGTTTATATTCGTAATGAGCGAAAATAAGGACAGTTTGAAATTGTTTTATGAAAGAAACAGCTTTTTCTCTTCTTAACAATGTAAAAATTTTGTGATAAAATTTAAACGAAGCTCTAAAAGGCCATTGTCAATTTTCTCAAAGTAAGTATTATTCCTATTTTCTTTACACGGATACAATCCGATTTCATTGGCCTAAAAATGTGATAATTTAATACAATTAAGCACAAACGAGAGCTGAACTGTATAATAATTAAGGAAAAGGATATAGTATTGAAGAGGAGAAGACAGGGTCCTTCGATAGATATGTGGATTGCAATCTTATTACTTAAGACTTAGCTTCAAGGTTACCTTTAATATTTACACGATTCGGTGAATACTCTCTATTCGAATAATGATAAAAATCTCAGAAAGATTCTTTCGTTTTATTGTTTTATATACTATACATGATAAAATCTTTATGATAAGAATAAAGTAAATGCAAAATCTCTTAAAAGTTTCACTCCATCGTTCCTATCAGATTCTTTTATAGTTAGCCAACATCTTAACGCTGAATAACATAATCTAAAAAAATATAGAAATAAAACATTATTCCGTAGAAAATATTAAAAAGTATATAAAATATTATCAAAATACAAAAAAATTATTGATCTATTTGAGTAAGCTGCTAGTTTCAACTTTTTCTTATCTGAATATTTTTGATAACAGCTTGAATATTCTAACTATATTGTTCAATTTTTTTTTCCAGACAGTCTTTTTTTTCTGATAATTCCTCGTTCAAAATGCCTCTAAAAATCTTTGGAAGAAAAAAGGGTAAGGAAAAAAAACAAGAATACGAAAAAGATGCCGCATTAACAGAAGAAGAAGCAAAGGCTATACCGCAATTAACAAGACGTGATAGAAACGTCTCGATCTCAAAATCTGGAAGGCACAAAATGCAAAAAGGCAACAGGAAAAGTGTTTTGGAAAACGATATCTTTCAAAGAAGTACAAAAGGAGAGGAAGGTAATGCCAGTGACGCAACATCTGTGTCTGAAAGTGTGACTTCAACAGGCAATTGCTCTACTACTTCACATGGATATTAAGACTTCCTGCAAATGCATTTTTTGATGAAAAATTGTGTACATTGTTTTCTTGCAGAAACATTTCCAATGCATATATCAATGAAAACTATACTCATTAGATGTATAATTTACTTAAGTAACTAATATGAATATTGTTATGTGCCATTTTACAAAAATAGTAATGATTGAAGGAAGGAAATAGAAGCTTGTAAAAAAAGAAAATCGAAACAAATACAAGTTCCTATTCATATTTCTCACTAATATTAACTTTCTTTCTATAGAATATTAGCAATTCTTTATCTATAAAATTATAAGATGTTTCAGCCTATAAATTGTAAAAAAAGAAATACTGTAAGGTATTGAGATTCAACGTTTATAACTTATTAAAAATATAAAACTATCTTTTATGTATTAAGTTTAGTATATTGTATTACTTTTTAAATTAAATGTCATACACTTATAATATGTCTGATTAATAGCATCAATCAACAATAGATGGAGTTGTTAAATTGTTTATATTATGTTTCTTTTTTGTATAGGCTTAGCCTCGATTGTTTTTCTTTTTTTTGCTTCCCCTGTAATTTGATTTATAAATGATATAAAGGTATATATTTAGATAAATTAGATTATTTAAATAATTAAAAAGCCTGATTTTTCTTTGAGAAAAAAAAACAACAACTAGGATCACATGACTAACAACTTTCCTTACGTAATTCTTTCTTTTATAGTGCAATTTTATAGTGCAATTTTATTCGACGGTTTTACGCGTATTATTTATATAGATATCTATGCATAAAAGGTAGAAAATAAAGTGAAATAGCTTAATTTTAGTTTAGCTATTTAAATATTGGTTTGTACCGTTAAAAAGAGCTAATTACAAAGCATTAAAGAAGCACACTTAAAATAATGAATATATCAAATATAAGGGAGTTATAGTACTTGTTTGCAGTTGATACAATATACTGTATATTTTCTCACAACGACTATTCCAGCTATGTTATCCCATCGAAAAGAACAAATTTATAGCCTCTAAATACTGAGTGTTTGTGATTTTGTCAAATGAATAATCTTTTTAAAGCACGAGAAAACGAATGTATAAAGCCAACTTTCTCTATCTATTTTTATGATTTAGCTGTTGTTTCGTTTTTACAAATCGTGTTATTCAACAATATTTTACATTCGTTTTTTTATAAACATTATTAGAATATTCACATTACTTATATTCTATCATATTCATTATTAATTATTTAGTCTTTATCTTTAGAAAAGTTCTTCTATTTCCCTTTCTTTATTTACTGTTTATTCACAAACGTATCTAAAAAAGGAATAACATATTTTTAACGGGATATCTTTAAAGTCTGATTGAATATTCATAAAACCACATCTGTACGTCATATACACTTTGATTTAAGGAATATGTATGAGTAAAGGGTTTAGCGTGTAGTTTCAACAACTTTTTTTAAAAATTTATTGCACCTTTGTATAAAATTTTCTTTTGAATTTCTAAACTACACCTGGTCTCACGACTCTAGACTTAAAATAGGCCTACAAGTCAACAAGCGCAAGTTCGTTTAGGCAAACTATACCAAGAAAAGAAAGGATAAAGATAGATTAACAATGTTTTGAAGACATAAATAGTTGCGTTAAATCAGTATTCTTGTTAGATAGTTGAATATAGTTAATAACGGAAATTATACGTTGGCGATATTAAAAAAGAATTTAAGTTATAAGTGTTTAATTGCACTTAAAATCTGCTTTTAGACAATGTTTTCTTTTGTTTATAAAATAAATAGTATATATTGTACAATATAAATACATCTCATGAATTGTGAGTATATATATATATATCTGTATAGATCTACTTATATATAATATCTCTAGTACACGTATTCATTTAACTATATATAAATCAGAGATAAAACCTCCCATATGTATATATGCAAGTATATAAAGTATACTACTGTATATTTGAAAATAGTAGAACTATACTTATTCTATGAATTTTCTTTTAAAGTGATATTTGTCAAATAATAACAACCCGGAAATCTAAGGAAAGAATTCAATATGACTCTCGTTGTTAAATACAAGCTTACATACAAAAAGAAAAATTCTATAAGTAGGACTAATTTATTTAATTATAACAGATGATTTGAGCTTGTAATTATTCAATACTAATCTGTTTTAACTGCTCTTTTCCTAGAATTATTGTTCATAGTGTTATGTATCTGATATTAAACATAGACTAAAAAACTATAAATTTTTATTCAAAAATGCTAGGTGGCGCTATTTCATTCTACAGAATGAAAAATGCGCTTCAGGCATTAATAGTTGGTAATTTTTTCTAAGGGTTAAGAGCGATGTCTCTCTTTTTGAATTGTATAAACAGTTTGATAGAAAAATTAATGGATTACTATTTTAGTGTAAAAAAAAGAAAACGAGTTTTTTTCGTAGTTGGAATCAAAAGCGTAACGAAAAGATCAACGAAAACAATCATTGACAAACTTATAGCGTTTGTAGATCATACAAAATGGAAAAGGGGAAGAATTAATTATACTCTTGAGATAATACATTTATTAATTATATTTTCTAAGGAATTTACAATTCCCTCTCATTATTATTGATAAATTATTTTATCAAGTAATGGATAGGGAATATGTATAATATTAGTCTAATTTTCTTGGAATAAGCAAAAAGATAAGTGATTTTATAAGGAAAAATAGAAGAAATGATAAAAGAGCTTCTAATTTAGATATTTTTATTAAATACATTACTAAAATATGTAAAAATTGTAGAATTTATGATGGAGAATTACTATAGAAAATTTAATATTATTTAAACAAGATTTAATTAAGTAATGTTGGTTGATAAAGATTTTTTTTTTGATAGAAAGAAGAACGTTTTTAATACTATTCTTTAACAAGTCTACTTTATGATTTAATCTAATAGAGAAAAAAAAGGAAATCTCTCTCTATTTATTAACTTTATCTTATGAATGAAACTTATTCAGGTTTTTTATTCTATTCTTAGCAAAATTAACTTTTATTAAATCACAATCAGCACATCAGCACCTTAAGTCAATCACTGCACTAAATATTTACTCAAGATAAGATAATTAATAAAGATTGCCTTGACGTCAAATGTGTTGATCATGTAGAAATGATTGTGGTGTCTGTACTGTTATTTCTATTCCTAATAAATACATCCTTTCCTCAGAATATAAAATTGCACGGATGTGGAGCATCTTTACCGGCAGAAGTTTATGAAGCTTGGGTACCAGCGTTTGAAAGTTATCGCCGTGAATTTGTGAATATTGACTTTGAATATTACGCGACAGGAAGTGGAGAAGCTATTCAGGCCATACATGGGGGAAACGAATCAAGTTTAAATGTGTGTCTACTTAATGATCTAGGATTTTTCGGCTCGGATATTCCATTGTCACCAAGCGATTATGATAAAAATCCCAATTTACAAATGCTCCCTATTCTAGGAGGGTTAGTTTTATTACTATCTGTCAATGTTTAAATTAATTCTTATATTATATAAATACTTAATTAATCGAATAATCCTATGCGAGTGTATGTTTAAATTCATTAGGAGTGTTGCCCTGGCCTATAATTTAAAAGGGATAAAAAACTTGGTTCTTGAAAAAGATCATGTTGTAAAAATATATGATGGAACTTTTAAATGGTGGAATGAAACCGAATTACAAAGCGCTAATCCAGATATTAAACTACCTGAAGAAAGAATATCAGTTGTAGCAAGGTCTGACAACTCTGGAACGACGCAAATATTTACGGAAACATTAAGTGCAATATCAAAAGAATGGAAAGAAAAATATGGTGTTTTTTCAGAAGGTTTTAATGAAGCTAATGGTTCCTCAAAATGGCCAGACGGAGTTATTTCATTTCGCCTTAAAAGAAATCGAGGTGTCTCGGGAATACTGTTGTCTTACCAAAATTCAATCGGTTACATTTCAACAGCTGATGCAAACACAGCGCTGCTAACTTATGCTCGAATCAAAGAGGGTAACAAAATAGTCGACATAGAACCGGATAGAATGCAGGAAACCATGCAGAGAGCTATGAGGCACTTTACAAATAGAATGACTGTTACTTTAGCAGAGCATACATATGCCGACGAATACCCATTCATAGGATATACGTATATGGTATTTAATAAAACCTCAGAAAGCAACTGTAAAAGGATGAGAGAGTTAGTCCGATATTTTTATTGGATTACAAAAGAACCATTTCCACAAAATGATGCCAAAGATTTTAAAATGGCTGGTGTCCCAAAGAAAGTATCAGATTACCTTTTTTCGGAAGTTATAGATAAAATACGATGTGGTGGGGATAATATGCTAAAAGTTGCTAGGGATCAAATGGATGCTGAAGAGCTATCAAAGCAAAAGTGGCGAATTCCTGTAATAATTGCCATTCCAATTATAAGTCTGCTAATTTTATCGTTGATATCCTACTTGATAGTTCAACAGGTTAAATTTATAAAATTCTTATTAATATTTAAGCTTTTACTCATTTCATAAGGCTTTTATATTCATTTCTTATTCAACAGATTCGACTAAGAAGATCCCTCTTAACGGATGATTGGAAAATACCGATAGAAGAAATTATTCTCAGATGGTCCAGAAAAGATGGATTATTAAGGCCCGACGGCTCAAAATACCAAAATTCTATGCAAAGTGTTGCTTCATTAACAGTTTCTGCTATAACTAACTTTTCGTATACAACAACAACTGGAGGGACAGGTATAGGAAAAAGTGTTGAGGCGATTGGATTGTGGAAAGAAAAGGCCGTTGTTTTAAGGTCTTTTCCCAATGCTTTGAGCTTGGAGAAGATAACATGCAAGAAATGTCTCATCTTTCTAAGGGATAAAATTAACCACTTTAATGTTGTCTCTTTTCTTGGTGTAACAATACTGGATGACGCAGCTTACTTAGTAAGCGATCATTCGCCCAAGGGAACTTTACGAGACGTTGTTCAAGATGATCGATATAATTTGGACGAGAACATTAAATTTTCATTGGCATTAGATGTCGCTGGAGGTTTGAAATATTTACATTCACAAAATCTAAGTCACGGCAATTTGACAAGTGATTCATGCGTTGTCGATCAACGCTGGAACGTTAGAATCGCCGATTGGGAATACTCCAAATTATCCGAGTTCTCAATCGGTTTAAGTAATGCTACCTTAAATTCAAATTTCCATGATTCTGAAAAAGATTATGATGTGGAAGCTAGGAATTCTATGTGGCATGCACCGGAGGTTCTAAAGGTAATATATACTTTGTTTTAATTTTTCTCAAAATCTATCACTTGCTTAGCGAAGAAGTTAACAGACTTTCTTCATTTCGACATCCTGCTACCTTATACTATCCAATTTAGAACTAATTACATGCGTTTATACTAAATATAGCACATATAGATTTATTAAGATACTATATGTACTAAACGTATGTAAAACTATATATTTATTTATTTATTTATAGAATACAAAAAGATTATTTCATGTTTTATATTCTATTTAAATTCTATCAAAAAGAAGCGTCTCTTTAGTCGTTTTCCTATGATTTTAGGGAGAATGTACGACGAAAGCCTCAGATGTCTATAGTTTTTCTATTATTCTGGTTGAAATATTTACGAAGGAAGATCCATATTATGACTTAGCGGAAAGTTTAAGTCCTGTAAAGATAATTGAAGAAATAAAAACTAAAGACATACGACCAAACTTAGACGATCCAAACTTAACCTCAATAAAGAACACTTTAGAAAAATGTTGGTCAATAACACCGAGCAAAAGACTATCGTCATCAGCAGTTTGTAAAGAATTGAAATCTCAGAGGCCCAGTAAAAAGAGTGTCGTAGATTGTATGATGGAAGCTGTTGAAGGGTATGTAACCAAACTAGAAGAAAAGGTTAAGGATAGAACGAGGGAGTTGGAAATGGCGAATTTAGCAACAGAAGCTTTGCTTCATCAGATTTTGCCGCCATCCGTAGCTAAAAAGCTGTCTTCAGGCGAGATTGTTGATCCAGAAAAATTTGATGGCGTAACAATTTTCTTTTCGGATATTGTTGGATTTACATCTTTATCTGCAGAAAGCTCACCTTGGGAGATTGTGCAACTGCTGAATGAATTATATTCAGTTTTTGATACCATTATTGATAAAAAAGATGTTTATAAAGTTGAAACTATTGGTGATGCTTATATGGTAGTATCTGGATTGCCGTCTCGAAATGGAGATAAGCATGCCGACTGCATAACCGAAATGGCTATAGATTTCTTAGCAAGTGTCAAAATATTCAAGATAAGACACAAGCCCGATAAGAAGCTATTGTTAAGAGCTGGTGTACATTCCGGTCCAGTTGTTGCAGGAGTTGTTGGACAGAAAATGCCAAGGTAAAAAAAAATACAATAATAAGATTGTTATAAATAATGGATGAATTCTTGTAATTGATCGTGTTTTTTTCCTTGTTTTAATCCATTAGATATTGCCTATTTGGAGATACAGTTAATACAGCAAGTAGAATGGAATCCACTTCAGAACCTTTAAAGATTCAGATATCACCGGAAACATTTCAGCTTTTAAATAAAAAGAGGGAATATTTGTTTAAAGAGAGAGAAAATGTTGAAGTTAAAGGAAAAGGGAAGATGACAACATATTTCGTAGAGAGCAAAATAAATTATCAACCATACATTCCTCCAAATCTTTTTGATAGTAACTATTAAAAGACATTTGTCTAAAACATATTTATAGTAAAAACTTATCAAAATGTGCAATATATCTCAATTTTTTGGTTTGTGAAACGACCTAATATAATGAAATATGTGATTTCCTGCAGTTTTCTGTTTTTTACAAAAAAGGTACCATAATAATTTTTGTGGTTTGCAGAATTTAAATAAAATATTTTATAACTTTCTATATTTTTTTACTATAACAATGAGTTAATCATTAAGTTAATTTGCGCATAACAAATCATATTTCTGATAATACCATGAATAATAAATAAATATTGCTCATGCGATTAATCAACTAATTGAATTATTTACTTCTGTGAAAATAAAAATATTCTATAATTGTTTTCTTAAATATTATATAGTAATTGATTACTATTTCCACTACACGAGTTACCCTCTTTCTCTCTCTTACTCTTTCTATGTAGAATATATATCTCTATCTCTCTTTATAATGCCTTCTTTTAGTCTACTTTCTGCCTAGTTTTTTGTTAACTTATACCAAAGGGGGATAGTTTTCTAAGAGTTGCAATCCCTTAAGAGTAACTTATTTCTTTTTTTTAAATCTTGAAAAAAGAACTGCTACACAGTCAGCAATGTAATTCTTTCATGAATGCTAATAGCAAAACTATCGATTTTTTGAAGACGAAAGAAAAACATAGAGGATGCTTATTTATATTCCCTAGTGTTCATTCTTTTGCATGCATCTAACATACTTTTATCATTCATTCTATCTAATCAATTTTACAAGCATTTTTTTATGAAATATAAAAGGTGAGTAAAACGTATAAACCCGATATACTATTTAATGTTATACTAATAAACAAAGTTTCTGCAGTTTCCAATTTACCTTACAGTCTATTTATAACGATCACACTTTATATCTTACTACAAAAGAATAGTACTAATGCACTATTTTTTTTTATCTCTCGGAAAGTATTCTAGACAGTTGTACTTGATTATATTAAATAAGAAGGATCTTTTATGTCTTTTAGATGGAATATTTTAAAGGAAGTCAAAGAATTTAAACTAATAAACATAGAAACAAGATTATTTAATAATTTCAAACGATATACTTTTTGCATATAAAAATTTTCAATTCATCTTTGACGATCAACAAATGAAACTTAATATAACATTCTTTACTAATATTCTTAAGTAATTATATTAATATTTATATATTCATATATAATTATGCAATTTTCCTGATAATGTTTACCAATTATTCGTAAAGAGTATTCATAATTGATTAAATGAGTTTGTAATATAATTAAACTATAAGTTGTAAACGGCGAATAACCTTTAACAAGATTTTTTTCTTTGAATTTGTATCATCTAGTATATTGAGACAGGTCCATGTAGTATATGCTTCTTTCTCTTATTATTAAATATACACTTAATAACTTCTTAATTATTTTTTTGTGGCCGTAGAGTAATGTAATTTACCTCTTTAATATCTACAACAAAAGTATTATTTTTCCCGTCTGTAATTGATTTTAATAAAGAAAAATTGCCAACTTAAACATAATGAGAGTACGATGGAAATCGTCTAAATTGTCATTAGGCTCTTGATAAATAGCATTGATTAATGACTGAAATATCTATTAGGTCTAATCAAAGAGCTTCAGTCAGTTTCATCTTTAAATATCTCACAGATTCTTAAGTATTAGCTCTTTGAATGTCGTTGATGCTAAATAATAAGTAATTACATGTATATTTCCACTAAAAATCATTACAAACGCTAAAGCAAAAACAAAAGACTATTCAGAGGGAATAATTGATCATATTGGAAGGCAAAAGTTGGAAGATTACATTTGACTAATTCGATAAAATAGAAACGAATTAAGCAAAATCCCCTAGTTTAGATGAAGGAAAGGGTATCAAAATATTTTAGACTCTTGATTATTATACCATAAAAATGCAATTTATCTTTATAAGAAAAGGTCTAGGACATAAAGCTCGTAATCTAATAAAAATTAGAAATAAAATGAATCCAACTTTGCAACGTTAGCGATATATAGTTCTCTTATTTTTCATCCTTAAAAAATAGCTTACCTTTTTAACTCAATGTCACGATATCAAATTCCCCACTTCTTAACGTTTTAATAGAGATCATGGTAAAAGTCGAATAAATTCACCTGTCACCAACAAACTGTTAACGATAGACAACAGAGAATCATGTTTATTTTACAATGTTTTATTCAAGTAAGAAAAAACTTTAAGAAAATTATGTTTTTTTTTCTTATAAGAATAAAGTTGAACAGAAAAATTATTAATTTGTTTTCAATTTTTCATATCATTTTTCTAATTGGAAGAAAGCAGTAAAACCAAAATTCTATCATTTAAGAAAATTACAACTGCAATATAAAAACAAATCTTTTAGCGATTTTCTAAACGATTTAGATGAAAAACTATACAAGAAAAAATTAACAGAAAAGTTTACATAGTAAAACATTTGAAAAACATCTTGCACTTGCTTTAATTCTAGCGTCACATAATTATTGCCACGCTTTACTATAAAAAATAGCTTTATACAGTATGATGGTGCACTAAGCAGAACGAAACATGCGGCTATAATAATCAGAAGTTTAGCTGATCTTCTTTGTCGCGCTCTGGAATTTTCAGGACAATTATTTTGAATTTCACTATTTATTTGCAAAGGTTGATTGCATTCGGTCGCTTGATCGGACGATACTCTTCCGTTTTTTGAAATAGATGTACTTGATCTATTTCTAGGAGGAGTATATTTTAATAATCTTGCAGCTAATAAGACATTTAAAGGTACAATTACCAGAAATGGAAGAAAAAGATTAACAAAAGCATCAAACGCGTTCATAATTTCTATAAGTTTATAGAGCGAAAGTCTTGGAGAGCAATACCCTCCCTCATTTACATAGTAAGACCATAAAACGAAGGAATATAATATAGCAGCAAAAACAACAAGACAACTGCATATTTTAACAGTACTTTCCCTCATTACCCATCTTTTAAATTTTAAAGGAAAGAATACAGCAAAAAACCTTTCTAAAGTGAACAAGCACATAACCCATGTACTCAAAAAACTGCACACAAATGTTACATACGGTATTAACTGACATAAAACCGGAAGATGGTAGATATTTATTTCAAACATTCCAAGCCATGTTAATAGAAGGGCTATAAGAAAGAGGTTGTCAGAAACAGCAAGGATTGAAAGGTAGATTCCGCAATTCTGATGTTGTAGTTGCTTGAAGCGTTTCATGGCAAAAACAAATATTGATAGTGAGTTTCCCATAAGACCAATAGCAATAATTGCTGGTAGACAATATAAATTCAAGTAATGCGTAAATAATCCAAGAGCCGTTTCCCTTAAATTCGACGTTGTTAGGTTCTTAGTAGAATTATCCATGACTTCAGGCGGACATATGACAAAATATAAACTAAAGCTATAGGTGTCGCTCTAAGAAATTCACCAAAGGCGAAATAGAAGAAATAATGCATATAAAAATAATATCTGATTTTAACAAAATAAGAAGTAGTGATCTATTCTCTAATGAAAAATTATCATTAGTTTAAAAGGGAATATGATTTATATCTTTACTAATGACAAAGACTGTCCTTCGAATCATTCCAATTTCAGAAAATACAATAGCAATTAATGCCATATTTCTTGTTTATTGTTTAAAATATAATATATTTATATATAGATTATGAATAATCTACTGTATTATGTCACTTGAAATATTTTTAATAAGTAAATCTTATTATTAAAGCTAATCCATTTTTGTCTTAACCTGTTTCCATAAAGTAGATAAATTCTTTTTCAAAATGTCTCTTTTTTTTCTTAATCGCCATAAATAAGCCAACTGTAGGATATGTTATTTTCATTTTATCTTCAACAGATCATCTTTATTCTAGGACTTTGACCTATAATAAACTTGAACCCATGTTTGTCACACTTATTAGGCCCTAACTGAAAATCTGAACTTGTGTCTAACTACGTTTTAATTTCTTCTATCCACTCCTCTAGACAGATATATTTTATCTGCTGTCTTCTGGCATCAATCTAGAGTTTTAAGCAATTTTCTATATTTCATATTGGATCAAACTAGTCTTTTATTGTCAAAAAATATATTTCCAAACATAATATATATTAGCTTTATTTTATATACAGTAAATATTTTGCAAAAGTAAAAAGTGCCTACCGTTTATTAAATGACAAACTATAGTTTAAGAAACTATAGAAATAAGAAAAGCCTCATATTTATTGATTATTTGCTGCAAAGCGGCAATTTAAAAACGAAATGTTCAAATGGAGGCCACACAGATATTTTCAATGAAATATGCTCTATTCTTTAAGTTGTAATGACTTCCTCGATATGAGGTATGCACTTAGATAACTTTAAATACTTGTAGATTATATTTCCTGCATTAAACGTTTACCTTTATTCGTTTTATTTTAGTATTTGTGACTTCAGTAAATAAATATAAAAAAGAAACACAAATTAACGCGACTTTTATTACATCTAAATTAAAGATATATGATAGATGAACGTAATATTTTCAAATTCTACTGAAATCTTTTAAAGTTGAAGAGAGACCTTAAAAAGACGCAGGTGGAATTGATTGTTGTCAAATGGATTTTGTCCTCTTACTGTGATTGAATACATAATAAATTACATCTTATGCTTTAACTGACCTGAATATTTAGTACACAGTTATAGAATATATGAAAATACATTTTATTCTTTCTAAATATTTATCCGTATTAATAACGATTTTCTTCTACTCAATCAATCAAGTAGGCCTTGTCACCAGTGAACTAAACATAGTAACCTACAAAATGTGTAAGAATATATGTGATTAAAGAACGGGGTGAAGAAATATTAAAGGTTATTTGGCAAATAGTAAGTTCAAGAAGAGTATCCGTAGGTTTTATAATTAGGCTATGTGAAGATATTGTTTAACGCTTTATAGATAATTGTATCACGTGATCAAAGCAAATAGGAGAAGAATACTGCAAATTTTGTTCACTATATGCCTTATATTTAGATATAGATAAATAAAATGCTATAAACAAAAATACTTAATATGTATAATGCGTACAACCGCTATTAACTAACCTCTATTTTCTATAGTAAACAATTGAAATTGATTTAATCGAAATAAAAGATGTAAAGGCTCTACCAAAAGAAAGAAAAGTAGTACATACAATTTTAAAGGTTTGAAATTTGAAATTTCATATAAATTTATATACACACACATATATATATACAGTATATATATATAAATATATAAATGTATACAGTATATATAACTTTAACCTTGTTATAAATACGTACAACACAAAGTCTGAAATATACGCCGAGTTTCTGAAGATATGCTACACCTTTTGATGATTTATACTTTACTTTTCTCATATATGCATTTATAGATAACACTTTTTGTTTTTGGCCAGAAGACTTATACGACCCTTTGAATTTAAGTTTATGCAAATGAAAACTTGAATTAAATCTCCTTTGTTATCCTAATGGCTTGCTCTTTTTTGAATAAAACGTGATCGGAATAACTTTTAAAGTAAACCGTTAAGCAAGGTAGTATATTACCGTTTCAGATTCTCAAAACAATGATTGTACTGCATTGAGTCTTCTATTACTTTTAGTTGAATATAGAATGCAATGATGTAAAAAATATATATTGTCAGATGACTTAGCTAATACATACCATGATATGATACGTTCCAAAAAGTTACACCGCAAAGTAATATCTAAATGATTTATAGATATATAGATAAGGAGTGAAATCTGATGTACTGAAATCTTATTAAAGAACATTAAAATTTACTAACATAAATATAAAATTCTTTTAACTGTCCTTTCATGTTATTCTTCTCTTGATCGAGTAAACAAAGACATCAATCTATACATATTTATTCAAGTATGCTAAGGAAGCAGATTTTCCGTGGGACAAATTTCTTGGAAATATCTTTATGTAAGGCTTCTATGTGACTTCCTATGTTGTCACTGTTAACCTAGTTATTAAGCTCAATGAGGCATAGTTTTTAAAAAGATAGACATTACTATACAAAAGACTTAGTATCAGCAATACAATATATATATATATATATATATATTGCATTAATTGGAACAGAAAGTTTAAAACTGTATTGAAATTTTTTTTATATGATAGAATGATATATTAAAAAAAGAACACGGTAACGTCATAGAAAACAATTAACAGTATCCTATTTTCAACAAGTGTCGTAGAGCTTTTCTAAATACTTTAGAAGATAAATTGTATAGAAAAAAATTAATGGAAAAATTTACATAATAAAGAATCTGAAATAATTCTTGTAATTGTTTCAAAGTATTTGGCAATAATGATTTATTTGGAATTAGTATAAAATACAGCCTTATGGCATAAGATGGCGTACTTAGTAGCGTAAAAAAGAAAGCAATAGTAAGTAACAGTTTCGCCGATCTTCTTTGCAATGCTCTGTAATTCTCTTCCATTATTATCTGGAAACCAGTTTCGTTTTGCAGTTGTAGAGCTTCGTCTATCGTTATATTCTCACCCGGTAATGTTTGCAAGCGAGTATTAATTTCAAATATTTCTGTTGATCTTCTTTCTCTTTTAGCATATTGTAGTAATTTTATGGCTAACAATACATTTAAAGGAACAATAATTAGTAAAGGCAAAAATAGTGTAATAAATATATCCATTCCATTCATAATATCGATCAGTTGGTTAAAATTAGGTCTCTGAACGCAACCTAAATTTTCGTCTACCCTGTAACACCATAGAGGAAAGGAGAAAAATATTCCTCCGAAAAATGTTAGAAATAACGACATATGTATTGCGCTCTTCCTCACACTCCATCTCTTCAGTTTTAAGGGGAAAAATACAGCAAAAAACCTTTCTAGAGTGAACAAGCACATTACCCATGTACTCAAAAAACTACATACGAATGTTACATACGGTATTAACTGACAAAAAACCGGAAGATGGTAGATATTTATTTCAAAAATTCCAAGCCAAGTCAGCAGAAGAGCTATTAGAAAGAGGTTGTCAGAAACAGCAAGGATTGAAAGGTAGATTCCGCAATTCTGATGTTGTAGTTGCTTGAAGCGTTTCATGGCAAATACAAATATTGATAGTGAGTTCCCAATTAAACCAATGAAGATTATTGCTGGTAGACAGTATAAATTCAAGATATTTGCAAATAATCCCAGAGTAGACCTATCTCCCGTCTTGAAGAACTGACGAGTAACATTTTCTGTATAATTGTCCATTTTTCCGAAAAAAATGCCAAAGATACCTATAATATATTACCGTTGAGATAACGAAAGATGTCGCTTTATACTCTTTTATGTTAATGAAGTGAAAAAACACAATAAACAAATTTTAAATTCAAACAATTACTTCTTTATAACCCTATTAGCCTTGCATTAAAACCAGATTGTCATCATAATACAGATTGTTACAAATTTTTTTTAGATGGTATGAAAGAATGCTAATTTTAGTCTTGATAATCTCTGCTCACAAAATGTTATGAATAAAGAATAACAAGTCATATATATATATATATATACTGTATATGTATATATATATATATTTATTTATATTAATGCACATATGTGGAGACAGAATTATAAATTTGCTAACTCTCTTCCATGAAATTTAATATTGCAGATGGCAAATTATCTTTCTCTAGGAAGAGACAAGACAGCACTATGTTCTGAGGATTACCTTGTAAGGAAAGCTAAAAGAGATATGTGCGTGTTATAGATTATCTATATATCTAAGATGACCTACTTTTTTAAGATTTTCTCATGTAATAAGAGAAATTAGTCTATATAATAAAAGTAGAGAACCTGTCACAGAATGTTATTAATATAAAAATCTTAAACTATTTTGAAACTAACCAAACTGATAGAATGTTATAACCCAATCACTAATGAAAATTTATAGGGTTACTGGATAAGGGTTTTACAGAAGATATAGTAGATAGATATATATGTTCACTTGCTTATATATTTAAAGAATTAAAGGATGTCATTACTATTTATTCTTATCGTCTAAGTTTTCATATCAATAAATGTCTATAATATTTCATATTTAGCTGAAAGTATAACCAAATACCCAAAAACATTTATTGAAAATCTGGCACTGAAAGAAAATTTATATACTTTTAGTTATGTTACATATTTCCATTAATCCCTCCTCTTATTATAATTTAAGTAGTATTTAATCTACTTTTCATAAAATATTTTAAACAACTCATACATTTACAGTATAAATATGAAATATTATAACATATTACAACTGAACTAATATATTCTTATGCTCATTATTTCGCAAAAATAATTATAATACTTTATTTAGATATATTTAAGAGTAGCTGTCTTTAAAACAACTATCATAGAATGATTTCTAATACGGGCAAGATAATTTTTCTTGCTTTTTCTATCAATATTCTTATATCTTTATGCGAATATCGTCAATCTTTAACTCTTTACGAAAGAATATTAGTTATATGACACAATATTTAAAGATTATGAGTACTATCTGACTTTTGCTGTTATTTACTTTAAAAGTTAATTTACTAAAAATGACAGCTATATCATTTAGCACGAAAACAGCCTATTATTATCATCATTTTACAATTATGTTATTTTATTTCCTTTCATTGTTGATTTTGGGTATCAATAAATGATAAATGTAGAGTTTACAAACTATAAACAGTATATTCTCTGCGAAAGAACAAGACATAAACATCAGATAAATGGAGTATTTCAACTATCATAATCCGAATTGTAATGTAAATATTAGAATATAATAGTTATCTTCACTTTGTTTTAGAGAATTTTGTATATACATACATGTATATTGTAAATATATATATATATATATATATATATGACTAAAAATATACTGGTGCATCTTCTTTCTTTCAATCTACTAACATTAAACATAGTTAGGCATACTCTACATTTCTATTATTCCCAATGTGACTTACACTAACCAATATTAATTAGTTATATACTGAAAACTGACCAGTATAGATGGTATTGTAATAGTAATGAATTTTAAAATACTACAATTTTTATAAAATATAAAAGAATCAATACTACTTTGTATATCGAATAAATGATAAGATATCAGCTAAAACGTGTATTGATTTTTACATGATTTCTTTAATGTTTAAGAATTAACTGCTATCAGCTCTTCTCTCTATATGCTCTTTATTTTTCATTTGATATATTTTATCCATTGGGAAAACGATGAATTATTTTAACAGAATTTGTCTTACAGTTATTTTAATATATCAGGTTATTAAAAATTACTCAGACGTTTAATTCATTAAATATCTAAAAGAATTATTACAACAGGTACAATCAAATACTAATTTCAGTAGCGCCGAAAAATCCACTGGGGAGACAACTGTCTATAGTGGCATTTCAAGTACAACTGTAGTACCTTCGAAGAGAACTACAAGATATGGATTTACTTGTAAATTTACTATTTTTCTGAAATTGTATTGTAATTATAAGTTATTGCATTTCATTAATAAACATCTCAGTAAGACCCTGTAGTAGAGGATACTATGGATATGGCTGCTTTCTTAAATGTAGATGCCTGAATCCTTCGGAAGCATGCGACACGCTAACTGGGAGATGTTCGAATTGTCGTCAACCGTTTACAGGACCGGGCTGTAATGAAGGTTATAAAACTACTCTAACGAATATAAACATTAATCTAGTTAAAATTAACAGTTGAATTCAAAGGAACACCCTCTATAACAATCGTTTTGGCATTGATGGTTATTATCTTAATTGTTAGCTCTCTCTTGTTACCTTTTATAAAACCGAAGAGGAAAAAACAGCTACTCAATCAACCATTAGTTTCAAATGTATATTTTCGGCAAGCTGCAATAGAAGTTCCACCAACATTAAATTCAGGCAATAACAACGATGGGTACGAGGAACAAGAAGCACCTATTGAAAATGACTATGCTAATATTCCCAAGAGCACTTCTTTTAATGTAGCCGACTCAGAGTCCTATACAGATTCAATGCTTTCGCCCAATGTACCCAGAATTAGCGAATTGGATATTCAAGTTATGTCCGATATATTAGGAAAAGGTCGATTCGGTGATATTTTAAGTGGATTTATTGTGGAAGGAGGAAAACGTAAAAGAGTTGCTTTTAAGACACTAAAAGGTTTTTTCTTATCATCACAATAGATATAACACATATATATAACCTTTGAAATAGATGGTGCTAGGAAAGAAGAAAGAGAGAATTATTTAGCTACAATCGAAGTGTATTCTTCGTTAGAACCACATCCGAACATAATAAAATTTTACGGCATTTGCTTCGTTGATGGTGACTAATTTACCTCAATTTTTTTCTCACTTAATTAGCAATCTAAAGAAAATTTAAATTAACTAAAGGTCAAAAAAATTACAGGTCAATTTTTTTCCGCCTTCCAAGAAGCTGATAATGGAAATTTGAAAAATTTTTTAAAGATACACAGGGTAGACGAAGATCTTGTAAATCCAAATATGCTATTAAAGTACGCGCAAGACGTCGCCACTGGGATGTGCTACTTAGTGAATAAAGGGGTTAGCTGCATTTACAATAAATCTATTATTAGATAATTATTATTGGAAACAAAAGTCTTGAAATTTATTGAAGAATGAAGAGAAAAAGATAAATATACATTAAATATAAGATTACTTTATGGAATTTCAGATTATTCATGGTTCATTACAAGCCAAGAGAATATTAGTTTCTAAAGATTATACTGCAAAAATAACAGGCATTCAAAGATTGAAAGAAGATTATGGTTACTGTAATATACACGATAAGGTTATTTTGTTTCATTTTCCTTACCATTCTGCATGGGTTTAAAGAAACGGTTACGTAAGCTGATTAAGGAAGAAAAAAACCTTTTTAGAGAAAAATGCATCTATTTTTATGACGTTAGTCAAATAAGTTATCAAAATCAATCATTGAGAGTAATCATTTCGTTAATTTACTTAGTACACTGCTCTTATATTTCTTTTGAAAATATTACTTATGTAAAAATTATGTTTTAACCTACCAGGATCCTAGAATAAGATGGTTAGCTCCAGAGAGTCTTACAGAAAATATTTCCAATAATTACACGGATGTGTAAGTGTCATATTTTATATATTAAATTATCATTCTATTATTCTTCTAAAATCTTATTCTTAGGAATGAACAATCTAAAATAATATTAAGATAGAGTGTATTCTCCATACTAAATGAATTACATTGAGGTTTTTTTGTTATACAGATGGTCTTATGGCGTTTTGCTATGGGAAATTATGTCTATAGGAGAACAGCCGTACACAAATGTTAAAACTGAAGACGTATTTAATTTATTAGAAACTGGCTATTTTCTAGAAAAACCAGAGAACTGTAATAAGACAGTGTACGTTTAGATTATTTACCATTATACCTTTCACTTTGATGATGATATAGCATTTTTTCGAAATATTTTATTAATTAATCTTCCTATTAGATATGCACTTATGAAATGGTGTTGGAGTAGAGATCCTTTGGAAAGACCAAGTTTTATAGCGCTAAGTGACGGTTTCTTTGAAATATCCAGATCTGGTCAGGTACAAAAAAGAATAATATATACAAATAAAGTGATATGAATACTTTTGATAATCATCGAATTTATCTAATTTAGCTGCATAATACTTCTGAAGCTATATCTCCAGAGAATATGAAAGGCGATAGACCCTACGATGAGCCTTCAAACCTTATTACTTCTACACCAAAAAAGGAAAAAGATGAAGCCGAAAATGTTTACAGCGAAATTGTTTTCAATCCTACAACGCATAAATCAACTGAAGCGTAAAGATTCCTCAATAAAAAAGACAATACTTGTTCTTTTATTTAACTATATACACATTTGATAAATGATTCAATATTAACATATAATAAAGAAGATACAGATTGTTTAAATGATAAAACATGTACAATATACTAATATTTTTGTATTTTTATTTGATATAATATCATAATTTATTTGTTAAATATAATTATAAACTATTAATTGAATTCAAGAAATCTGTGTGGTGAGGAGTACGCGATTTTCAAGTTTTGGCAGAGACAACTTTTCTCGTTGGGAAGTTTGCTGTAATGGAAATATGTAAATTTATTAAACTAGGAAAATAATTTTAATATTCATAATCAATATGGTTATACATTAAATATTTGTGATTTGTGATATAAATATAATATGTTACATTCCTTTTTTCTATCAAAACTAGTGTAATAAAAATATTTCACATGCATTTTCATTGACAATGATTTTTATAAATAATATATTGATAAGTATCATGCTGTCTTTGAGTTTACTTGTACCTGTAGAAGTAATTCTATCAACCATTTGTTTAGTTCTCAGGTATTTCCCAATCTATTATTCAGTAAATGTTAATTTAAATAAATCAATTTAATTTATTTTACTTATGTCTATAGTATATACTGTATATATATACAATATGTATTGTACACTATTTAATAGAATGTTATTGTTAAATATTTATTCATTTCTTACCGATATGAAGGCTTGCATATTCTTTCGTAATAACTTCTTGTAATTGCAATCGTGCGAATAGCCGTGCTTATCTTTCTGAGAAAAAGACTTGACTCTCTTAATAACAGGTGTAGTATCGTCCCAAGAGTATTTCGTGTGATGCAATTTAATCTTTTTCTGCTTTCTCTCTGTACAACTTGTTGGCAAGTTTGAGTTTTGCCAATTATCTGGATTTTTTGCTTTACTACTTGGAAAATTATGTATAGATGGCAACTTTGATTCTGGATCTTCTAATTCTAAGAGATTCGATTGAGTTAGATGAAAATCAATAGAATCAAATAGGCTAATACTGTCTTGTTGTTCTTTCAAATCAGGTAGCCTGTTTAAATTAGTTAAATCATTCATTGGTAAAGGCAAATCAAAATCATCATTTAATGTAATAAAAGGAGAGAGAAAAGGTTTTAAGTCATAAAAGGAATATGACTTTTCATTAGGCAAATCTAAAGAAAAACGTTTTATTTGTTGATGACTTGGAATTTTTGTGAAATTTGGACAATATCTGCTGAAAATAAGGATATCTTTTTTATGCGTAATAGATAGTAAAAATGCAAGTTATTTTACTAGTAAAGATTATATGGTATAACTAATTAATGCATGTTTAGTATTGATTTCCTTACTTTTTTTCAAGTTTTCGACTCGTCTCTAGCTGTGAGGGGACTTTTCCTTTAGGGCCTCTAGGAGAAACCCCTTCTTGATTAACTTTTCCTGAACGCCAATGCAAGGCCAGCAAACCGTATTTTGATGTTCCCTCCCTGCAGGTATGAGAAGATTATATTCAATCAAAGGACTGTATACTCAAAATAGCACTAACTCCGTATTCGCATGGATACCATGCCTGCCAGGCATACTTTCCACAACATGTTTCTTGACCTCAACCTCCTTCAGGGACAGAATTAATTACGTTTATTGCTTAAATAAGATCATATACTAAATAAAAATTTACTTGGATATTTTCAAATTCTACTTTTTTCAAGTACCGCATACCCATGTCTGCATTTTTGATGTCGGGTAATTCACCTTCTCTGGGTGTTATCTGCCTAGGCTTATATGGTGGAACTTCACTCTTTATAACTTTAAAATTACTTAATGAAGCTAAAGATTTCTTCCAATCTGTTTCTGAAGATGTAAAATAGGAAAAATTTATAGTTTATATATATTTTGTGTATATACATATGATACATTCCAGTTTTTTTACACTTACCAATAAAGACATCTACTGGTTTTATTTGATTATCATAAATTTGATCAATTCTCTTAGTTGCATTAGTCATTTTATCTTTTCTTTCCTCAATGGAAACTTTATCTTCAATCTTATGATCTGTGTTGTCTTTTATATCGATCTCTGTTTAAAAAGTTTATTTACTGCATAAAAACAAAACTTTATCTATATAAATTATTTTTCTGTTGACTTATTCTGATTAAACTATTCAAGATTACACATTTTAAACTAAATTAAATTAATAAAAGAACAGTCTAATGAAGTTAGTTAACTTAGGAGGTTTTCGTTTACATTTGATGAATTTTAATAACTTCAAAACCTTGTGGGTAATCCGTCTTTAAATTTGTGTCATAGCAATGTAGGACTGATGGAGAGGGCGTTGACATGTTAATTCCTTCACCTGTGGACATTGACAAATTACACACGTGATTTAAAAAGTTTATTTGATGAATTAGAATTACTTTTTAACGGAGATATACTATTTTCTATTTTTTCATCATTGTTTAACATAGGAAGTTCGGCCGCTTTTTCTTCTTCTGTCAGATTCTTCATTGGTCTATATTTAGACAAAAAAGACAAACAATAGCCCTTTGTTTATAAAAATTTGAATAAAATAATCATACGTTGTTGTAATATCAACTTGTAGAACATTTAAGGAGCTTTATGAAGAGAAAAATAGTATAATTATTCTATTTAACTTTAAGGATAGAATTTACTTTGATGTTTCGTCTCTATCCAGGGGAGTTTGCCTTTCAGATAAATTAAAAGTTGATGTATTATTTACTCTCTTCTCCGCCTTTGATTTGACCTTCTTCGAGCCTTTTTTTTTAATAAAACAAGAGCATAGTACATTATTCTATAATAAAATTGATTTTATGTTTTGTATAGAGAAAAAATAAGCACGTTTCTTGTTTTATAAATATTAAAAAGTTATAGAAAATCATTTTTACAAGCAAAATCAATTAGTCTTTAATGGAAATTATGAAAAAATATTGGTTAAGGAGGCACAAAAGTTTTAATTGATTAATCTTATATGTTAAAGGTGTTTAGGTGAATATTTTACCACTATTTGCGGTTTTAGATTCCTTTTGAAAAGTTTCTTCTAAAACATTGGATTCTGTTAACTCTGTAATATATCTTTCATTTTCTATGGTTTCTTTGATGTTTAACTTTAATGGTTCATTATCCGATTTTTTTTCGCAGTTGGATGTAATTTTAGTTTGATCATTCTCTTGACAGAGAATGGTTGGTGGTGGACTTAATATAGATACTGTCAAACCCTTATGCTGAATATCTTCTTCAATATTGGCTGTTTGTCTGTGAAATTTCCCAACTTCTGGCAGAGGATGCAAGTCGATGTTATGTAAAATTATGGACTCTGGAGAAATTATCTTTTCCCGTTTAACGCTTAAACTATTCACAGAATATCTTTCTCTATCCGTTCTCTTTGAACTCTTTGTACCTTTACACCTCTTCAGCTCTAAATCCTCAGATTCACTAGTTATTTCGATAGATTCTTGACTAATATAAGATTCATCTAACTGGGTGTCTATATAAACACTTTTGGATAACACACTTTTTAAATCAACGGTTAGGTGTGCATTTGGTGATTCAATAAAATTTAAATTAGGCAAATCATCAGAGTTAGAATAACCTTCATTGAAGTCAGAAGATGACTCAGATAAATAAAAATCCCTTTCATTATTATTCTGTTCTCTGGAATTTAAGTGTAAATTCTTTTGAGATGTTGAATTAGATAGTTTGAATGTAGATTTTGAAGAGTCCGTTGAATTCGTAGTCAAAGTATCATTAAGTACATCTTCATCTAAATTATAGATGTATATTTATATATAAATATATATATATATCAATATCAGGAAATATAGGAGAAGTTTTGAATAAACTTAATAATAGTATACTTAATTTAGAATTTATATATACTGTATATAAGTTACATATTCTACATTTTAAGAAATTTTCAATCATACATTTACCTTTTTTATGATTCTTTATCTTTTTAGTACTTTTACGTTCTTTTATTTTTTCCATTACCTGATAAATAGGTATATTACATTAAATAATAGGATATTTGAAAGGATTCTATCGTTTCCTTTCTGACCTCTTGAAGTTGTTGAGGATTTTTTAATAATTCAGGCATATCTTCAATTAATCCTAAATCATCCATATTCTTTTCATCTCCTTCAGACAATTTGGTTAGAATCTCTTCTAACAATATCTTCTGTTACACATAAATTTTCTTAGAAAACATAGTCAGAAGTGATAAGTATAATAGTATATTTTTATATAGCATTTATGTATCTTTGCGCCTACTCTATGTAAGAATTGTATCAAATAGTACAACTAGTAAAACAATATCTGTTATACCTCATCCCCGGTTTTGAAGTCGATACTCTCTAAAATCTCATCTAGCTTGGTTGAATTTCCAAGAATTTCTTTTATTTTTTTCCATCCTTTTCTTTTCTTTTCTTTCTGTTTTATATTGAAATTATATATCGATTGTATTTAATGTAAAAACCGGAATTATTTTGATGTATATATATATTTGGATATTTTAGATAATAGTTTATATTTGCTTATATAAAATATATAAATATATAGTATATATTGTATATACTCTAAATATACATATACATATTAAAAACGAGTAAAATATTCCATTTTAAAAGCATTTCTATAAAAAGAAAAGATAGCTAATGAAGTTAAGTATGATGTTATTTAACTCAACAAACCCTATGTGAATCAAATGTTATAAAAATAATTTTGAGGGGGAAGTGAAGCAGAGAAAGGGAAAGATAGAGAAAGATAGAGAGAGAGAGAGAGAGAGAGAGAGAGAGAGAGAGGAAAAGAGAGGGATAGGACAGAAGATCAATCGAAATGAAGAAGAGAATAGGAATAGAAAAAAAAGTAAGAAAAAGCAACAGTGTAAATTATTAAATTCATCAAAGTCATAGTTTAATCGAAAAAGGTCAAGTCTTTTTATTATATTTCTTATTATTTACTATTTTTTGCTCGCATTTATCAAACCTTTTTATTCATTAAAGAATGTTTTGCCTCATTTTCCTGGGATACGACTAACGAGCTCTTTTTGTTATATCGTTTATTTTTATCTTTTAATTTTGTGGGGGAATCTTTATAGTTTTCCTGATCAGCGTTTATAGGGTCTAATCGTTTCTTTTCTGCTGTTCCTTGCATTAGACTTATGCCATTCTTTTTATTGTTAATTTTTGGTAAACTAATATCATTCTTTAATGAAGAAGCTATTTCTCGACCCTTTTTTAATGTTTTATCAGTACTATTTATAGATTTTTTTCCATCCTTTATAAAATATGAAAATAGCAAGTTAATTAATCTATAATAAATCCTAATTAAATTTTGATTTTATTCAGATTCTTATTATAGAATTAAGAGGTATAGTTACCGAATTTTTTCTTAATACAGTTTGGTTAAAATTATCCCCAAGGGTAACTACTGACATCTGTATTGTGAAAGTAAAATGAAGTGATTTTAAGTACTCATAATGTTTTCTGTATGTTGGAAAACATCGAATAATAGGAACAGAATAAAGTATATTACCATTGATTGATTTTTTTCAACAGAATCAACTGTTTGGGAGACCTTTTTTGAGGGAATTTCCGTGAAAACATTGAAATTTTATTTTAGCATGCATTTTATATACATTATATATATTAAAACTATGATATTACCATTGACTGATTTTTATCAACAGAATTAAGTGTTTGGGAGGTCTTTTTTGAGGGAATTTCCGTGGAAACATTGGAATTCTATTTTAACATGCATTTTATATATACATTGTATATAAAAAAAAAGTTTATTATTTACAGTGGAACTAGGAGTTTTGGGTAACACTTCAGCTAAAGCCAGCTTCCGTTCCATCCCGAAAGCCTCTAAGACTTTAATAGTATTTTGCTTCCTCTCGTGTGACGGATGCTATTTAAAGTTATTCTCTTTAATTATATCTTTAGTGTCTATCAAAATTAATTCTATATTGAAAGAAGAAACAAACGTTTAACTGGTCTGTCAATTCAGTAAGAATTAATTGCAAAAGTTCAGGGGGGTATCCGAAATTTCTGTTAAAAAGGAAACAGAATAAAACCCAGGAAAAGATATATTATTGAAAACAGTAACATTTTCTTTTTTCTATACTTACTCATTAATTTCGATTAGATAGTTGCATATAGCTTTGTGGGAATGGTCGTTGCAATTTCGTGTTATTTCTATCATAGCTCTAATTATACTTTCAGGGTTATTGGGAACATTTCTCATAAACCATCTTTCCTTTAAAATTCTTTGAAATATTTCAGGTAGCTATTATTTATATTAGAAAACTTGTCAATAGAACAATCAAAGGTAGATTAAACACTAAAGTACCTCAGATTTTTTATCCTCGTTAATGGAATCCCTTTTACCAGATTTTGTCCCTTTACCCCATAAATCATCACCAAGTTGTACTTTGGGAAGAGTTAAATTCTTTCCTTTATATTTTTCTGAAAAGTGAAAGAAAGATATTATAAAATATAAGTATTGACATAATCGATTTAGGTTAAGATATAAACGACAAAATACCGTGCCCATTATACAATAGTTAACAATATTTCTTATATATGCATACAATATGATTACTTGAAGGGTTTATTACGGTATTAATTAGTTACACCAAACAAAGTCGCAACAAAAAAACAACCCCAAATAATTAAAAAAAAAGCGGGATATTTCGGTAGGGGTTTTTTTTATTAATTTATCTGATTTTATCTTTTCCCCTTTTCAATAGCAACACAATATTTAAGGTGAAGTGCAACATTTATTGTGCACCGATATTAGCCTGTCACTATTACCAATTATTGCATCGGTATTCGGCATAGAACTCTCATTAATTCCTGGAAAAGATTTATTAATAATTGCAGTTTTTCATATCTTCAGAGAGCAGATAAGGAAAGCCGAAATCAACTTTTAGTACATAGATTAGAAATATTTATACGTTTTATGAGAGGGAGAGAAAGAGAAATAGAAGGAGAAGGAAGAGAGAGAGAAGAAATAATAAGAGTAAAGATAAAAAAAGAGCGGTAAAGGAGATAAAGGAAGAGATAGTCTCTTGGATAGTTGAATTTGAGATATTCACATCTATTGATATTACGTAATCTACCTAAAATTCTATCGATTTCTCTTAATCTCAATGTTCTAGGAGAAGGTGGCTTATAGAGGGGTAACTTTTTCCTGTTAGCTCTTTCCTCTAATACTTTCTTTCTTCGTTCTTTCCATATAGCCTCTAACTCTTCATCGTCATACTCTCTAGTGTATTTTGTAGATTTTTCCACTTTATATCAAAATAGAAAACTTTTTATATATAAATAAACTGTTGAATAATAGTGTAGAATTAAGAGATCATAAACAGTGCTAATTTATAATATTACTATTTTCTCAAATCAAAAGTTGATAACATGCATGCAATCTTTTATAAAAACACTTACCCGAAACACGTGTAGATTCTTTAGATAAATTAGGAGTGGGTGTATTCTTTATTATATCTTGATCAGCAAAGTCTAGGTCGACATCCTGTGTACGATTTAATAGAAATATTTTAACTAAATGAATAACGCTGAGAATTAGTTTATTAATTAATTGATTGATTGATTGAAATGTATTATGTGTTGAAAAATGATATCATTTTTAATTTTGACACAAAGCAATCTATCTATAAAAGTGATTAATATGATATTTGTTAATGAAAAGGAAGAGTTTAAATAGTGACAATTTATTATTAAAATAGTAGGAACATATGATATATTTAAAGTTTATTACTGCTATTTGGTTAATTAGTTCATTGGGAAGTAGCTACAAGGCTTCCTTCTCTACTAGAGTTTTTAGTTAAATATATGCAAGTACTTGTAGCTATTATTAGAGTAATATTAGTAAATTATGTCATTTTGAAGTTGAAGTGAATTGTTGAGTTTCAAGTGATTAAATATAAAATTGTTCTATATGGAAAAAAACCTCTGTAGTAATTTCACTATTAGATCTCCCGATGGGTTCAACTGCAATTGCAGTTTCTACAATTTTTGCTGCTGCAGTCTTTTTTTCCTTATTATAATATGAATAAATTTAAAATTTATCTTTATATAAATGAAATGTATAAGCTAAAAAAAGTCTAAGAAAACTTACTATTGTAACATGCTTCGATCTTAAATAGTCCTTTTCAAAATCAGACAACGGAGGTAGCTAAAAATATAAGTTAACAATAAACTCTAAGTAACAAAATATTTAATTACAGGTGGAGGCTGCCAAATTTCCGATTTATCTTCTTTTTCAAGTTGACTTATATCATTCCAGCTAAACGCCTTACGAATAGCAGAATTCGGTACGTAGCCTAATTTTTTTTAACTTGATTAGAGAATAACGGTATAAAATGAAGTAAAAAAGGTCAAGAACCGTCGGGTGGAATAGGATATTTTCTTCTTTCTTCCTCGGTAAGACTGATGGGCTTAAGTTCAGCTAAACCCTTTTCATCTTTATTCCTCATTTCTAATAATAATTAAAGAGAAAATAGCAAAATTTACTTGAATATACAATAAAAGCTATGGAGTAAGTTATCTGATCAATAAACTATACCTGATGAAATTAAGATAGTTTTGTTATTTTTATCCTTGTAGTTGCTGTGGTTGATCAACCTATGAGAGAAAGAAGGAAAAGTACAACGATTAAACACGAAAAAATATTTTTACAGCCACTTAAATTTCTTTTCATATATTAATAGAACAACTTTTTATTAAATGTTCTATTTATAATATGTCATAATATCTTAATAAATCTTAACTAATTTTCTTTTACTAACTATTCACAAATAACGCTTTAAAAATTATAGATATAGTCACACTTTAATATTTATTCTCCTATACCCAACTTCGTGTTCAATATAACCAGACAAAGAAAAATACTGTAATAGCTCTATGACAACAAGGCATCGTTTAAATTTTGCATCGTAAATTTGTTTCATTGAACGAAAAGAAAAAAAAATATACTAGGCCTACAAGGGGGAAGACTAAGGTTGATGTACTGTCTTTGTTTGTGTTTACATTTTAATTTCATTGAATAGGACTATGATAGAAAGTAAGACAGAGAAAGATAGATAAGAGAAAGAGGTTAATTTATATACTGTGGACAGTAAACAAGTATATTTGAAATATAATGATGTTTAAAAGAGAAATTACTGTATTATTTAGTCAAAATTTAGGACATTTTTTAATTTAATATATCTACAAAAAAGCAATATTATTAAAGGATTTTAATAAAGGATTAATGATTGAAAAGTGTCACAATCCGTATAATTTTGATTTGATCCTAACGAAAATAAACATTTAATTGATTATTTACATTTTCATTCGTTGATAACCTCCTCTAAATAAATATTTTACAAAATAAGACTTAATCTATATATATACTGTATATGTAAATAAAAAGTATATCCACTATATAGGCTATATCTAATTGAATCAATTAAAGAAGCCATTAATAATTAGTTTCAGTGGAAAATTGTTACCTGAAACATATTCGAAAACAAGTTTAAATTGTACTTAAAAAACATTGCCATATTAAAATTAAACTTACCAATTGAGTTATTCAGAGCTTTCTGTGAAATATTGAATGTTCTGAGAATGACCTTTTATTCTCTTCAAAGCGATTGTTTTCTAACAAATTTTTATCCACTTGATTTTTATTTAAATGTTAATAAAAGGCAAACTTGAAGGAAGAATTATTTCAATATAAATTCTCCGCTAGAAGATAATCCCTGCAATTTTAATTTTCTCATAATTTCTACGTATCCAAGACAAAAAAGATCATCTAGTAAATAATCAATTCATTCATGTCGTCGCCTTAATCAACTATCGAACGTTTCGGTATTGATTTCTTTAATATAGATAACTGCTATGACAGTATTTTACAAAGAGGAGATTCACTAGAAAGTGACAGAGTTTTGCGATGAACTGTTTACTCAATGATCAATATATAACGGGAGTGTAGCCAAATCTCTAAACTGAAAAAGGGTAAAATATTTAGGGTGTAAAATGGTCTTGTTGGATTATCGACTTAATCTCTGCTTTGATATGAAGCGCTTTACGAGTTTTGGGCAAACGATTTGTTGACATTAGTGAACAGCTCTAGAGTTTAATGACACTTGTAACTTTTATTTACAGAGCAGGTGTTGCTTGTAGCAGACTATTTTGTTCGATATTCCTATGGAAATCTATTATAGGCCTGAAAGCTGACACTTACTTTTTTTGTTTTAGAAAACAACCATAAATAGAACTAGTCTAACTAAGATGTTTCATTATCAAACTAGGTAAGGAAAAGAACAAACAATCAGAAGAATTGTAAACAAAAGTGTAAATACAAGAGAAAGTTAGGAAATTATTTAGATTAAACAAGAGTATACTCCTTCCTTCTTTTATATAAATACTTACAAAAAAGGATACTCTTTATACAGAAATATGTTTATTAAACCGATATTCAAGAAGGTTAAATGTATTTATATATATTATACATATTTCCTTTTTGTTGTATATTTCTTGATAAAGAAATGAGATCTTTCAGTTAATAATTCGTTTGAATAATCTAAAAGAGAACATGAACGGCTATTTCTTATATATACAATCAGTTATTTATCTATATAGAAGTATTAACACTTAGAAAAATATTATTCCATGGCATAAAAAAAGAAAAATGACTTCATCAGCCTATTTTGTGCCTTTTGATTGTATTATACAAACGTGTGAAATATAAAAAAATGCCAATTACCTGAAGGGCTAGTTATGTTGAATAATATCAATTTTTTATAAATTTTAGTTATACCAGAGCGTTGGAGAAAGTAGAGAAGAAAGGGAAAATCTATTAATTTTTTATAATTTTATACAACAATTAACACCATTCCTTCTTTTTCATATTTCAATAATATTTATGTATCTCCTTTCTCTGTATACTGTGTATTATGTATATATTCTTATATATATTATAAATTTCTCTTTTTTCATTTACGAGACAAAAATGCCATAAAAAAGTGTTTGATTATGGTAATTCCTGTCAATAGGCCTTTATTTGCAGGTTTCAAAACAATATCGATATCGTTAACGGTAGGTCACAACTCGACAATTATATTATAAAATACTTTGTCTAATTAATCAATTATACTTTTGCAATACACTATTATATTCGTTTTTAATTGTTGTCTGTCATTTTCATCTTCTATTCAAATATTAAGTCTCTTAAAATTTTTCCACATTATTCTCTCTTCCCACTCTTTTTTTCTTTCTTTTCGCATAGTTTTCCATTTTCATTCTTTTCCATTGTTCAATGAAAAAGAAAAAAAACGGATTTATAAATAATCAGTAATCTATTGAACACCAGGATTTTATATCACAACGCCATCTACAGAATAGAATTAATCTTATTGTAGAATATCAAAGGTTTAGTAGAGAAATATTATATTATTAAAGAAAAGTATACAATAAGCCAAGTTGCGTAACCTTTGAGTTGGATAATTGAAATTAATATATATATATATATATAATATATAAGTAAAGTTTTATATTAATCTTGTTATACAAGAGAGTTATTTAAGAGATAAATCAATTTCTTCAAATCAATAGAAAAATAAAAAAACATGAAGAAAATTTTGTAATAATTTCTTGTCCAATTCATACAATTGAACGACTACAGCAAAATGTTTCGTACTATTCAGAGTTACTAAATGTACAAAGTAAAAAATAGCAATTTCTTTTTAATGTACAGTAAATTGAGGACATTAAACAATCATTTCTATCCTATCTTCTCATTTCAAATAAAACACACATTTCTTTATCTATTCTTCTTCTTCTTCGCTCTCTTCTTCATTTTTCAGCTGGAATTTATAGCGTTCTACTTTTTTTTCCATAAGTTATTTAATCCTTTATTACGAGGCTGAATGAGCACAAAGTAGACAAGTATTTTTCTAATAGTAGGATAATTGACAAAAGGTAGCTCTCTCACAGCTATTAATGCTTGAGCTGAATATTCAAAAATGAATAAAACATGAAGGCCTGTATGCAAATGTATTATTTAAAAACAGTCATTCTCGCCTATCTTGCCAACTTACTGCAAACGGTTACTTTAAATTATAGTAAATAAAAATTTTATATGATTATCATCTAGGATCAGGAGATTTATAAAAAATATTGAATTTGCTTTTAACGATGCTACGATTCTTTCAAGTTCTAACATATAGTTGCTGTATTTTACTATCCTATAGTAAATTAACAGAAGAAATTGAATCAGCTAAAGATTTTTTAGAGTCTTACAATAGAGAAGCTGAAATCGAAAATACTCTTTTATATAATGCAATATGGAATTGTTACACAAATATTACCGATTATAATCAGAATTTGATGGTGAGAAATTTATTAAAACAACTAAATTAACGTAATTTTTTGTATTTATTAAACGCTTGAATATACATACTTATTACTTTAAAAAAGACAAAAGCCCAACAAAGGTTTGCCCGTTTTGGAAAAGATAAATGGGAAAAATTAAAAAAATGGAATTGGAGAAATTTCACGGATGAATATATAAGAAGACAATTTCAAAAGATTTCCGATGTAGGCGAATCCGTTCTATCTAACGAAAAATATCAAAGATACTCAGAAATAAAATCGGACTTGGAAAAATTATATTCAACGGCAAAAGTTTGTAAAAAACCTGGAGATTTAAATCCAGAGAAATGTTATAGCTTAGAACCAGATTTAAATCAATTAATGGCTAATTCGACTAATTGGGATGAATTATTGTGGGCATGGAAAGGTTGGAGAGACGAAACTGGTCAAAAAATGTATAAAATGTTTGACGAATATGCTGAATTATTTAGAGAAGCTGCTCGAATTAATGGATTTGAAAAGGCAGATGAATATTGGAAAAGTTGGTATGAAATGGATAATTTTGATTCCGAAGTTGATCGTTTATACGAGCAAATAAAACCGTTTTATCAACATCTACATGCGTACGTAAAAAGAAAATTAAAGAAAACGTTTAAAGATAGAAAATTTCCGGATAGTGACCACATACCAGCTCATTTATTAGGAAGTATGTGGTCAAATAGTTGGGTAAACATTTTCTCTCAAGTTGCCCCTTTTCCAAATAAAACTAACATCGAAGTTACGAAAGAGATGTCAAATCAGGTTTAATTTTAAGTTAAACATATTAGCATAAACAAAATAACAAATAGTTATCAAATTTCTTTTATTTATTTTAATACTCTTTAGAAATATACAGTGAAAAAGTTGTTTAACATATCGGAAGAGTTTTTCCTATCATTAAATTTAAAAGCAATGCCTAAAAGTTTTTGGAAAGACTCTATGCTTACTAAACCACAGGATAATAGAACTGTTTTTTGTTTTCCCTCGTCGTGGGACTTTTACAATCAAAAAGATTTTAGGTAAATTATAACCATTAACCGTAATGGACATGGTAGTATTCTTTCCTAATAATCTTCTCCTATATTTAGGATACTGCAATGTACGGAGATAAATATGGAATGGTTAGTTATAACTCATCACGAAATGGGTCATATTCAATATTTTCTTCAGTATAAACACTTACCAGTTGTCTTTAGGGACAGTGCTAATCCAGGTAATGAATATGAATTATTTAAAATCTATACATTATAACCTTTTTTATGCTAAATCAAGCATTTCACGAAGCTATCGGAGAGCTATTAGCTTTGTCTGTTGTTACACCAGAATACCTACAAAAGATTGATCTATTACCAAAAATAAACAATGATTTAGGTAATAACATAATAATAGAACTATTAAATCGTTTTGCATAAATATCTTTATTTTGATACCTAGATATGGATATTAATTTTTTAATGAATCAAGCCTTAAGTAAATTGACATTAATACCATTTGCCTATTCATTGGAAAAATGGAGATGGGGAGTTTTTAATAATAATATAAAAAAGGAAGAATATAATAAGGCATTCTGGAAATTAAAGTAATTATAGCATTATTGTATAATAATAATTAATATAGTATTTTTTTTTCCTTAAAGATGTAAATATCAAGGATTATCACCTCCTATAAAAAGACATGACCATGATTTAGATCCAGGTTCCATCGTTCATGTACCGTATGGCGTACCATATATTAGGTAAATAATGACAGAACCTTGTAGAGTTCTCTTTAGTTTCTAGTTCTATTCACTTTTTATTACTACCATTACAGATATTTCATTAGCCATATTGTTCAATTTCAATTCCACGAAGGTCTATGTAAAGCTTTAAAGCATAAAGGACAACTACATCGCTGCAATATATTCAAGTCTAAAGAAGCTGGTAGTCTATTGAGGTTTGTTTTATTAATCTTTTAAAAGCAGATACTTGTTTGCCTTTATAATTGTTTCTAATTTTTATCCTTTCCAAAGTAAAATGATGAAGCTAGGCTCATCTAAGAAATGGAGCGTAGCCATGGAAATTATTACGGGTTCGTAATACAAAAGAAACTATAAGAGGAATAATTCTATTTATTGATATGTTTTTGTCTTTCAATGCGTAAAAAAGGTCAATCAAAGATGGACGGAAGTTCTTTACTAAAATATTTTGAACCACTGATAAAATATCTCGAAGAAGAGAACAAAGGTCATAAGATAGACTGGAACGAAGAGTGTTCAGACAGCTATGTAATCGAGCTTTAAATATTAAATATAATATTCTATTAATATTACTTCATTTTACAATAGAAACTAGTATCGATCAACGGTAAACGAGAAAATTTACTTGCCGAATATATTAAAATACAACTTTTTATGATAATTTGTATTAATTTATGTATTAATCAAATAGTAATAGTATTTTGAATATATAAATATTCAAATGATTGACAAAATGAATGTATTTTCCTTAGATAATTGATATGCTTATATGTTAATATGTATATTATAATTAGAAATCATTTTTATTAAAACAATAATTTATAACACATTCATAAAACTTGTACGGTAAAAACAACGATAAATGGATAGTTTAACTTTGAAGATATGAAGAAAAGTGTTCAAAAAGTCTCAATTGAATAATTGAGATATATATATATATATATATATATATACTGTATATATACAATAATAAATTAAAAAAGACATGTATCTAAAATGGCCTTGGAAAAAGAGTTATAAGTGACGAAACTATTGCAATAAAAAAGAAAATAAAGAAAAATCTATCCAGAGTCATAGCTACAATCTGCCATTCTAATTTTAATTGTCTTATTTCCTTGGAAGTCTGCTTTTCTTTCATTGTACAATTCAAAGCATCGACAGCTCCTTCAATTTCTCGTAAATGTTTTTTAACCATTAGAAAATGTGAATCGAGACAATGTAGCATTTGAATTTTATTTGTTGGAGATTTTGGAAAATCTTCTAATTCAATTTCATCGTGATCTTCTTCAATATGAGTAATACGAAATGCTCGCATTCTTTCATTAGATTTTTTACAGTTTTTAGCTTTTTTCCGAAGAGGACTTGTGAAACTATTCGATGTTATCGACTTCGTTCTGGCTTCTATTTTTGAGCAAAATATTCTGGCTAAACCTTTAATAGATACCTGAAATAATAAAAAAGAGGAATAAATATACGCCAGACATTCAGAAGAGTTTTATTAAATGTTTAAGACTTTAATCCAAAGTAACAGCAATACATATTTTATTAACATATATAGATTTATATTATATATGCATTATATATAAAAATAGTTAATAAACTTTAAGCTTTAATCATTTTTAAATAAGTTATTTAATTTTTAATAAACTTCAACATTTCTGCCGTTTCTTTTAATAGAATTTCTATAGGTCTCTTTTCGATTTATTCTTTCTCGTTTTCTTTTATATACCTTTTTAACAAGAAAACGAAATGCAAAGAGACCGCCCAAAAGCTAGATGAATGAATGAACCAAAAGATTGAAAGAAAGAGAAGGAAAGAAAAATAATCAATCGAATAATTATTCAATTAAACAATAGGCTACAATAGCTTATAGTGTCTTTGATAGTATATTACAAAGTTAAACTTTATTGTACTTATTCAATAAATTCAAAACAATGGACTAATTCCTTTTCCAGTTAAAAATAAAAATATACTTTAAATAAAATATTCCAATATATGAAATAGAATAATAAAAAGAGTATATTTTCGTAAGCAAACACGATAAAGCTGTCAATATTTCATGAATAAAAGTAAGTATCGAATATCTAATGAAAATCATAGATTTATAATAATACAAAAATTGATTACTTTCCATAATAACTTTCCATAATTATTAATGTCATTAATATTCTAAGAAATATCTTTGAGTTTGTTAAAATCTATTGAGCAATATTTTCATTTTTTTTATTGCAGGACTCTTAAAAAATACTAGTTTATAACTTTTTCTCTCTATAAAAGGTAATCGATCAAGAGAAAAGGTCAATAAAGATTATTTTTCTTCTTGTCATTTTTGTTAAGTGTAAATCTTTTATTATTATCATTATTATTATTATTATTAAGTATAGATGCTATTGTTTAGATATTTTTCTTTGTTTTTTAAAAACTAAACAGAAGAAAGATGATAATGAAAGATCTATGAATAATTTAACTTCTCCACTTTTACCTCCTATTGATATTATCTCCATCTCTTCTTTTATTTATAGTTGTAGTATTATAAGTATAAATTTCTCTGTTAGTTACGTTTACCTGAATATTTCTGCTCTTTTATAAAAATTTTAGTGTTCAACAGTTTAAAAATACTTTCAAAATAGAATAAGAGCAAAGAGTAAAAACTAGATGGCATTACTGATTTAATTGACATATTTAAAAAATTGTCTTATTATTCTTATTTGTCCTAATTCTTCAGGTCGAAGAGAATGATAAAAGAGTAATAACAAATATATTAACCTCTTAATCAGACATATACATATTCGTATACATTTCTATGGGCGTTTTTTTTTTAAAAAACAAAATGTAGATTATGAATCATAAAAGCTAATGTGATTATCTTACTCTCTACCACTTTCTCTCTCTCTTTTTTTTTCTATCTATCTATCTATCTTTCGTTCTCTATCTATTTGTATTCCTCTCTATTCTCATTTATGTGTTGGTAGCAATAAAATAATATTTTATATTAAGCATACTACGTATTGAATTTCAATTTCTAACCAGTAAAATTCTTACGTATCTAAACATTAGACAAAGTGAGTTGAGAAATGGATTTCTATCATCTTGAAGAATATTATATTAATAAATAAATAAATCTTATTCCAAGTTAACAACTATCATGAATAATAGCGTAGTTTGCGTATCAAACCTAATCGTTAACTCCTGTCTTAACAACCTCACTTAAAATGAGAAATTCCTCTTCCTCAGCCTAGAAGAATATTAGTACATTTTTATATTTATAAAATGAGTTGTAAGTTCTTAAGTATAACCGAACAAAAAAGACATTTAAACATAAAAATTCTGCCACTATCGGTTAATATTGGAAAATTAGATTAATTTAACAATAAGTGAGCGTTGTCTTAACAATTTAATAAGTTTGATTTTGTTTCCTAAGCATTTAAATGATAACTAATTAAACTGATTATACAGCAGATTTAGAGTGAGATTTAACTAAAACCAAAAAGTTGAAGTTATGTAAGCAAAAAAAAAATCAAATTAAAAACCATCAACAACCATCTTACTTTCAAGATTTTCCTTGTGGTAACCTACGAAACTAAATAAGAGACAATTATCACACAATCACGGTAAAACTTACCGTCTTTAACCAGGTTGGAACTGGTTCCATAGCATCTCCTCTTCGACTTATATTAATTACCACAGTAGAGAGAAATATAGATAGCATAATAAGGACCATATTAAAACAATAGTACACCCCTGCAAAAGAAATTAAGAGAATAAATCAATGAAACATACGAATTGGAACAATAGGCCAGCGTGAAACATAAAATCAGAAACGACGTCAATGGTATGACCTAATTACATGCTGTCGATTGTAATTTTTTCTAGGTTAATTAGAGGCTAAGAGCTACAAATTAGAATTAACTTGTTGCCTATATATATATATCTAATATATAAAAAAGTATTGGAAAAAATTTGTTATATAATTTTTTTTCATTATTTAAATGAAAAGATTATTAAACTGTAATTTTCTATTATTAACTGTACATCTAAAAGGAGAAATTTTTCAATAATTAATGGTGTTCAATAAAATCATTTTTTTGCTTGGCTCTATGAAAATGTATTAAGAAGGAACAAAACTTAACAGAAAAAGGTAAAGAAAATGACTCTAATTCTAATAGAGAAAGGTGAATCTGCCAAAAAGATTTATATAAAAAATGCTTCTGAGCAATACAACTGTCTCTAAATTTCTTAAAAAACAAGGAAGCTAATAAAGAAAACCAGTAAAATGTCCTAAATTTGATAGATTAATAACATACAACAAAAGTTTTCATTTGTTAAACGAGCGAATGGCTCAAGGAATAACTCTTTTTTTAAATATAAGTAATAAGGTAATATCTACTGATGATAAAAGGAAAGATGTTTTTTAAGGGCGATTAAGGGAAGGTGGTATAAAGATATAGGCAGGAACTCTATGGAAATAAAAACTACCCTAGCATCACTAAAAACATGGATGCCAGTCGAAAACTAGCTAGAGGTTTAAACCATCTTTACAGAAGGGATTAATTTCTTATACAAAATGTTCTCGTATCACTGGGTTGCTCGTATCAAAGAGTGAAATCTTAAAGTGGCCAGCGAATTTTCCAAACAACCAATATTTTTATAATAACTTTAAAGCATTATAAAAACTTCTTCCCTACAATCAAAATTTCACTATGAATACAATTTTTCCTCCTACTGTACATAGTAGTATATTGTATATAGTGTATAGTGATTGTAAATTATCATATATTTAGCATACTGCTATCAATCAACTACATGTGTTAATGCAATTAATCAATCGCTTAGATAAATAAAAAAATTATTAAAAGTTGTTATAAGTAACCGAGTATCTAAATACTTTTAATTATACAAAACCCATTTCTAGTTCACAACAACGCTATTTATTAAAATAATGATGAAAGAGGTCTTCCTTTTATCATTCGTATAAAAAAATTTTTATTGATATAAACATAAGATAAATATGTCTAAATGATTTGCTATAAATCATTGCTTTCGTCATACTACGTAAAATTGATTGTTTACTTAAAAACATCCCTAAACTTAATGCAAAAAAAGGCTTTATATGGTTAGTGCTATTAGACAATATGAATAAAACTTGTAGATCGAAGAACTGAAAATACATATTTATTATTAAATAAGCAGTTAATAAACTATATTTTTAAAATATTCTATGCTGAATGATTAAGGTAGTAAAATTTCTACAATATTACTAATTTCGTGATTTAATCAATAAAGATTATGCTCAGATTATCTTCTACGATAAGAACTACTCCCGTACTCTCTTTAATGTAGAGCATAATATAATATGTTACACAAATTAGGAAAACTCATTATTACGTCTAAACTCGACATAAATTAGACAATCATGATTATTTCAGGACTTTTTCAAGTTGAATATAGTTATGACAATTTTATACAGAGTTTTTCCATTATCTGCCAACCAAGCCATTGTATTTATAGATAAATATTTTCCAATTTAAGTAAATGACCTTTCAAATCTAAATACTGTTCTATGTCATATACTATACAGTATTACACTTAAAGGTGTTTGCAGACATCGTTCTAAAATATACTGTATACACTATTTATACATACGAGAAGGTTTTGTACATGCCGTTCTAAAGAGTTTAAAATAAATGTTACCTAATGTTGGAACTGATGATGCAGTTGGAGGAGCTGCCTCGACTAAGATGAGGAGTAACAGAAGGAAGCTTGAAAATAGGCTCATAGCTGTATAAATTACACAATGAAAAATATATTAAGTGTACAGTGGAAGTTCAAAAACGAAATTTTTGTAGAGAGAAGGGAAATATTAGAAACGTTTTCCTTCGTTAAAATTACCATCTAAGTCTATTTCTCTCTCTCTCTCTCTCTCTCTTTATATTACTCTTGTATTCTCCCTAAAATAATTTTTTTTATAAAATACTTAATTCAATAAAATAAAAAGAATTCTAATCTTTTAACCTTTTACATAAAAAAATAAGGAGATTATTGGATTTAGAAAAAATTTTTTATCCCTACTCTTTCATTTTGCTATATAAATTTGATTAGCATATCCTATATACAGTATATATAAATTTATATATACAGCATACAGTATACTATATACAGTATATATAGTATATATAGCATATATATACTGCGTCATCAATTAATTAGTATTTAAAGAGCACTTTTTCTAATGTAATTACAGCTGTACATTTAAAAAATATAAATAAATCATATTACATATACTTTATGACTGTTTTTTATATATATTTTGATTATTTATAAAAATACTATAGAGTAAGTTAACATCCAAAATCTTTGAAAGCTGCTTAATTAAGAAAATGTATGTAGTTTTCTTTCATTTTCATTTTCTCTGAATTAGTTAGGTAACTATCTTGTTTAGTTGATAAAGACTAGTTTTTTTCACATATATATACAATATATAGAATTTTACTTGTTATTACGCAACGATATGGTCATTAGCAATTCATTTATAATGGAAACGTAACTGGAGCGGAAAAAATATAAGTCATGGTTTTCTTACTTTCCTTTAAATACTATTTTTAATTAAGATAATTTTTTTATATCCTGTACTTACCTAAACTAGTCCGATCGGGTCTTTCAGGAGGCAGCCAAAAGACAACTAGTGTCATACATGCCAAGAAAATGCAGGGTAAGGTAAGAATGAAACTAGAAAATACCAATTTTCGTTTCAGAGTTAATGTGAAAATTAAAGTGACGTAAGGCTGAGGGCAACAATCGTAGTACTGAATTTTTCTTTGCTCCGATTTGCCGATAATATCCCATTCCGTTGAGTTTCTTTCCAACTCGGTTGTATCCATCTGATCCATCGTCTCCATAAAATGTAAATCAATTTCATTGCCATGATATGCCCAAGAGCCAAAAGTCATGGTACATTCTTGACTATCAAACGGGAAGTTACTTATATCTATTGCACATGAACTGAGGTACATGCGATGAGGAATCCAAAGTATACTCCCATTGTGGTATAAAATTATTAAAGCATCGCGTTCTAACTGCTGCGTATCGGCCCTATGGAAATGAAGATACATGAGGGAATTCTCGGCTAATTTGCTTCATGACCCACAATCGACTTAGGAGCTATTTCGAAAATCGCTACGTTTTTTACTAACTCAATTTGCTAGTTGCATCATATTGCGAGTCTTTACTTGAAAGCCTATCAACTAATATTTTTAATTGAATTTTTACAAGAATAACCACTAACGAGACTAATATTAGGAAGATAAATTGAGTACGAAGGTAATCCTTTTAAATATTTATAAAAAAATATACAATATATCTAAATATAGTTCAAAATTCTCCCTTTTAAGTTGGCAAACTAGCTAAAGTATAGAGTAAAAATAAAAACGAGGTCGTTATTTAAATCGCAATTCTTGTTAAATTGATTAGATACAAAAATTCGTGAATGAACTTTTAACATGAAGACAACTTCTTTTTTGTATTACATTTCTGGTAAAAAACGTTATTTATAGACCACATTATAAAGTGTATCACTTTACTATGCAACTCGAATGAGAGGCAATACAGTATATATATATATATATATATATATATATACAGTATATACAGTATATGTATATATGTATATATGTATATATAGAATATATACATATATGCAATTAATTATAGGATACTCTATTAAAATTACTAATTATTAGCAAGGTATATCACATCTTTTATTTTCATAGTTGGATGGTAATAGTTAATTATTTGATATGTAGACTAATGACTTTTAAAATGATTTAGAGATTAAAATGTAACACACATTTTTTTCGTTACATATGCATTCTGGGTATGTCTACTTTTTCACCTTTAAAGAAGAATGTAAATTGTACTTACGTGTTATATAGCATAATATCTGGTATCCAGACCTTTTGTGATGATAAGCGAACTGAAGTTAAATTATCAAATAGACCCGGATTCCATGCTATATAATCATCATGCCATCTCTGAATTAATAATTCTCTTTTAGAATAAAAACCCTCGCTTGTATGATATATTATAAAATGCTTACGTAACGACACCACACAGACGTCTTTAACATATGCTCTCTTTCGTCCAAATCCATTTGAATCATATTCAAACCAAATCTTACTATTAAGGGTTTTGAAGAATTACTTATAGGTCTTCCATTTCGCCCCACTTGCTGGAGAAATTTTGAAAATATTTATATATATATACAGTATATACAGTATACATATATATATATATATATATATATATATATTAGTATATATTAATTAATTACTCTGTAAGTAACAAATACTTGTTTATTTTATTATCATTAAATGAAAGTCCAAAAACGGATTTAGCTAATCTAAGTGGAATAAGCTGAATAAATTATGTTATCAGATTTGATATATTTTTTTCTTAGTTAATATATCCTCCTATTACGCCCTACTTATTCATTTCATTATTTATATAAATAGAAAGACAATATTTCTTTTTGCCTTTAATTAATTTCTATAATTAATACTTTTTAGTTATAACCTAAAATCTTCTTCGTTCAAGACTTAGTCTTCTTTTTTTCTCTTAATGATGAATTATAATATAATATGATATGAAATATTGCAAAATTAATTTGACATGTATTGTATAGTAATGAGAGTCTATATAAAAGACACTGCTCTAGATATCGAGTGCATGGTCGAAATTTTTCCTTAGGTGCAATGAATTATACCAGAAAAATAATGATTTTTATTATATATAATACAAACAGAGCATTCCTTAAGAAAGCTATCAAGTAATGAGATGAACTTGAATGACTGGAGATATTATTAAAGGGTCTTTACAGAGGAAACAAGTATAAGACTAATGCACTTCTGCAACCGTTAGTTTCGCTCTCTTTTTTTGCTACTCAATTAAATGAATCCTTTGTTATAAATTTATAATTTTTTATATTCAGAGATAAGTTTTAGCTGACGCTAAAGATATAATAAATGTCTATAAGGAAAGAGAAAGTACTGGTTATAGAAATGATTAAAATATTATAGAATATCGATAAAATATACAAAAACATCACTTTATAGAATAACGTTACAGTTATTAGATTTTAAATTTATATTAAAAGTAACTAAATTACTAAAATAATAAAAATATCTAAATATTTATTAAATATTTATTGATTATTTCTATGTTTTTTTTATATATACATTTTACTTCATTAATAGATCTCTATTCATTTATCACTTCAGATATTTTTCTCTTTTTGTTGCAGTTCTTAGTCGGATTAAAGTGTACTAATAATTACTTGAGTTTTTACAATTTTCTCCTTTGTTTGTTTCTTCCCATGCTTTTTATCATTCTGTTTAATGAATGATGTATTATATAAATATATATAGCTGATATATATACAGTATATATAGATACTGTATATATAGTATAAGTCCTCTGCATGTAATAAAATAAACGATAAAAAGTAACAGATAAACGAAAATCAGAGTTTATCTTAACTTTTTCTCCTAACTAATTAGACAATGCGATAGGTAGTTCTGTGTTTAATTAAAAAAGTCCATAAAACCTCCTGGGAAGAAAAATTGATGTTTAGTAAGAGTCCCTCGACGTATTTTTCTTTTTTTAATGAAAGAAGAAATCATTAAGATTTCTGTATTTCTTTTTTATTTATTTATTTGTTTTCTTTTGTTGTTCTCTTTTTTATAAATTAAACAGTATTCTTCTTTAGTGAAAATAGTACTATAAGATAATAATTTTACTTATATTCATTAAATTTCTTATATATGGAATTGTACAGACGAAAAAGTTAAATTTGTACTAAAACTTTCACAATAGTCCCGTATTTGGGGCAATTAAATAGAAAAAAAGATATTTCCTCCTTTTAAATTGGTATATAATACATCTCTTCTATGAAATTATAGTAGTAGAATTTTATGAAAAAAATATAAAAGCTATACATCGCTCTTAATCATAATAGTATGAATGTATTTAAAAACCTTACAAATACATAGATACATTTATTATAATTGGCCTAAAAATATTAACATAAAGGATTTTGTATAGTCCCTTTTTTTTGCAGGTAAAAAATAATCCCTAAAGCATACTCTTTAATGGTAAAAAAAAATAGAAAATATAAAAAAGACTTAATCTTTTTAAGAATGCACTTTTTTTGAAATCTTTCAATATTAGAACATTGTAATAAATTGTATTTTAATAAAAAGAAACTGTATTTCTTTTCTCTTTAAGATAATCTAATATACTTTTTTTTAACTTTTCTTTCTCTAAATAAAATATATAGAATTTAGAAAAAAGAACGACTTTGTTTTAAGCATAAACTTTACGTAAAACGTTTTCCAGTAATATAAAATGTCTTTCCAGTACCAGAAAAGCATTATCCGTAATAAGATAGTATTTTTAGCAAAAGTGAACCAAGTCGAAATATCATAAAATTCCCAAGTATAGAAACCTAAATACCCTACCTTTAAGTACATAGAGAATATCAATATGCGTACTATCTATTTTATATAAACACTGTATATATATATATATATACAAAGTTTATATATTTTTTTTATTTACATAAATGATAGAGTTAAATTTAGGCCAAGTACTCAACAAATAAAAAGGGGAGGAAAGGAGGAAAGTGTATAGGAAGAGGACCTGTGAAATATCTTTTTATTTGCAATTTTGAAATAAAAGTACTAAATAATGTAATAAAAAGAATTCAAATATAGAGGTCCTTTTCATTTAAAACAGGTACACTTTAAATACTAATTAACTGGGAAATACTTACAATGCTATATATACTGTATATGTATATATATATATATATATTCGAATATATTTGCTATATTAATAGTAATATTGTTTAAGTAATATAAAAATTAATAGGTCAACTAATAGTAAATGAAGGAGAGAAGAAGGGAGAGAGACATAGAGAGAGGGTTTGTGTGTGTGTGTGTGTGTGTGTGTGTTTGTGTCTGTGTGAGTGAGTGAGTGAGTGAGTGAGTGAGTGAGCGAGTTAAAGAAAGAGAGAGAAGAGGGAGGGAGGGGAGAAAGAAAGATTTAAATTGGAGCAACGTAATATATACTTGGTAACCCCGAGTTTATTCAAATAAAAGCCCTATCTTATCAATGAAACCCCATTATTCTTTGGTTGATTCCTTGATAGTTTATTTATCTTTGCCTAATTTTATTTTCTCTTTTTACAATTACATTTTTGTAGTAAGATTAATTATTCTTTTAGAAAAAGAAAAACTGTATCAGATGAGAAGAGAAAAATACCTAGTCCTTTGTGAATTTATTAAACTTGTCAATGTAAGTCTCGATAACTACTTCATAAATATTTCAAGACTTTGAGGAAACATTTTGATGGACTTTCTAATAAAATATGGCACAATGAGATACTTATAAAGATACTATAGATAGATTATTTAACTAAACCATACAACTTTTAGTGAAAGAATGGAAGCAAGAAGTAAAACAGAGAATTCTATTAATATATTTAGTCTTTTTCTTTTAGTTTTAATTCGGTGAGAAATAATAATTTACTGAACAGTTGTCTGTGTAGTTTCTTCAGTATTCCCTAGCTGTTTTTAAATGTTATTTTATAATTATAATCCTAATCATATTAGTGAGTACAACTCCAAGGCAGTCCTACAGTCGTAATTAGGGGATATATTAATTTCTTCTTTTCTATATTTTGCATGAATAGTGACTCAATTCTATTAGATTACAGAAAATAAAATATGTAAAGAGGGAATAGGTTTTTAAGTCTTTTATTTGTGTTGTTTTCAGCCAACAGTCTGGAAAGTTTCTAATGACAAGGAGATGCAAATTCAAAAACGGCCTATTTTCCCCCCAAAGACTTAATCCCAGAATGAAAATTTTGGCACAGTTTAGAAAACTGAAGACTCTAAAGAATAAATGCAGTTGGAGATAAAAAAACAAAGTTTAAATAAATTTCCCAGTGTAAAATTAAAAAGAATAATAAAGTTATCTAGGCGAATATTAAAATATTCTATTTTATAAATGGCCTTTGGGAATGTTGTAAGGTCAAGAATTATCATATTTGATATTCGCAGTTTGGACAGAGTCTAAAAAAGTTAGACACAAAAAAAGGAATATTACGTATTATAAGTCTACTTCAGTTAATCTTATAATAATCTCAATAGCCTTTGAAATAATTTCTTAACGTATTTTTACTCGCATATTTTTCACCTTACTTGAGTAAAAAACAAAGATTCATCAAAAAGAAAAAAGAGAGGATAAGCTCTCTTTTAATATCTAGTATATATATATAATATTAAATAAGCATTCGCATTAAATCACTAAATAATAATTAGTTTTACTTTGATATAACTGCATGAAAGCCGGCGAACGTTAAATTCTATGATTAAAAGGTAGTTTAATTGTTTTAAAAGACTATTTTTCAATCATTTCTGTCATTATTCAATTAAATAAATAGAATTAAATACAAAAAGGAAAAAAAAGAACTAAAGAGAAATTTTCTTTTTAAATACTCACTTTATATTTCTTTAAAATTTTTTTTATAAGTCTTTTTTCAGCGGAAATAGCAAGTTTATGTCCTTTTCTTTCATTGCTGTTTGAAAAATAAACAATACAACTTTTAAAAACTAAAAGAGAAAATTGGTAATGGCGCAAAAATTAAAATTGAAAAAATATTAAAAAAATGAAAAAGGTTAGAGGGAGGGGAAACACTGAGAAAGGAAGGAGGGGGGGGGGGCGGAGGGGACGGAGAAAGAATAGTCACCGCACCCTAAAAAAAACAAAACAAAAAAGAAAAAAAAAACAATGAATGATTTTTTTCTAGCACGAAAATGGCTACCTACTGAATTCATTTATTCAATTGGTGCATTTTCTTTTTTATTTACGCAATCTATTTGTTAATTATTGATCAATAAAAGGTAGGTATTTGGTTTTTTGCTTCTTTTCTTTTAATTTTTTCTGTATTGTTCATTTTACATTACTATCAATATATATACAGTATATAGTATGTAAAAAGGTTCATTTTGTGATTTATAATATTCCTAACTTTAAAACAAGAACGATTGTCAAAGAAAGAGAGAGAGAGAGAGAGAGAGAGAGAGAGAGAGGAATAAAGAAAAAAATTTTTCATATATGTTAAAAAAGACACGACAACAGAGATAAATCGGTTTAGAAGGATATCCTTGTTTTTAAAAATGCATATAGTTCTATATATTAATTGACTGTGTATAATTAAATGTATAATTAATATATTTTTCTTACAAGTTATATAACATTAAAAGTTCTACGAAAAGTTTACTAAAGGAAATTACAAATACAACGTTGACGTTTGTATAAAAAAATTATCAATAATTCTGTTTATCTTTTAGAAACGCGACAAATGTTTAGGCCTTTGGCAATTTTTTATCCAATATAGATTTTTCATGTACTTTGTTCGAAAAAAAAAACCTTACTAAGAGTCAGAGTGACGATATTCATTTAATTTCGTGTATACTGTATATTCTGAACCATGAAAACTCAAGTCAAAAATTTACTAAAAGAACTTTTCAACTTTCTTACTTTTTTTTTAAAAAGAAAAAATGTAATTAATTTTTTTATTTACATGGATTGATCGATCTATTCTCATCTAGCAAATAAATAAATAAATAAGGTTTAATAAAATAAAAATTAGATAGTTCAAAGGTATAATAAACAAAGAATAAATAGAGATTGACGTAGCTAAAATATTTTCCCTTTGTTGCTTTGTTATTTTTATTTATTTCTTCTATTTATATTGCAAATAAAATATAAAAGATGGTACTTTATTAAGTGATGCAACAACTGTAAATTTCCCCTTTATTCAGTTGTGTAGATATATAATATATACATATATAGGCTCTCATATTACAACAAATATTCGAAGAAGCTATCAATGTTTTACGTCAAATTCCTTTCAACTAGATAAAAAAGAAAACACAAAAAAGTACGCATATCTTTCATAAGCATTAAATATCATATAATTAGTGAGCTAGTAAAAGAAAGACAAACAAGATACATAATACAATTTGTGAATTTTAACTATACTACATGCAAAGGCCACAAAAAGAAAATAAAGGTATAAAGTACATAGCTACTAGCTATATGTACATATGTTTATTTTATCTTTGTACATAAACAAAAATAATTCGTGACATTTAAAAGTCTATAGATCATTATACAACTGAAATTGTATACAAAAAAGAAAGGCAATTCTCTTTTTTATTTCTTTCATTTTATGTTAGGGAAATGGTTTTTGTTTAAAATTCAATTCTTTTTTTCCAGTTCTTAAAATCTATTCAATATTTCTAAAGATTAAAAAACTTTGAATTTGAAAAGAGAGACTATTACGAGGCATTTTTTTGCATTTTCCTTGTCTTTGTTTTCTAAAGACAAAAATAAGATTACAAAGATATATGCAGTATATATATAGAGATATAATGTTAAAAATGCTATAAAAACTAGAGTTGAAATAAGTTATCGTAAGAAGGGAATTGATTTTAGAGCTTATTTATGAGGTTTACAAATGATCCAGTGACTTTTAGTGCTTTAAATTGATTTAGTAGCAAAAAGAGGAAGTTTACTTTTGCTACAAATCTAATTAAAAAAAAAAAGCCGTCCTTTCAATAATGTATTTAAATTTAATTTATTATTCCTCTATAATAATCATTGTAATATTTATAAACTATATATAAACATATATACAGTATCTACTGTATATGATGCACCTAGCAGATTTAATATATAGTGTGTTTCTAAATTATTTTATAAATAATTACCTTTCAACATGATTTCAATGGTTTCAGTTAAATAATAATAAGAACTTTCTGCCTCTTTTTACTCTTTCTTTTTTCTTAAATGCTTTTCCGTTTTACCCCCATTGCTATTAAGTTATAACAAGTACCCATTCCTTTTGCCACTATAGTATACTTCTTTTGCATCTATGTAATTTGTAGACGGCATAGTACTCGATACAATCAAGCTACTTCTATTAAGTTACATGAAATGCTATTACATCGTCTACTGAAAAGAAATTTATTATAATTCACAAGTCTTACTTTACTGTTCAAATGCCCATACGGATCGAATTTATTGACATAGGCCTATAGCACCAATAATTCAATTTACCTTTGCGAAACATGACAAATACTTTTGGACAAACTACACGTTTACTCAATCGGTTTATATTTTAAGCAGACTAAAAATACTTTTATGTACATAACGTATAGTAAAATAAAACTATTTCTGACTTCTTCAAGAGGAACTTTGATCAAAATTGAATTATAAGTTTATAGGATATAAACTATTCTATATTTATCATAACATACAAACTTATATATGCAAATAGAAATTTCATCTATCTGTTTATATTATCGCTGATGAATATTTAAACTTTCCAAGGAGTTAGTTAAAATTCTCTTGTGTTGTCTTTGTTACTTTGAATTTGTATGAGAATAAAAACACGAAGAAATGTACATTAGCTAAATTAACTCATTTATTTTAGTAATTAAAAGATTATTCGCATTTCATAAGAGATATGGTTTTATATATAATATTATTTTCATTATGTATTGATATTCTATATAAATCATCAACTATAATATGCCTTTTTGGTGTATTTTCAATAACAACGGCTTATACAGATAAATTCCAGAAGTAAACATTGACGTTACATTTATATATACAATATATACTACTATATATATATATAGATATATTAGGATATACAGTATATATTCTTCATTCGTCGAATAGGGGATATCTAAGCCTACATAGTTTAGCTCAACAGATAGGAATTTAACCATTCATACATGCAAACTTCTATATAGATTTCTTTTCTTAATGGTATACACAATATCCAGAAAGAGCAACCTTTATATACTTTTGCCTCAAGTAAATAGCTTTTATATACAATTCTGTGAAATTGTTTGAATATATGTGAAATTCAATTTGCGAAATACCTAGTTCCTTCTTCAATTTAATAGGTCTTATATTATGTTTCGTTAAGTAATCATTAATTATGTATTGTTTTTAATTAATTTGGTCTTTTGTCCTTCGGAATCTAAGAAAATATCTCCAGATATTTTGCACGAAATTTATCAGAAATCGACATTGAGATAAAGTAACTGTTAATGGAAAAAGAAAATGATACAAGATAGTCGTATCATTGATTTCGGAGAATCTGACATTATTATTTTCTTGTTTAAATAAACCTATACTATCCTAATTTTACATTGTAATTTTAAAAAGAAAAAAGTAAAAAACATAAATTAAGCGACTAAAATCAGAAAAAGCCGTATTCAACAAATATTGCAATTCCTTTGTATTTACTAATTATAGCTCTACTACTGTTTACATCATTGATTATTTATTATGAGGTGACAATGTTGATCATTTTAGTCAGAAGAATATACTAAAATATGTTCTATTTTATTTTCATTTGCTCTTAATCTTTTTACTATTTCTAAGAAGGATTAGAAGTCTCTTAATTGAATAGAACTACCTCCGATAGTTTAATACAAGTTCGGTATTTCTTTCTAAATAAACATATTTTAATGAATACTTATTAGATTAAGATACTTATGAGGCATTTCCAACTTTGAACTGTAGTGCACACTTCATACATTGATACTCTATACAGTACGCTTTACATCTATACATTACCCTTTACATGTGTATTAAAAGAGATTCACAATTTCCTCTAAGCTTATGAGATATATTATAGTATATAAGATATAATAATATAAAGCTGTATTTCCTCTATATTAACTTTTTCTTTGTCTCTTTTGCTTCTCTTAGCTGTCTCTCTTTAAATAGCTTAATGGACAACTACAATACTTTTTAGTTTAATAACTAATAATCGTTTGTTAGGCTTTAGTGAATAAACTATACTAAGAAATTATATTTCTCATCGATAATTTGAAAATAAAAGAATTAGATAAAATCTACAAAGAGTCTATTTTTTTTTGTAATGTATTCTTTAATAGTAAATTACTTTAGCCTGCCCTTATTGAACATGAATGACTATTCTTTTCTTGGTATTTACTATCTATAATTTAAATTTTTCCAATAATTTATACAGTATATATGTATATATGTACGATACATGCTATAGGAAAAGAATCTTAAACTAACAATTACTATATAGAGGGACGAAATAGAAACTGTAATAGCTTGTTTCCCTTTCAAAGGAAGAAAAATAATAAAAGAAACATAGAATTATCATCTACTGATCGTTAACTGATAGCGTGTTAAAATGCTATATGTATCCTCTTATTTATTTCATACAAGCTAGAAAACTTTAAGTAGATCTTTCCATTTCGATGTATAATCATCAGAAGAATAGAAATTCATCAATGACTAAATTTGTGTGCAATGCAATCATGCGTTCTATGTATGACAAATTACGGAATCATTCAGCAATTTTAAATGATATCTAACACATTCATAGCCCTGATTAGGATGTAACGCTTTCTTCAATGAATAAAGAAACTAGCGTATCATGTCAATAGATTGTTATTATCAAGTTTGTATAGCTATTTTATTTAGTGAAAACGTTGATTAGTAGAGTTCCTGATACATTTTCAAAGGATTTCTTTCAAAATCGCCTTTATATTGTTATAGAACTTTACTTTCTGTGTAAACAAAGCTAAAGTTTTAAACATTTGAAATAAATATCATTTCATTCCTTTGATTTATTTCTTTAAAATCTTGCTTCTTGATATCAACGAAAAAGCATTTAAAAATAACCTGTTTAATATAAAACACTCAGCTGTTAAAATCCCTTTAAAGTAAGTCATTACGTTAAGAAATATTCACCAATCTTAAGTTATCGACCAGAAAAGAAAGTAGATAATCCATAAAGAAAACAATTTATTAAGAAGGAAGAATTCAGTATTAAATAAATAAGAATAAATTAGGAAAAGGTAGAAAGAAATGACAGAAGGTAAAATATATAAAGATAAAAATAAATAAACAAGCAAAAGTACTGGAGAGTTTAATATATAAAAAAAATAGAGTATATATATATATATATATATATATATATATACATATTGAATATATTAGACTATATATATATACATATATCTTTAAATATTGAGAAATTATAATTATCTTAAGGGAAATAATACAAATTATCATAATTAATCCTATTTAACTGACTAGATATAAAGCTATTCAATGGACGAATATTTATCTAAAACTTTCTTATTCAATAAAACTCTATAAAGTGTAATAGTTATAATTCTATTCTGAAATTAAGTGCAATTGAAGAAAGCATTAATTCTTCACCCTGTTTTATGCTCTCTTTTTAAATCTATCCCTCTGTTATTTCTTTTGTTTTTTTCCCCTTATATGCTCATTATCAAATACAAGTTTTTTTAAGTTTTCTTTTAAGCATGTTCTATATTTCAGCAAAATAAAAATATAACTTATTTTGTATTGATTATACAAACTTTTTAAAATTAATGTTTAACTGTAATTCATTAAAAAAACCTGCATTGTAAATGTACATTATACATGTACAAGTAATATACATATATACTGGATATATATATATATACAGTATATTTTAGATATATATTTACCTAATATAATTATCTCTTATAGTCGTTAAATAAAACTAGTTACCTTTGTCTTTTTCTATTTCCATAAATGTTGGGCACATCTTCTCCTGGTCTTTGTTTAACTATCAGTTTTTTTGAATCAACTTTATGTATTAAAACCGAATAAAACAATAGTTGATAGAGTATTATGAATATTATATATTTCATATTTTTTCTATTATTATTTATCCTATAAAAAAGAAACAAATTCTTTTATCAACAAAATGCTTCTGGCCTGATCATAATTTTTCAAATGAGAAGACTTAACTGCTTCGCGGCGCTTGTGAATATTTTGTTAGCGACATCTGGCTGGAACTTTTCTATATGTCCATACTATATACAATATCCTCATTTTGGTATACATTTCATGGATGTACTATATAAAACACTCATATTTCAGCGATATTAGTCTTTATTTTGTATATTATAAGTAAAAAGTTTTCAATATAAAACTTATAGAAGTAAAAACTTTACATATAAAGAAATTAAAAAATGTATGAATATCTTTTGAAAAATGTATCCTTCTTTCTCAGGTTTTTGACATTAATTGCTATTTATGATATGTATATAAATCTTATCAAAGACTGAACACTATATGAGGTGAAATTACAGTAAATCTTTTCAATAGAGCAAAGATATACATATATAGTGTAAAATATAAAAGTTAGAAATGCTCTTCTGTTTTCTATACTGTATTTATAAACTTATATTTATTTATATAGATTTACAAAGAAAACATTTTCTATCAAAGCAAAAGATTTTAGAAAGAATCAAGAAGTAATAAATATTTTTTTGGCGGATAAAAAGTTACATATTTTATAATTACATTGGAATGTATGGGGAAAGATTAATTTTGTCACGTAAAAGATCAATAATGCAAAAGAGAATGCAATATAATAATCAATAAAATTTTATAAATGAAAGTTAATTAATTCAATTGTTAACCTACAATCATAATTTAACCGATGTAAAGTATATTCAACTATTATACACATGTATTGGAATTTATATTATTCTCTTCTATCATCCTGCTTCCTTTTCTCTATCTTTCTCTATCTTCCTCTCTCTCTTCCTCTCTTTCTCTCTTTCTCTCCCTCCTCCCACTTATGAAGCGGTATAAGACCGTTTTATGCTTCTTTTTAATAAAAATCTTTATCGATTCATTCTTTTTTGTCTACATTTTTATATTTTTACATTTTGGTTAGCATCTAGATTGACCTTGACGCTTAGAAAATTTAAGTAGTAGATTAATTGAATGCTATAAAATGTTACTAATCCAGGATTTAGTTGTGAAAAAATAGAGAAAGATATGAATTTAAATTTTATTTTCTATAAAAATTTCTATTGGTTTTTACTTGAACTTTATCGTTTTATCAATGAACTTGACAGATTAGATATTCTTAGAATCTTAAGCATAAATACTAATAAAAGAAACTCTAAATAGGAATTAGCAGATAAGCTTTCAGCTTCCATCCCATTTTTGGACAGTAACATTTATATTCCATCATTCTAAGAGAACTCGTCAATATTATACTTTGTACTCTTTGAGAAAAGTAATACTCTTTCAAATAATAGACCAAAATATTCATAATTTAGGTTGATTTTATCAAGAATATTATCATTTTTATTAGTTGTATATAATGTAAATTATCCAATGATTAGAAAAGTATTGATTGACATTATTATCATTCTTCTCTAAACACTGTACAGTGTGAACAAAGAATATAGATAAACTCAAGCAAATTTCTTTGGGAAATTTTTCGTGAGTGCTTGTTGAAAAAGTAATGAATGAACTTCTAATACGAGCTCTCTTTCTCTCTTTTTCTCTTCTCAATCGCTCTCCGTCTCTCTCTATCTTTCACTCTCCCTCTGTCTGTTGATTTGTATATTATGGTAATGGACATTTGCAGTTAAAATCTTTATGACCAATTCGAAATTGTAAAAGTATAATGAAGTATGTGATCATAACGCCAAACATCTGATATAAAAAAAATAAACAATAGATAATAAATGAAAATAGTGTATACAGCAATAAATCATAAAAATTTCAATTACCGTTACTAATGCAGAAGGATCGACAACAAACATTCCCATTGCCGAGACGCCAATCGTTGTTCCCGTCAATTTATTCATAAACATATTTATCTATTCAAAAATAATAATATTACATTGAAAAACCAATATGAATTAAAGCTCTTATAATATAAATACAGGATTAAGTACTACAAGTACTAGTCATTAATTACAGACATGAAAATTTCATATGAATCATACCTGAAGCAATTTATCATTGTCAACTCCATCGTAAACAAGTGATAGAGAGAGCATAGATTTAATGGGATGATGAGCCTACTCACCACAATATATACAGTATTATAGTCTAAGAAAATATCCTTATTAATGTATATATATATATGTATGCTCTTACCCAAACGTAAATATTTCCTCCATGATATCCAATTGTTAGCATATGAATAATTATTGAAAATATCCAAAATAGCTGAAGACTTGTAAATTCAGTATTTAATTTATGATAAATCACATTATATAAGATTATACATAGTAGAGTAATATGACTTAAAAATGATGAAGATGTAATAAACGATACCACTCTATCCAAGCCTGTGAAAAATTAGATTAATCATTTATTTAAAAAGTTACTTAATGAAAGTAATAGCATACTTTCAACTAATTTACACAATTCTATATGTCTATTCCTGTAGATTTCTAAATCTCCTATAAATTTACCCTCATCATCAACTAGATCCTCAAATTCTTTAGCAAATTTCTCAAGTTCGTCTGCAACCAATACGCACAACAGTTTATATAAGACTGTTGGTAAGACTGTTACCATAGTATTTAAGAAACATATAATAACTGATAAGAATCTAAAATCTCCAGATAAAGGATAAAGCATGTGATTAAACCATATTTTTGATTTATTATAAGCCGTATAAGATGTCCAAATTGTATTTAGAATGATAAAAAATGCTGCTCCAAATATATTTAATATCATACAACGCTTTATCTTCGGATTCTCAATTGAACTAGTTTCTTCATAATTAATTGCAAACGTATAGAAGCAATTCTTTTGCTTACAAACGTAAAACATGGCGCAAGTTTTACATACACTCTCCAACCACCAAACAGTCAAGATTAATTTGAAGAATAATTCGGCATTAAAACTATTCACAACTCCAAATGAGAGTAAATATCTTAGTAAATTGAAAACTATTAGAAACGATATAAAGAATGAAAATATTTGAAAAGCTGATATTCTCTGCCATATTTTTAATTTATTATCTGTTGTATGAGATTTTCTTGAATAGAATAATCCACTAAATTTCATTACAAGAAAAAATGGCTTTAGTAAACGATACAGCTTAGTTTCTTCCAGTTTCTTAGGTTCATCTCTTTGTTTCATTATTCTTAGCGCTTTTAAGATTTGAGGCTCCATAAAATTTGAATTTTGGCGTGCCAATTTCCTTTTGTGAAGCTTTTCCATTGTTAAAATCTGAAGAGTAAGTGCGTCAAGCGATTGCAGGTGTTGAGAAATTATTGATGCGCCTGATGGATGCTAAGTAAATATTATTGATTATTAGAAAAAAGAATCTTTTACCTAACATAAGAACCCTTTATTATTCTGTTTCAAGTAATTGAGGAGAATATTTTTTTCTCAAATAACGCCTTTATATATGGAATAAGAGAAGAACCGCTTCCCTACACTAAACAATATAAAATTATCAACTTCCTGGAGTTCAAAAGTGATTTCTCTGCAATCCTATAAATTGTACATGCTACAGACATTTGTCATGTTATAAAAAATATTCTCATATTCAGTACACAGTATATTAAGAGCTGTTACTTAATACATAAAATATCAAGAATTTGCACGCTCTTTAATTATTAACATGGCTGAAAAAGAGAGAAAAGTTACAATTTCATAGTTTCTCCTCTTTAAAGTTTAGAACGATAGATGGGGCTTCAACAATTTTATTATAGTAGGTACCTAAAATCTAGACGGAATTCATAAATATTCCCTTACACAGATGAAAATAATCGATTTTTTTTCTGCCCTTCAGGTGGGAAAAGTTTTATTTCTTTTATTACTGGTCCTTTACAAGTTTGCACAATACATATCTCAACAAATAAAATGTATAGTTATAATAAAAAGAAACAATATGCAGTGATGTATATCCCAAAGAAAATGCTTTAAAAATATACAATTTATATGTATGCAGTATAATAAAACGATCTTTTCCCTCTTTCTTCTATTGCATTAATACAGTATATATTCTGAATTTTTTGCTAATAATTGTATTTATTTTTTTCTCATAGCCTGAGAGACGGCAGCCATTACTGTGGTTAAAGAACATCGAAACCAGTCAGAATGCAGCCGATAAGCATTCAAAATATTAGTTATATCTTTGAGCGTTCTTTTAGAATCGTTTACGTTAAATTGCCAAACAACTTGAGAGTGTTTGTCGAAAGAGTTTGTTATCCTGTACAAATGTGGGCTAGACCAAGGTATAAAGAGTTGTTTCTTATCTGACGTTATGTAGATAGACGATGAAGGCAAGGTTTTACTATAATAAGATAATGAGCATGGACATTTTGACCCGGTTGTCTCTTCCTCTGAGTTGATTTGAACTAAGTCTGTTTGAGTCGATGCATCAATAGCATAATGACAAGTTTTGCCTTCTCTTTCAATTATATCTAAATCTTTGCTATCCTCCAAAGATTTTTCAAAATTAGAAAATGTCTTGGAAAGTTCAATCTCCCCTGAATATTTAATGAATTCTTCATTATCTTTTTCGTTCGTTTCCCTTTCAACCTCGTCTTCTTTGATAAAGAACCTTTCACGGTTGACAGTTGCATATATATTGCTATTCTTTTCATTGTATTGTTCTTCTCTTGCCTCGTCTTCCTTATCCGAATAGTCAATATCATACTGTTCTTCATAATCAACATCGTCGGCAAAGGCGATATTTTGAAGGCTTTCCAAATAAACTTTGGTTTTTTCATAATAATCTACCCTGGTGTTCTCTTTTGAAACTTTAGTATATAGGTGTTCTTCTTCCTCTTCTGCAAACCTTACCATATGTTGAGAGGAAAGGGATCTTTGTTTTGAGGAAGAAGTTTCTGAAGGTGGTGATAGAGCTCGCTTTCTTGGAGGTAATGGAGGGGCGGAACTCTGACTCATATGTTTTTTTATTGAGGCGTAAAACACTTCATTTTCAGTTAAAGTGGAATCGCTAGACTTTTCACTTTCGCTACTTTCAACAGTTTCCTGAAGCTGGGCCATTTCATTAGTTAATACAGTTTGCCATAAAGATGAGCGATGTCGCCAAGCGAATATACTTTGTCGTCTCTTAGCTAATCGTCCTGAAGATCCATCAGAAGATTTTCGTCGGTCTGCCCAATCGGGACGATTAGCTCCTAATTCTTTTACAAGATCAGAATCGGCCGAGACTTGCTCTTCTTGCCTCCTAAAATCATCATGGCATTCATTCATCCACGCTAACATCCATTCTCCAACCTATTTGTGATCAAAGAAAACGTGTACTTAATATTTTTATTATTCCAATAACATTATATTCTACGTAATACGTAAGTTGAAAATTTATCTATTTTTGTTGTTCTAGTCCAGTAGATGGCTATTACGAATATTTGACAAATGAAAGAGAAGAACTTGACATTATTTTGATTAAGAAAATATACATGTTCTCTTAATTTAATAAGTAAAGAATTTCTTTGAAGAATATAAACGAATGCGTAGGAATCTAACGTAAAATTTTCAAAACATGAGATAACCTGTATTAACAGGATACGGCCGTCTGTACTTAGTTAACCCTCTAGACTACTGAAGCAATTCGAAAAGGTAAAAAAAAAAGAAAAGAGAAGAAAATCTCCTCTGCAAAAGAAACGCAAGCGGAAGAGAGAAAAATATAGTAAGAAACAATAAGAAGTCTTTAAAATTAATACCGTTTATTAAATTTCCATATAGCTTTAAGAGTGATTATGGTAATAACTTTTACACTAACTTTTCTTCTAAACCTATTACATTGTACTGGAAGCATTTGTCATTATTTTTCCTTAACCTTTTCAACTAGTACATTCTTCCTCTTTTCTTATTTTCTTTCTCAGATTTTCCCACAGTTTTTATTGTATATAACTTTAAGCAGAAAAAAAGATATACATTAAACAACAACGCAAACTCAGTCTGCTCTTTAAACGATTTAAATATCCGAATTGTTCTTCATCGTAAAGATATCGAATGGGGCATAATTAAAATCTAGTAAAAACTCTATACTCAACAACTCCGAAGAGGGATGGATATAATTCAAAACAAACTAGGCAAAGAATAATTTAGCCTACTATTTATACACCTGTTAACATTAGTTGAGCCTATAATTATTTGGTTGATTTTTGAACTTTCCAAATAAATATATAAAGACAGTATAAAAAATATAAAGGTTTATTATGAATTAAAGTAGGATAACAGCAAGAAAGAGAGAGAGAGAGAGAGAGAAAGTAAGAATTATTACCTATCTTTACTAAGCACATAAAATAAAAATAAAAAAGAGAGAGAAACATTCTTGATATCTCTTTTAAAAAAGTATATTTATTAAGAATATTCCGTTATAAATTGACTAAGACTTTTAATAAATTCTCCTAGGTAATTTACTGTTGAATAAATAAACGTCTAATGGTAAATTTATTGTAAAAAATGCTGATTACTATTACTAATGGTTGTTCAGTCTATTTTATTTAAATGCTCTTTTACTAGTTGTACTTTATTATTTTCACAGTTGAGAAAGAAAAAAAGTTTAACAATTTTTTAAAAAGCTTTTTATTAAATATACAGTATATACGCTATCCTCTTTCTATCCTACGATTGTTCTCATATATTTCTTATTTCTAATACTATTATTAAGCTATCATCAGATATATATCTCCAACTTAGAATCATATTACGAGTTGAAAAGTTCGCTTTAGATGAGAAGGGAAGTAATAGAATAATAAGGTCAGTATTTTTGTAAATTACACTGGATAGATTGATAATTTAAATAATCCAAATGAGATTAAACTTTTAAGAATAGAAAGTATATATTACCATATATTTTCCTCCATGATTTAACCAAGTGGAAACATCCGCCTCATTATCTTCAATGGCATCAGCGATTTCTTCCACTATCACACCTCTTTTCATTAAGTATCTAACAATCTTAAAAAATTACGCAATAAGAAAACAAGGAAAGTAAATGATATATTTTAACTTTGAACACCTGTCTAGCCGAATTGTGCTCCCAAATCGGAAATGCAAACATACCCGATTCGAAAATATCCATCATTTCCCATTCTAATTCCTCTGACATAATCAAATCTGAAGTAAATAGGAAAGTTGAGAGTACTACAAACATATCGACAATTTCTTCAAAATAGTTAGATGACAAGATAAAAGAAGAAAAGTTATTATTTAAAATATTTATTAATATACTAGAGAAGTATGACTAATATATTATATAATAGAATATTATACTAGAAACTGTATATATATATATAGAATATAAAAACTTGCTGAAAAACATCTAGAGGAAAAAGGGAAAAGAAATTATACTTCTTAAAAAAAAATTGAGAATGTTGCTAGGTCGAAAGCTATCGAAAGAATGAATTGAAATAGGTGTGGGATAGTAAGTCACGTGGAATCGTTTAGTTACGGAAAACTGAAGTTTTCTACTGTGATTTCAAGCATTCCAATTAAAATTGCAATGTTAACGGTTGCTTGTTAGGTGTAGCAGTAAATATTGTAAATTGGTCTTAACTTGATCACATTATACAATTTAAATACTAGTTAAAAGTTAATTTTGTTAAAGTTTTCTATAAAAATATAAAGTAAAAATCTGGTATTTTTCTTTCTTTTTTATATTCTATTTCCTTTCTTTTTCAACTGTAAAATGAACATTGAAATACTTAGAGATTTGTTATAGAAGAAAAATATACATTTATTAATTTAAACAGTTTGTTTTGAAGCATATTATTGTGTTTATATCTCAGTGTTTAGTAGAGAGAAATGTTTGTTAGTACTAAACATTGTTTGTTATGAATTGCTATGGTTGTTAATTATATAAGGGAAAAAGGAGAGATAGATATTTATAATAGAAGCAACAGAAAAGAAAAATATAATCCTAGATATATATTTATATAAAAAAGAAACTTGACAAACATAATTAGAATCAATTATATAAATAAATTCATTTATAATAGTTTTATAGTTTACGAAAAGAACGCTTTTCCTTTTCAATAAATTTAAATAATTCTGGACTTTTTAATTATAAATTTCTAAGAAAGTTTCAGCTTTGTAGTGTTGAAAGAAAAATTACTGTCTATCCATACAAACAGTATGAGTGTATATGTAATGATTCTTCTGTTTATTTACCTATACTATTTCATATATTTATATATATATATATATTTACAATGAAATTTTTTCTTTAATATTTATATATTTATTTCTATATTATTATATCAAATTTTTTCCTCATAACGTATATAAATATACTGAATACACTGTATATCTTTTTTCCCTTCTTTCTTCTCTCTCATTCTTGCTTTGTGGTTTAGATTATCTTACTTATACTATATACAATATATATGCTCTCTCTCTCTCTCCCTCCATATACAAACTTATATATATTTTTAGTCTTATGTAGAATATTTATATTCTAGAAGTTTGTCTGTCTGTCTGATCACTAAATAAGCTAATTAATCTTGCTAACTGACAGTAAATAATTACCTTGAAATATTTTGAAACAGGTAAGAATAACATTGATTTTTTTACAGATTCTATAACCAATGATATTCTAATAGATAAAAATATGTTAGAACTATTAACTCTTTCACATTTCACCTTTTACTTCGTTTATAACATTTCATGGCACATTCAACTCTCTATTTTTTCCTCTTTTCTCTCACTCTCCCACAATATTTCTTCTTCTTCCTCTTTCTCTTTGCCTAGCTTTCATTAGATACTTTTTTTTCAAAAACTTTCTCTTGTAACTTTCTTTTTCTTTCATTTATTTTGAAATTAAGAAAAAGAAGATTATTGGGCCATGTTTGTAAAACTTTACAAAATGTCAACATCTCTCAACAACTGGTATTTCATTAGTGAATTCTTATGACTTGCGAATGCTTTAAAGAAATAAAATTTAAGCAAGAACAGTAAAAAAATTTCAGACAAATGTTTCTAAATAGTTATTTATCAACGTTACAAACTCAACATTTGTCTAACTTAATCATTGTCACAGCTGACTTTGATGGGTTACAGTAGCTCATAGAGCACACGATAAACACAGTTTGTTCCAGTTGTACAAACAAAGAGGCTGTTGCCCTTTTTATTACCAGTTTAGTTAAGGAGACTTTTTTTTGCTCACTGTATATAGTTAATATTGCTTGTAAACTAGATCATAGCTATCCCGGTTTTTTTGTTCATCTTACAAAAATATAATATAGCTTTACTGATAAAGATTAGACGAGTCATTAAAACAATCTGTCACCGCTTTGGTATTTAACAAATACCCTAACCAATAAATCTCCTGATCAATTTTTTTATGCTATCCAATCAACGCCCCTGGATGCTGGGAATGTTGTTTTTTTATATATTTTATTTCTTCCTACTTAACAATAGAGAGTACAGACTGGAAAAAGTAAAAAGAATCGAATATACCTTATTAGAGCTTAGTAATTGATATCTTCTACTTAAAAATGCATTGGAATACTTTTAGAATAATTCTTAGGGGACGTCTAACTACTTGTAAAACATCTCACTAACTCATTTAAATAGTCCCTTGATATAATTCGTATTTTAAATATTTACTTCTTAAATCTTAACAACAAGCCAAAGTTGTTCGAGTAATAAGAAATATAAAAAGTCGCAAGTAAATTTAAACACTAGTCCTATAATAGTTAAACTAAATAGTTTAACATTAAAATTGTTAAAAGATGGCGTTGTGTGAAAAACAATTTTACTATTAAAATACTTTTCATTCGCTTTATTTCTGTTAATAAAGCCATAGAAGATATTTCATTAAATACTCTTAGATTTGCAGTATCTATTATATACATATGCTCTATAATCCATTTTAATCCTTTCATATTTCTTCCCCATCCACCAGAAATTTATCTTATTATGTAATAATAAAAAAAGTTTTGGAGTAAAGAAAAAAAACACATAATGCACTTAGAAAAGCTTTTAATCTTGTTTACAAATTGCCTCGATCTAACTGATTATCAGTTTTCTTTTCATAAAAAATTAACATATTGAGTTAAATTTTTGTTTGTTTTTTATATTCCAAGATAAGTTTTGTATCTTCTCTTTCTTATTCTCTGCTCAAGCCTTCTTAAATTGCAAAATATGACTAATATTTTCATAATTCTTTTTCCTTTCACTATTATAAACATAGCAATGTTGATTTTTTCTTCTTTTTCTTCTTGACAAGAGACTTATCATATTTCCATATTTCTTATTTTTAAACTGGATAGGTTTATATAAGAAAGTTGCTAAAATAATCCATTCAAGAGATATCAAGAAGGAAGTCGTCTTTTTACTTCTCTTTTTTTATATTAATCTGAGAAATTATTCCAAAATGAATGAAAAATATCTTCCTGATCAATGAAGAGACGAAAAAGAATCCGACGGCACTTGAGATAATCTGTACTGACTTAGTTTAATCTATTCTTAAATTCTTCTATATGATGTTTATTCACTTTATTTCGTTCAATAATCTAGAACTTTTCAGATAAGAGACGAAAGTTTACTGATTTTATCCCACGACTTGGCAAGGAACCGGAAGAAAGCTAGTATTCCACCCGATAAGCCTTATCATGAGCAACAACCATCAGGGTATGTTTGCCCCAAGATTTCGTGCTAAAATAAATTCCATTGGCGCCAAGCGCTCATTACCTTTTAGTAAAGTTTGTTTAAGACGTTGCGCATTTATTTTCAAAACCCACAAAATCTTTTTTCAGTTCGCCGAACTATAAAAACGAAGGTCACCTTAAGCCTATATAACTTTTTTCCATGGAAAAGGGGTTTTTGATCCCGAAAGCAGCGGGCTATTGAAAATCTTTTTCTTTCCGCATACTAGAAAAAAAACTAAAGAAGCGTAAACTAAAAAAATAAAGGGGAAGTACGAGAGAACAAGAGCGTATATGAGAGAGAGAGAGAGAGAGGAAGGTGGGGTGGATGGAGCGGCTTGGGGGCAGGAGAGTAGTGAGAGAAAGGTAGAATAAAGAAAAAATCTGTTTCAATTTAAGATTATACTAAAAAAGAGAAATAAGAAAACTTTTTCCAGATTTTCCTGTATTCTCTAGGCGCCCTACGGCCGATACTAAACCGCTAATGTTTCTAGATTAAGTTTTAATTGAAAATAAACATCCTAAAGGCGAAAAGCATATGAAAAAAATATACGAAAATATTTTATTTTATCTACCTCTTCTATTACAAGTTCAATTTTTTTAGTAATTCCCTTTGGAGTTCCTTATTCCTCTATTAATTTCTTTTAGCATCAAATTTTCGATACAAAATGCCCACAATACTTTTTTTTTGAGACCGTCTGCAATCATAAGGCCTATTAGATACGATTAGCCTACAATAGCCTAAAATATTGCAGATATTTGCTTTTTAAGCGAATAGATAAGAGCCTAATCGACCTTAGTGATTTCTAACCATAGCGTAACAGTCATTATTCCTTTTAACTTTGGGATAGGAAAGAAATGTAGACATTCCTTTACCTAATTTTTCACTATTATAGGCCTTTTTACCATTTGCACTTTTTCGATTAGTGAAAATATGCTTTAACAAAGATAATTTATCATTATGAAAATGTAGAAGAAGTTCTTATTTTTCTCTTGCAATCAAAATCAACAGAAGCGGTATGTAAAAAAAATAAGAATAAAGTTAACCAACAAGTAAATATACAAGAATAAAGTTTTTTTGTTATTACTAGATTTTACACATACACTCACACTTACAGACATAGACACCACTTTCTTTCTATCATTCATTCATTCTTTCTCTCTCTCTCTCTCTCTCTCTCTCTCTCTCTCTCTATCTCTCTCTCTCTTTCATTCTTCCCCTTTCATTTTTACTTTCTCTTTCACGGTTCCTATATTATACAGTAAGGAAAATATCAAAAGTGTGCGCATAAAGCAGTCTCTTTTACGTTTTCTAAACTTTGAGCAATTTGGACTTTATTTTTTAATTTAATCTCCAATTTAACATAGAATTATTGCCTTTAATGGTCGTTAAGTACAAATCTAATTATCGAGAGGCGAAAAAAAAAGACTTCATTCTACCAATTACCACTTTATCGCAGTAATAAACTCGTCGTTTTTACGTAATCTATTAAGAGAAAGGTGAAGCAGATTTTCATTGTTTGTTTTTTAAACCTTTACAGCGGATGCTATTAGAGTTACGTATAATAGAGCAACATCGTTTCCTTTAAGTTCAAGATCGATTCTACCGAAACATTCGACATTTAGACTTCTGTCATGAATGTTAAATTGAAGCCTTTGGGCGCCTCCTACGAATAATTCTATCTAAAGGACCGAAGAAATACAAAGTTTTCATCCTTTATTTTATTAAAAATGCAGTAACCGCAAGATGGCGACATGTGTTAGATGAATTGTATTGAGAAAGAGATGCACATTATAAGCGTAAAATATTAGAATTAAAAAATAGAAATATACTTAAAAAAAATTAGACGCCACCAGATAAAATCGTTGACAGGTAAACCAATGAAAATAAACTATATCAAATTGAACATAAAAAATAGTGCATGATAGTCTTGAAATGCAGATAGAAAATGAGAGGGAAAAAAGGAAAATATATATATAAATATATATTTCAAATATATAACAAGCAAATAATATTTTGCTATCATCAAAGAAAATAATGAAAATGAAATTAATAGAATAATAAATAAATTAAATATTTGAAATTATTCTTTCCATAACCAATCTAGACTTTAGATTACTAAAGGGATTCGATGGTGGAAACATTACGTTAATTATAGCACAAAAATTCTTCAGGATAAATCAGCCTTTACACACGAAAACCGCATATATTTTCATTATCAAAATAATGAACATTTGTTTAGCGTATGACATGAACATTCATTCGATAACAGTATATGATTAATATTTAAATATATACTATTATATTAATATGAAACGTGAATCGAAAATATATACAGCATATATATCAACAAATAAAGCTGGAATACGCTATACTTTACGATATATTAATATATATATACTGTATATATATATACACAAGTATATGTACAGATATACATACATGTATATATATAGTGTATACATACTAGTATTCAGAATATTAGATACTACATTTCTGTTTTTCAAAGCGTTCGTTATAAAAAAAAGAGAAAAAGAAGTATACCTGCATTACTTAAGTAATAAACCTGTTAAGTTTTAGTGTTAACCCTCAACGAAATAATTTCCTTTTTTCCATAGACACTCTCAAAAGTATGGAATATAAGTATGCATATGTTGCAAGTATCTATGTATATACTGTAGATGAGAGAGAAATAAGAAGAAATGATTTGTGAGTAGTTAAAGCTACATTCTTCGCTGATAATATGCTTTTCGCATCTTCTTCCTTCTTTAATAACCAAGTTAAATCAAATTTTTAAGTTGTTTGAAATATCAATTTATTATTTTTTTCATGCCTTTACTTTTTAGAAAATAGAAAAAAGAATAAACATATTTCTTTATTGATAAATGTATTTGTGTTTTTTAGGTTTTATACTTCTGTTTCATTTTGGAAAAGATTCAAGGAAACCTTTTGATTAGAGCGCAAAAAAAACTCTGTCGTATCAAATTCTATAAAAGTAGGAAAAAAGCGATTATGCGGTATTATTATATCTATAGATATAACATATATATATGTATATATATATATATATGTATATATATATATATATATATATATATAATATATATATATATAAACACATGTACTGTATATATATATATATACATATATATATATATTAAAGAGACAACATTTGATATTTAAGCCAATTTTAAAATTAAATTGCTTTCGGATGTGGAAGATGTTTGTTTAATTAACTATGAAATAAAATAATATAGTGATTACTTTGATCAACTGAAATATTATAATTGTCAATGGTACAAAATAAAAAGGAGAATAGCAAGTAAAGAATATATTTATTACATAATCGATATTCTGGATAAGTAGCTTTCTTTTTTTTAGGGATTATAAGAGAAAGATATTCCTCTCTTATTTCTCTCAACTTCGACTTAAATAACTATTGCATACTATGAAACATACAATATACATTTTCCAAACCTAAACAACATCGAAAGCAAGCAAAAAAAAAAATAAATATATGTATATATAGATATATATATTATATATATATATATATTATATATATATATTGTTTTATTTTTATTTTATATAAAAAAAGCGTTTTTTGCTGCCTTCAAATAAACCTTCGATCATGGGGATTATTCCTCCTTTTTCTTTAGACCAGGAATGGGAACTTTTTCCTGAATCATCTTCATGACATCGTTGATTTTACTTCTAACTACGTCCAAATTCTTATCGATTTGCTCTTTATTTAATTCGTATACTTTAGGGAAACTGAAGAGGCAAACAACTCCGATAAGCAATAAGGTCATAGCGTTGAACCAAGCTCCAACGTATGTCAAAACCCATAAACATAAACCGAACTTGACTGAATCAACTACATTCTCGATAAGGAATAGACGCCTCAGAGAATTGAGCGAACAGACAGCGTGACTCATAATAGAATCAGCCAAAGCGTGAATTCTTTCTGGGGGTAAAGTTAGATCCGCTTCCAAATAAGTTTGAAATGGGTGAGATTCGTTTGTTTTCTGAACAGCCGCCATTATCGAACGGTAGGTTCGATAAGTAAAGGTTACTGACAGAGCAGCTAGGGAGAGGTAAGCTGTCACTGAGAGGATCGAGCAGCAAGACAGTGCTAGGAGGACTGAGAGTAGAACCGAAACGACAATTCCCGATTTTTTTGGACATTTCCAATATACCAAATCCAAAACTGTGATAATAAAAATTAGGTAATAAATAGTTGTTTAAAATAAATGACCAATTTGCATGGAATAAAACTAAATATAAAAATTTTCTATTAATTATAAGACCAATACGCATAATTTATTCAGCTAAATCGACCGCCATCTATCGTCTTAAACTGGGGTTATGGTTAAGATAAAAATTTTCATCTGTACAAAATATTCAATTATATTTCATAAAAAGTACAAACATATTATCTAAATGTAAATGAATCTTTCAAGGGTTAGTCAGCTTTTCATAATTAAAGCGAATCATTAATATTATATGACGGACAACTCTAAGAACTACCGATTTAGCATTTTTAATTAAATTCAATCTCTTTTCTTTTTATAGATTTTCCTTCAATCAAGTATTTTATTTTTATATTTTAGATAATATTACACAATATCTCACTTTTTACTTGATAGAAATTTTCTTTTATCACTTCATTTCTCTCACTTTTTTTAAATATTTTTCGTTAAAAATTTATATTAGGTTCCAGAATTCTTTTATCTGGATTTTTTTTCTCTTCACCTTCTTCATGATTGATTTGGACGAAAAATGAGCAACCTTCTACAGTAATTTAAAACCATCAGCTTAAAATTCCTTCAGCATTTTTCATACCTTTATTTAATAATAGACATTTAAAAGAAAGGAGATAAGCTGTAAATTGTTAGCGTATATGTTTTATACCCTCTATCTCGTTCTAAAAATATATATGCTCTTTTATATATATATATATATATTTTAAAGGCTTCCAGTCTTAAATGATTACAATGTTAAATACGGTAATTTATCAGGGAGATAAAAGAATAGAATTAATTCAACAAACCAATTTTACGGTTAACGTATTTTTGCAAGAATTGCAAAGGCAAATCAATGCTACTGTCCGCCTCCATTGCAACTGCTAAACTTCACTGAAGCAGCTGCCCACTAGAATTTTTATATGCCACTGCATAACTATTCTAGAGTAGAGAGTATTTTTCTTCAGTTTTAGATATCAATAAAATACTATTGGGTAATTTCTACTTAAATGAAATATCATTTCCTACTCCTCTGTCTGCGTTATTACTTTTCCGTTAATTTTACAATAATTGAGTGATTACGTAACTTATTGACCCTAATATGAAAAAAAGTACCAGAATAAAAATACATTAAGTTAAATAGCAGCCTAACTGCAGAATACTGCAAATAAGCCTGTATACACAATATAAACAGCTAACAGGCCGAAATTGGAACGCAGTGCAGTGGCGCCATGCAGATGTATTTTTTAGCTGCAGTATAGCTAGAATATATCGATTTTAGGCTTAGTTTGTCTTTCAAAAAACTTGAGTGATTTTTTCAAAAACAAATATAATCCATAGATAAACAGAAGGAAATAGTATAAAATAGTCAAATCAAACAACTATTTTAACAAGTATTAACCCTATAAACATTAATGTAAAATAAAAAGTACAAAATTAAGCCTATTATCTTTAGATACGCTGTTTATCATATTCCAGGCCACTTCTCGATAAGTAAGTATTGAAGTATCACTTGACTAATTCTAGATGACATTCTTAAAAAAAACTTCAAGAGAAAAACACTGCTGTATGATGTTTCTTTTTTTTTGTGTCTAATTTTCAATACAACTTAAATAGTTACTTGTTAACAAAGTACTCTCATCTTCTTCTGTAAAAAAAAATAAGAATATCTAACCTCTTACTTTAACATTTCCTACACGATGTTTGTTTATGTTTTCCTAAAGCAATTATTAAAAAAAAGGCTATTAGAAACAAATGCTAATTTGTTAAAAGAAAGAGGATTCCTGCTACATATTTAGAAGGATGATTAATATACATATAGAAGAATATTTATTTATATAAATACAATTACACACGCTGTGTACTATATATTGATATTTGATATAATGTAATAGAATGATCATTCGTTATCTATCTCCACGAATATACATGTCTGTGGTACATTGATTCAAACGATAGCTGTTGTATATGATCTAAGAACTTCAAAAGAAAAACGCTATATTATTCATTAAAATAAAATTAATGACTGATTCATTTAAAAATCTATCATGGACAGTATTAATTTATTAGGTTGATTTTCAAGAGATTTCTACAGCGAATTCTCTTGCTAAATGACTCTAAACCTATTCACTTATATATATATATATATATATATATATATATATATATACATTTGTTCACCTAGCTACCTTGCTAAGTACACCGTAAATTTCAAAATGCACACAAGGTATTTCTGCACTAATACTTTTTCAAGAGTATAAATGATCTTTTCTAGAACGTTTACATGTAGTAAACTTCTCCAACACTTGTTTATCTTATTTTAGATTAATGTTTAATCCTATTACTGATTACAGCAAATATAGTCGTTAAGGGGAAAATACCCGCGACAAAGTCTAAACTGTTAAACTTATGAGTCGGAAAAAAGAGAGACGCAGTAATCAATGGCACTTGCACAACGTTTCTGCCATGATGTCGATATTGGTAGGAAGCGACAAACCTTTTCCTCGGGCAGCACAAAACGACTTGCATAATACGTCTTGCCTTACTTCTTTTTCAAAAAATTCTTGTTCATCCGCCATTTTAACGTTCAATTGGATACTCAGCTGCAATTCTTACTACGCTTACAACAGTAAACAAGGAAACGCTACCTGATTATGCAGCGTCACCCTAGAATTTATCGATTATGTAAAGCATTTTTTTTCCATAGGTTGTACCTAAAGACTTACGCCATCTACTGACTCCAATTCCACCTCAATTATATATATAACAGTACAGTCTAGACTAGAGAATTTATTCAACCGAACTATTCTAGTTTTTCTTCGAAAACTTTATAAAATATTTGTCTTTACCAAATCTTTTATATGTTTTTCAAGGTGTTTAACATTAATTTTATGCCTTTTATTGATATAGCTCAAATTTTTACTCCCATCTATAATCGATGCAATATCTCTATTTTATTATTTATTCAATAAAAGTACAATAAAATGTTTTTTTTAACATGAATACTGTCGTTATACCTCTTTAAAACGGAAAAGAAAACATTTTACTTTTACGCCTAGTACCTTGTAAGCTTTAAGTCTAATTAGTCATACTGCGAGAGTAATTAATTTCTTCATATATACGTATCTATTCTAAAGATACACGTGGAATTCTTATAGAGCGCCACCTACCGTTTCGTCTTGAATTTTTTTAAAGATAAAATAGGAATAATAGTTATATATATATACGCTCCTTTAACACACCAAAGAACAAAAAGTACCCTGTTGAATTCTATATAAAAACATTCATTTTTAAAATTTCTGATGATCTATAAATGTCTATGCAAACATTTATAAATATTATATTAATATTGGAATATATAAAACCCTACAGTTTTAAGCATAAAACTCCAAGATTTCTATTGTATGTAATATACAATAATATGTATATAAATAGATATTTTATAAAAAAAACCCCACTGATTTTTGAAGTGCTATTACTGCTTTAAAAAAAATATCCCATCATAAAAAATAACGGCCTGTTTTGAACTATATCGAAACAAAAGGTGAAATATGCATAATTGAATAATGCTTCAAAGACTAACTTTTATTATCAACTCTTGCTATTTATACTTATTTAATTTGTGTCCTTGTATGGTCTATTTTAAAACTTTTTACTATGGAAATTTGACATATTGTACATTTTTTTATCTACATTTAGCTCACCTTTAGGGTCAAGGCTACACAGCAGTTTCGTTCCACCTGAAAAAATACTCATATATTTAGGCATTGTCCATAAATGATTTCTCTGCCAATATTCTTGTTACTTAAATCTACTTACAACATAAGTAATTTGTCTTCTCAGCAGACTTTTCGTCTTTAGTGGCTATGTTGCTTTCAGACTCAGTACTCTTTTGGGGTACTTCGACTTTTTCAAAATCGTTGTCAGTCGTTGACACAAATTCTTTGTCGTCCATTTTTTCTCGTTTTTTAACACAACTAACTTGTCAAATACAGAGCTTTGGTTAAATATGCTTCCAAGCCAATTTCTGAAGATATTTTCTGTACCATGTGACAACGCATGCGCATTACGAACAATTCTTACTAAAAGTGGGAAAGTTACACGTACAATAATTTTATTTCTCAATGCATTTATGAATCATCATTAGGACATCCTCGTTGGTTAATCGAAATATTATGAAAAACTTATTTTATTACAGCATATCGTGATAAAAAATACAATATTTGACTGAAATATATTTATTAAGGTAATTATTTTTACTTTTCTATCATTTAGAATACCCTTAAGCGAAATAATTAAAAAACATCAATAATAGTTATATTATTAGCAATACAATTAGTCAACTATTGTGAAATGTGTTGAAATGTTTTATTTTGAACGTAATTTTAACTAAAAAAATAATCTGCAATTAATCATTTTAAACATACGTTATATAGAAGAACAATTTAGAGGGAAAAGAACAATTTCAATGTCACAGAATTCATAATTATACCAAATATATTTATAAATATATATTTAAAATTTAATATTCACAAGTTATATTCATATAATTAGTTTATAATGGAGAGAAAATTACTTTATTCTACCAATAGATAAGGTTTGTAACATATTAACTTCTCTAATATATATAGATTATTAATATACACAATTTAAAGATTAGCTTTCCATATTCTCCTTCTATCCTTTAATATTTCGAAAATTATGATGGAATAGTACTTGTTAACATTCTTTGTCAGTACTTTTTTATAGAATTTTATGCCTCCCTTAGTTTAGGTTTACCCTATGTCTTATTGGTTGTTAAACTGTTTACAAACACCGTAGTAAATCACGTTCTTGCTTTTCGTGCAATCGACTGAATTTTCTTTAATTTAACCCTTTAAATTATGTCTTACGATAATTATGATAGCCATAGAAGGTCAGGAAGAAAAAAACAACAAATTGTTAGTGCAGAAAGTGGAGAAATACGACAAAATTTGCATTTAGACGACTTATTATGCATATTTCGAGGAAAATCCAACGAAGATTTTGAAGGAGGAATTAACTGCTGTTATTGTGGTAAATAACATATATTTAATATATATATATATATATAATTATTATTATTAATTAGAGTGTCTTGGTTTTATAAGCAAATTATTTTAACCTCAACGAACATTAACAGAATCATATCTATTCGTTATCGTGTAGCCGAACGTAAGATATAAACGGCTATTTTAGCGTCATCTGGTATTAACCTCGATAAAACATAACTATTAATCTAATATATATATATTAAGAAAAATAATTAACAAGGTCAAAAATTATTAATCTTGAATAACTACGTAAATTCCCCCCGTATAAATATTTTTTGTCCTTTCGTATAGATACAAGCTTGAACGGATATATTTTTATCCGATAGAGAGCGTTATTATCGATATGCTGTTGTATATACATACATTTCTTTTATTTATTATCTTACTACGTCGCAGAAGGAAATTATAAGATTTCTTTACATTAATAAATTATACCATCAATTATGTATAACAATAACAATAATTTAGTAATATGACATATGAATATTAATAAAAGAAAAGACTACCAGTTTAATATTTCGATATATACGTATATATATACTCTATGCTTTCATGCAATTGAAATATAACGTTTAACACATCTATTATTTGTCTTTAAAGGAAAACTGTACAAAGGTCGTGTATGTTTTACTAAGCATTTATGGGAACATACAACATACTGGAGTAATATTGAAGGATCACGGCACGAAAAAGTACTATCTTTACAGGCAGCTTTAATTCTATTTGCAAATAAATTGAAAAAGTCATTTGTAAGTAAATTCTTTCCATTTTAAACGTTTTCCATATTTTCTTTAAATATTTATGTTTTATAGGAATTTCCTGTTGAAATATTATTAGCAGCTCCTGTTTCTACTAAAAAACCAATTGGAAATGAAAAAACCGACATTTAATGAGCAAGAATGTTTTTTATTGATTGTGATATTAACTCTAAAACAAATTTTTTTCTATAACCCTGCATACTAAATTAGATATAAACAAACAAACAAACAAGAAAGAACTCAACTTATCAATGACAATGAAAATTAACTAAACTAAGATAGATAAGTTTTAAAGTGAAAAACAAATGTTTGATTCAAGTTCTCTCTTTCTTTTTTCGTTATTTCTTTTCGTGTTCTATCTAAATGTTTCCATCATATCGGCGGAGTTTTGGACGTAATTTTAATATTTAATAATTAATATTTTACAAAGAGGAAAAAAAAAACAAAAGAAATGTTTGTAGAGGATAAAGTCTTTTAACTAGATGAGGTATTAATAGTATTACTAAATAACTATGGAATATAATGTATTTTGTCTTTCTCGCTTTACCTCTTTCCCTCTCATCTTCCCTATTCTACTCTTTAAACATCTCTATAGCGTATACGTTATTATCCCTAATTTGGAGTATGTAGTTTTGTATTGTACATATATGTATGTTGAAGCAGAGTGCTTTTAATGTTAACTGTCCCCTCTACGGTCTTTATGATTATGTAAAATTGTGCAAATTGTACATATACATAAATGTATATAAATATATCTATAAAGAATAATCTACAGATATAGATATATTTATAATATATTATATCTATATCTCTTTTGAATAGTTAATTAAAGGAAATACGAAATTCTATTGGTATTTACAAAGAAGAATGAAAGAAAGTATAGCTTTAATTGTATGTTTGCAGTACTTTATGCAAAATAAAATTGCGACATATGAGGCATTGTTTTTTAAATGAATTGTTTCTATATTGTTTTCTCTTTTGCCTTATTCAATAAAGAAAAAATATATTAAGTAAACATTAGAGTGTTCTTTACTTTTCACAACAGTCACGACAATGTACCATTTATCATTAAAACTATAAGAATAATCATTGAGTTTCTGTCCTTTTCTGTTGAGCTTTTTGCTTTTCTCTCGTTTCATTTTCACTATTCCATTATTTTACAGAACATAAATAATATAGAAACTATATAATTATATACAACAAAACGAAATATTTTAAGCGAAATATCATGAATAGATTAAATATTTTCCGCATTAAAATAAAATTTTCAGTTCATGCAATGAATTAATCAATTTTTTTGAAATATTTCTATTATTATGCAAGCTTATAATAGATTTTAAAATAAGATATTTGTGTTTTTATAAAAATTCATAGCTTATTTTGCTGAACTTTCAGTTGATACAACAGCAATTCAATTTACGTACTTTATTGAAAAAAACAACAGTCATATTTTTATAGCAAATCTTCACATAAAGTCAGATAGAAGGATTTCCTAGATGGATTTTCTTGGATAAGTAGTAATATCAGAAAAAGTAGATAAAAATGATCTCTTTATTCTTGTTTTGCTTTTCTTATTGTTGTTGGTTGTTGTTGGTGTTGTTTTTTTCTATACTGTAAACTTTACTTCATATTTAATAATGTAATAGTACATATTAACAAATACGAACATTGAATGTAAAAAATTTACTATTGCTCTCAAAATATATTGATTTGAATTATTAAATATGGATGAAGATTGTTCTTCAATATCAGTATATCTATAATTTTCCAAGTCCTTGCTTATTTCTATTTCTTTAAAAAATCTAACTCATACGTAACTGTCAAATTTATCTATTAATAATTCAACTTTACGCAAAAGATGGCGACACAAACTTCTAGAGTAATAGGAAAAATATGTTTTTATGTAGTATATTTCCTTTTTTATTTTGTTTTTACTACTTGACTTTCAATATCTCCATACATAACACTTTATCTTTCAGTAAAACCCCATAATATGCTAATTTTAAAAAAAACTGACATAAAAAAGAGTTGAAGACCACTCTATTCAATAACTTTTATATATAGATATATATTTTCTCTTGAAAAGAAACGCCACAAGGTCGAATGAATAGAGAAAGAATGAGCTGAATGAAAATTTAAATGGTTTAGTTATAGAGCTCTTTAGATAAAACATTTTATAAAACTTTCCTAGAATGACGCTGAACGAAATTAATTATTTTGAAAACAAAATTAATAAGCGTTAAATTTAATGAATGGGCAAACATTTAGGTTTTTTTTTCGTCTTTCTATGTTAACATCTAATTTAATGAAATCTATTCACGCTAGGAGCCGGTCAGGAATTAGTGGGCACACGCTTGTGGTACATCTAGAAGCTTACGGTTTGGGTTTTCAGATACTGTAACTAGGTGGCGCTCCTAAATTAGACTATTCTTAAACAGTTTATTGAACTATAGCATTTCGCCTGCAGATTCTCTCACCTCTCAATAGACGAGGCATGTGATCAATAATATTTCTCATTATTTACGACTATTGGAGAGCTTATAAATTTACTTCAAATAAGAAAAGATCATATACAAAAGGAGATATGATAACTGCTTTACACAACTTGAAATCGCAAGAGAGAAGCCATCCTGTTCAGGTTAGTATAATAAATCGATTCCTAGAAATCTTTTTAAGAGAGATTAGGAAATTTCATAGGCGAGTTATTTAATTGAAATTATCCAGATGTTCATTTAATTATCTTTTACATTATATCAGTCTTTTATCTCCATGTTTCTTTTTATTTTAATAATCAACGAAAAGAATGGTTAACTATTATTCTATTCCCGGATGCTAAAGATGTTTATAAACAAAACACCATGGACTGCATTTACTGCATACTCTTCTGCCAAATAACCTTAATAAAGTGTACAAACAGAAGAGGAATTAGATCGCGCGTTGCAGTCACGCTTACTGTTGGACTCTGGTCAATTCTTTGTTTATTTTAGTAGGCTTATATTTAACTTTTTGCCTCTCTCTCTTCCCCTCAAGCAATGGTTTTATCTGTTCTCTTTGCAAGGTTGTTTATCTAACCTTTCACTTAAAGGAGAAAAGTAGTGAAATTAATAATCCTTTTCGAAAGTTAAAAAACAGTCTCGTATTCATTTACTGCGGCTTAAACGGAAACAAAAGCATAAATTTCTTATAAAGTACCATAGCTTGTAATTCAAAAGCCTAATCAAATAACAAGTATTGTTAAAGAAAACGATTTCTTTATCTCT